AAGGCTACTAGCCACAATGGCTCTGCTCTGCCACCCACAGCGATGCTTCTGAATGCCAGTTGCTGGAAACCCCAGGGTGGGGAGAGGGGTCTTGGGTTCGAATCATGATTGCAGGCTTCCCATAGGCTGGCTAATGTGAGGACAGGATGCTGGGCTGCACGGGCCATTGGCTTGATCCAGCAGCCTAGTCTTGTGCTTCTCTGGGTGGTCTCTAGCTCTGGGGAGACAGGGGACGTCAAAGTGTCAAAACTCCTGCCAGCTTTTCCTTACCTGAAGAGCAAAGCCCGAGGGGGCAGCTCCTGTGGGTCGTCCCTCCCACAGCCCCCCCACAGCCCAGAAACAAGGACCTGCCTCTCCGCCTTGCCAAGAAACCTTTTAGGCAACCCGGCGGCAGCTCGGCTCTCAGCCTTCCCCACTTTGCAAATTTAAGATTAATGGCAGTCGGAGCCGGACGCAGCCGAGGCCAGAGCTGGGCTAAATATACCGAAAGCTGCCGGGTGTATTTATGGATCAGGCCTCTTCCTCCCCACCCAGCCCCACAGACTCTGCTAGACGAGAGAGCGGCTTTCCTGGCTGTCATCAGGTGGGGGGGCCCTTCTGAGGCTTCTTGTATAGCAATGATGGCCAAACATGGCCCTCCAGCTGTTTTGGGACTACAACTCCCATCATCCTTAGCTAACAGGGCCAGTGGTCAGGGATAATAATAATATAATAATAAATGTTATTTATACCTCCTCAGGGCGGCTAACACCAGGTATAAAAGCAATTGATTAAAATACAACTTAAAAAACAAGATTAAAATGCAGCCTCCTTCCAGTAGAAACTCAAATCAAAAACTTTTGGGGGGACGAAAACGTCAAATCTCCACCAAGGCCAACTATCCAGACTGGTCCTACGTGGGCCAGAAGAAAAGCCAGGGAAGTCCCCAAATAGGAGTTCCGTCACAGAAAGAGAAAGGAAAAAGGAAATGATGAGAATTGCAGTCCCAAAACAGCTGGAGGGCCAAGTTTGGCCATCGCAGCTCTATAGGGACAGCAATTGGGGTGTTTGGGAGAGGCTTAACTCCCATTGCCCCCCTAAGATATTTACTGAAATCCAAGGAGCCCCCCCAGGAAGGCTTATGTAGGGCCTGCACTTATTGCAACAGTCCATCACACGTTGGGAACCTCGAGGCTGGACTACTGTAAGGCGCTCTTTGTGGGGCTGCCCTTGGGGGCGGTTTGGAAGCTCCTGCTGGTGCAGAATGCTGCAGCCAGATTGCTGACGGGGGCTTCTAGTCGAGAACATGGGGCGCCATTGTTGAAACAGCCACACTGGTTGCCCACTTACTGCCAGTCCAGGTTCAAGGTCCTTGTGTTAATAATAATAATAATATAATAATAATTTATTATTTATACCCCACCCATCTGGTTGGGTTTCCCCAGCCACTTTGGGCGGCTTCCAACAGAATATTAAAATACAAAAATCTATTAAACATTAAAAGCTTCCCTAAACAAGGCTGCCTTCAGAGGTCTTCTAAAAGTCTGGTAGTTGTTTTTCTCTTTGACATCTGGTGGGAGGGCATTCCACCGGGTGGGCGCCACCACCGAGAAGGCCCTCTGCCTGGTTCCCTGTAACCTCACTTCTGGCAGCGAGGGAACCAAAATAAGCCAGTGTGGAACTAAGAGCAGGGAGAGAGGAGACAATTCTACTGTTCGTGTGAAGCCCAGAAGCTGAAATCAATTGCACAACAGCCCAATTGTAGCACAAAATATTAGGAGAGGAGGTGAACTTATTCACTCATTCATTCATTTACTGGGGGGGGGGGGTGGAGAGGGAAGAGAGAAAACCTTGCACACCACCCATTGGGCTTCTTAGACGGAAGGTGGGTTGGTTGTTGGCACCCGTCCACCTCGAGAGACAATGGAGTGCGCCTCCGGGGGTGAAGGCAAACCGCAAGAGAATCACAGCGCCTGCTGTGGCTGCAGAGATCGGTAACTCATAACGGCTGCCCCCCCCCCATGTTTTTGCTGCAGAAGAATCACAGCGCCTGCTGTGGCTGCAGAGATCGGTAACTCATAACGGCTGCCCCCCATGTTGTTTTTGCTGCAGGAGAATCACAGCGCCTGCTGTGGCTGCAGAGATCGGTAACTCATAACGGCTGCCCGTCGGTTTGTTTTTACTGCGTTGGCAGCAACGAAGTGACATATCTGGGCTGCAAGCCTGGGCAGCGGGTCCTGGGCTAACCAGAAGACAAGACCCCCACGAAGGAAAGCAGAGCAAGACATTTGGCACCGGAAGGCGGCGTACAAGGCGCCATCCAACTGCCTTAGGGACTCCGTTCCAGATTGGTGTGGAGTTCACCCCCAAGCCTTTTCTTCTCCCAGAGATATCCCACAAGGCAGTGGAGGTTTAGGGCCAGAATTTCCCTTCTCCTAGGTGGCCGAGCCCTTTCTGCCGGGGCATAAATGCAAATACAGTGGACGCTTGGGTTGCGAACGTGATCCGTGCGGGATGCGCACGTTCGCAACCCACAGCATCCGCAACCTGCAGCGGCACGTCTGCACACGCGCAGGTTGCAATTCGGTGCTTCTGCGCATGCACAAAGCGCAATTTAGCGCCGAAACCTGGAAGTAACCCGTTCCGGTACTTCCGGGTTTCGCCGGTCCGCAACCCAAAAAAACGCAACCTGAAGTGTCTGTAACCCGAGGTATGACTGTAATAGAGCACACATTATTTAACTTCACATGAGTACAGCGCCCCAAGGCCTCCTTGCTTGCGCTCCTCGCGTAAAGCACAGACTTGGGGGTCTTCCACATGTTCTAGAAACAGGTCCAACAGTTTCTGAGCATGTTTCTTTTTGCCCCGGCCCTTTCCCTGCGAAACTCCGCTCTTTACTGCTGAATCGGAATAAACAGCAAATCGAGTTTTCTGCCCAGACCTTAGTCACTGCCTGTGATCTCACTAGAGACTCGTGATCCTTGCTTCTGAATCATTTCCCACCTTCAGCGGCCGGCCAGCAGCTCCCAGCCCCTCTCTGCCTCTTGCCCTCCAATCGCCGGCCAGCCGGCCCTTATCTCTGACCCTCAGAGCAAGGGAGGGAGGCGGCTGGGGTGGAGTTTTGCTTTGCTGCCTGCCTTGGCGCTTGGCAGGGCTGGGGAAGGCTATCTGGGATGGGCAAGGGGGAAAGATGCCCATTGGTCAGACCCCAAAGCGGAGCCTCCAGGCGCAGGGGCAGTAAGAGCAACAGAGCAGCCCCGCAGGATCAGGCCAGTGCCCTGTCTCCTCCACCATCCTGTTCTCCCAGCGGACAGCCATATGCCCCAGTGGGAAACTCGCAAGCAGGATTTGAGCACCGGAGCAACTCCCCCTAGCAAGTGGGATTCAGAAGCATGGCTGAAATGAATTATTTGATTTTACATTTATATTTGCTCCTAAGAGCCGACTTCCTTCCTTCCTTCCTTCTTCTGGCTTTTTATATCACATCTAAATTTTTCACATTGTTGTCATCCATTTTGTATATTATTGTTCTTCTTTTGTATTTGTCCATAGAGTGTCTATAGCCAAATAAATTGAGAGCCAGTGTGGTGTAGTGGTTAAGAGCGGTAGTCTCGTAATCTGGGGAACTGGGTTCGCGTCTCCGCTCCTCCACATGCAGCTGCTGGGTGACCTTGGGCCAGTCACACTTCTTTGAAGTCTCTCAGCCCCACTCACCACACAGAGTGTTTGTTGTGGGAAGGAAGGGAAAGGAGAATGTTAGCCACTTGGAGACTCCTTAAAGGGAGTGAAAGGCGGGATATCAAATCCAAACTCTTCTTCTTCTTCTTCTTCTTCTAAATCCTCCTGTATATACAATTCTTATTGTCTATTCATTTACAACTACCATTGATTAGATTAATCACATTATACATTTTACTTTTCATTATTTTCTTTATCCAGAAATTTTCTTTGTATTTCACATTATGAGGTTTATTTCAGTTCTGCTGGTTTCACTATTTCACCTTATCCTTCCTATGCATGACATAAATTTTTCCCATTCTTTTTGAAATGTTTCATCGCCCTGTTGTCGAATTTTCCCCATTAATCTAGCTATTTCTTCATATTCCATTACCTTCTGTTGCCATTCTTCTACTGTGGTAATTACTGTTGAGTATGTAAATGAAAATCAATGAAGAATATTATGAATTGAAATGAATTATTTGATGCCTTTCCTTGTATCAAAGCAAGTAGCCCAGTCTCAAGAGAGATGCAGATCTCGACAGACGGAGGAACAGCTACTAGTTGGAGGGGGGGCTGTTGTGTTCACCCCTGAGAGAGCTTGGGGGGTTGCTTCCAGATGGGTGTCTGACATAGGATCGTACGTGCTGAAGAGCCTAAGGAGAGCCTGCTGCTGGATCAGGCCAATGGCTCATCTGGTCCAGCATCCTGTTCTCACAGTGGCCAACCCGCAAGAGTCTCCCTTTCCTGCTGGGACAAGCTCCCCTCCCCACTGGTCTCCCAGAATCAGAAGAGGCAGAAAAACGGCAGAGGAGAAATGAGCTTCATGCAAGCTTCACAAAGTTCTGGAGAGGAAGGGACTTAGATGGCTGTGGGGAGGCGGGGACTTTCAGTCTCGGCAACTGACTCACGGGGCAAGACCTACCGGGGATAAGCTGCTGCGCTCATAAAGCCTGATGCTTTGCCCAGTTTGTGCAGTTTGCATTCTTGCTAATAAAGAGTTGATGCAAACTTGCAGAGTGTGATTTACTGCTGGCTCGTACCCGACAATACTGAGCAAGGCGTGTAGACGATACCGAGCGAGGCGTGTAGACAATACCGAGCGAGGCGTGTAGATAATACTGAGTGAGGAGTGTAGCCAATACCGAGCGAGGCGTGTAGACAATACTGAGCAAGGAGGGACCTCAGTCTAAGCAGCTTCTTCCTCTTGCGCTTCTCCTCCTTGCCCTGACTGTGTCTTCCTTCCGTCTCTCCCCCTGCAGATTTCTGAAGGCGAGAGGAGAGGAGGTGCCAGGGCAGCCGCCATGCAGAGCATCAAGTGTGTGGTGGTGGGGGACGGGGCGGTGGGCAAGACCTGCCTGCTCATCTGCTACACGACCAACGCCTTCCCCAAGGAGTACATCCCCACCGTCTTCGACAACTACAGCGCCCAGAGCGTGGTGGACGGCCGGACAATCAGCCTCAACCTGTGGGACACGGCCGGCCAGGAGGAGTACGACCGCCTGAGGACGCTCTCCTATCCGCAGACCAACGTCTTCATCATCTGCTTCTCCATCGCCAGCCCGCCCTCCTACGAGAACGTCAAGCACAAGTGGTATCCGGAGGTGTGCCACCACTGCCCCGACGTCCCCATCCTGTTGGTGGGCACCAAGAAGGATCTCCGCTCCAGCCCAGAGGCGGTGAAGAAGCTGAAGGAGCAGAACCAGGTGCCCGTCAGCACCCAGCAGGGAATCAGCCTCTCCAGGCAGATTCACGCCGTCAAGTACATGGAGTGCTCGGCCCTCAACCAGGAGGGCATCAAGGACGTCTTCACAGAGGCCGTCCGTGCCGTCCTCAACCCGGCCCCCGTCAAGGCCAAGAGACCCTGCGCGCTCTTGTGAAGGGGGACGCTGGCCAGCGCTGACCCTGCCCGCCAGGGCCGCAAACGGGTGCCCTCGGGGGTGGCTGGCCGTTCGGGGCTTGGGGTTCTCCTTATCCCATTCCCCCTCCTGAATGAAGGATCCACACCCCTCCTCCTCTCTCTTCCCCACATGTGACTTTTCCTTTCTGTCTTTGCCACCGTTCCTGCCCAGATTCCCCGATTCAAATTACTAGGAAGGAGATCTCTGTAAGGCGTGAGCCGTTCGGCAGTGAAGCGGATAACCTGGGGAGGTGGGCTCGCCTTCCTCGGGGGCTTTTCGGCAGGGATTCTTGAGCTGCGGTTGCCGCATCGCAGAGGGTGGTCTAGCGGCCCTCGGGGGTCCCCTATGATTCTGTGGCTCAGCTTGTTTGGACTAGGCAGGGACCCAAGGCCACGGATGACGTTGCAGCGTCCAAGATGGAAAAACGGCCATGTTTGCACTAATGACCTGCACAGTTTGCCTGGGGGGACGACAGCGATTCCTGGGTGTCTCAGGCCCCCAGACACCGTCTGGTTGCTGGGACCTCATTTCCCCCTCTTCTTTTGGGGGGCTTCCAAGCCACCGCTCGGCTCAAGCTCGTGAGAACCTGATGGATCTCAGAAATGTATTGTCTGAAAGGGCAGCCCCCCGGAGACAATGGCAAGGCAGACGGACGCAGAGATCTGTGGGGTTCATCCAGCCCCCCCAAAAAAACTTTCCTCTTGGGAGCCCACAGCCACACAGAGAGCTGCGACTCGGCAGGGATGTTCTATGCACTGAGATGACCCCCCACCCCTTGCGACTCCTCCGTGACAATTTGGGACCTGGCAGCTGTCAACAGAGAAGCTTCCTTTGCAGTCCTCCCTCCCTCTCCTCTGGGCTTTCGTGCCTGCTTCTCAGGGCTGATCTCCCCGTCTCCATCTCCCCACCTGCCTTTCTCCAAATCGAGCCCCAGCTGGCGGCTGCACCAATTGCACCTGAAGTACCTACTTGCCTTAAGGAACCTGCGGTGAAATGCAGGACACCACCTGTTTACAGAGCCCGGCGCTTGGGGTTTTGTGCGTGTGCCTGTTTTAATTTCCTAAGGGGCTTCCTGGAGCCCAGCCTTTGCAAACCTGGCGCCCTCCTGCGGCTTCGGACTACAACTCCCATCAGCCCCAGCCAGTCCATGAATTACTGCCATGCCCTCTGCGTGGGGCTTCCCTTGCTCCTGATCCGGGAGCCGCAGTCAGTGCAGAATGCTGCAGCACGGTTGCTGACGGGAGTGAGACCCTGCCAGCGTAGAACCCCCGGTGCTCAGAGATCTGCTCCGGCTGTTGCCAGTCTGCTACTGGGCCAAGTTCAAGGTGTTACTATTAGAATATAAAGCCCTTAATAACTTGGCACCTGTTTACCTGTAAGATCGCATGACCACAACCTCTTTAATCAGCGGAACTGGCACGGTTACAGGTGCCACAGCAACCTGTTCCGCATTGGTGAGAACTCAAATCTCTCAGTGTGGCAGCATCTACACTTTGGAAATCCCTGTCTCTAGACATCAGGCAGCTGCTTTTGCTGTGCTCTTCTCGGTGCCTGCTAGAGACATTTCTTCTGTTCAGACAATCCTGCCCAGATCTTTAGAAAGTCCACTTTGAGTTTTAAAATCTGTTTTTAGTCTTATTGCTCTTTTAACTTTTCAAAAGCTTTCAGATTGTTGCAGTGAGGGCCGGGCGATATGTGGTTTTCAACATCGCAATATATTACCAGCTAAACATCATGATATACTGATATATCACAATGTCTGAAATAAGGATAGGGCTATGGAGAGGCGCGCCGATCGGAAGGTCGGCAGTTCGAATCTCCATGACAGGGTGAGCTCCCGTTACTCGGTCCCTGCTCCTGCCAGCCTAGCAGTTTGAAAGCACGTCAAAGTGCAAGTAGATAAATAGGTACCACTCTGGCGGGAAGGTAAACAGCATTTCCGTGCGCTGCTCTGGTTCGCCAGAAGTGGCTTAGTCATGCTGGCCACATGACCAGGAAGCTGTACGCCAGCTCCCTTGGCTTATAGAGCGAGATGAGCACCACTACCCCAGAGTCGGCCATGACTGGACTTAACGGTCAGGGGTACCTTTACCTTTACTTTTATATATATATTCACAATATATTTCCAGATCAAAAATCATGAAACTGATTATCACGATACAGACTTCAAACGGCTTTTGGAAGTTATATCAATATATCGCCTAGCCCTCGTTGCAGTTAATTTTCCTGATGCATAATTTTATTATTTGGATTTTTTTTTTTCTTGGTTTTTTCCTCTCCCTTTTTTTTACAATCCAGCAATGCGTAAATTTTATGAAATAATAAAATCAATAAAAAAGGGTCCCAGGCAGCTGGAGGGGCACCAGGCTTGCAAAAGGCTTGCAGAGACTTCCCATTCATCTAGGCAGTTCCTCTCCGCAAGATGCATTGTTCACAGCCCCAGAGGCTCCAGGCAAACTGACTGTCTGTGGTGTGCCCCCTCCCCACCCCCTACACTTCCTTCTGAGAAACAGGAACTCCTGCCTTCCCGGCCTGCTAGAAGTGGATTCTTTCACCTTTCATATTTCTGCAGTCACTAGCCAGGGGCGCTGTGTGTGTGTGTGTACACTTAACAGTAAAAAGACAGACTAGGAAGAATGCTGTGATAACCAAACCTCTGCAGTTCCCCACCTGCTTGTTCCAGCTACATGACTCCAACTGAGAAGCCCCCGCTGGCTTGTGCATTGCCCACCCATTGCTCAGCTTTGCTGCACAGTCAGAGGACCTTGAATGGCGCTCCATGAACCACCGCCAGCAGCAGCAGCAATTGAGTTTTGTTCAGGTGTTCCATGGCAGGTCTGCAAAACTGCGATTAAAAATCAAGCAGTGCATGGCCAGTCACTACAACAGGAAGGGGGGGGGAAATAATTAAGTGATCCCTGGTGTATGTGTGTGTGTGGTGGGGACTAGAAACTTGCTGGAATGTTTTTGAACTGGAGAGTCTCAGGATCCGAATTGCTCCGGCAGATGGCGAGTTTTCTGGCGCCGCAGAGAGCCCAGCCACAGCCCCTCGTGCCTCCATTTTGTTTTCTTAATTGCCTCCGGTGGAAAGAAGAACCTTTGGCGTCGTCATGCCTCCTTGCGCAACACGCCAGTGAAGCTTCCTGCCTCCTCTGAATCGGACTCATAAGCTGCAGCCAGCCGGCAACGCTGTTGGCATGTTGGCATGACCTGACCCAAGAGGTCCTCCTCGCTTCGTCTCCCTTCAGCAAGGGGAGGAAGGAGGCTTCCCATTCCGGACATTCTTTCCTCCTTTAAAATCACGTTGTGCAAAAGTACCTGGAGTGTTTTCTCTTGTTAAATAAAGATGCAGCTCCAACCCCCCCCCCCCACATCCTCTCTATTCTTGGACCTCTTTTTAAACCGTCCAGGTTTCCTCCAGGAAGGAACGAGGGACGTAGTTTAACGATGTGCTGCAGGAGGAAGGCCTTTTTAAAGCCCAAATCCTCCCGCTTTGTGGGATGCCCAAGAGTTCTAGTGTTACGCGGGAGGAAAAGTTCCTTGGTCCACTTTCTCCAGGTCATGCAGGAAGTGGTGGTGGGGTGTGTGGTTCCAGCTTGCCAAAGGCGAGAATCGAGTAGGGGGGATGCTCTCAGCCTCTGGAGACCCCGCAGGCAGCATGTGGCCCAGAGACTTGGCCTTCCAAGTCAAAAGTAGCCTGGCGGCAGGTGGACCTGGGCTCTGCGTCGGTGGGTGTGCAAGAGGCTTCTTAAGGGCTGTGGACTCTGCTGCCGTGTCCGCGCAGAGCAGGAACTGCTGAGGGAGGTGAAGCGGGAGCTGAGGCTGCATTTTCAGTTCCCCTCGGCTAAAAATGCAACCGAGAGGGAGGGCCTGGCTGGCGCCAAATGGATCAGGCTGGGCCAGAGGCTGCAGCAATAGCCCAGAGGTCACAGGAAGCCCTTGCCGCTCACGCCTCTTCTAAGAAGTGGATCAGGCCAATGACCCACCTAGTCCAGCATCTTAATCTTGCAGTGGGAGCCGAGCTATTGTGGCTAGTAGCCACTGATAGCTCTTTCCATGAATTTGTAGAATCCTCTTTTAAAGCCGTCCAAATAGTGGCCATCGCTTCCTCCTGCAGGACTTCCTTTTATCTGTCCTGGTTTTCTCAAGGTTCGGCTTCACTGGACGCCCGCAAGTTCTCTGGGTTGCTGGAAGAAGGAGCAGCTGCTTGGAAGCGGCTGTCTTCAGTGGAGCCAGGTGTGTGTGGGGGGAGGGGTCCCCCTCTCCCTGGCCGCCACCCTTCGCTCCTCCCTCCAGAGGCGCAGCTCCCATCTCCCGGAGACCTTCTGCACCCAAAGCAGGCCCTCTGCTCCTAAGGCAGCCTCACCCAGCTGGGTGCTGCCCATGACTATGACTCTCACCAACTCCAGCCAGCGAAATGTGCGCCACTCACATTTCACAAGGCTGCAGAAAGAGCTTGTCACGTGGGGGGGGGGGATCTCTAGGCAAAGCTTGTGGGAGACAGCATCCTGACTCCAGCAAGTGCCTGCGCAGGCCAAAGAGGCAGTCTGGTCCTCTGATGGCTACAGCTGGAGCCAGCCCTGCAGTGATGGCTTCCTGCCCAACAACCTCCCACCCTGCAGGATGTTTCAACAGGGGCCCTCCTGATGTTTCAGACCATCAGCTCTACTATCGTGTGGCTGCGTTGTCTGAGTTTGATGGAACTCAGATAGAAACCATGGGGTGGCCACACCCAGCAGGTTCTTTAGCTGTGAGGGGGTTGGGCTAGATGACCCTCAGGGTCCCTGCCAACTCTGCAAATCAGTGAGCCTGTGGCCACCCAGCTCTTGCCTTTTCCATGGTCTCCAACTGGATCAGTGGCTCCCAAACTTTTTAGAGTCATCCCCATCTCTCCCTATACTCTGAAATGCATTGGGCAAAACAGCAGTTTGAACGACCCACTGGTGAATATAATTACTCAACATCATTCAGAACAGTTGACACTGGATTGCACATTCATTCAAAATAAAATTAGAACTATTTGGTTGAATTAAAGAACAGAATGGTGGAGTTGGAAGGGAGCGCAAGGGTCAACCAGTCCAATGCAGGATCTAGTCTGATAGCCAGCGCCGCCGCCCCCCCAATCCCACTTTCCCTTAGTGCCCCCTAGGAAAACCTGTTGGTGGGTCGGTGGCCAAAGTGTTGGTGCTGACCATGAAAGCCCTAAACGGCTTCGGTCCTGTATACCTGAAGGAGCGTCTCCACCCCCATCGTTCAGCCTGGACACTGAGGTCCAGTGCTGAGGGCCTTCTGGTGGTTCCCTCATTGCGAGAAGTGAGGTTACAGGGAACCAGGCAGAGGGCCTTCTCAGTGGTGGCACCCGCCCTGTGGCACTCCCTCCCACCAGATATCAAGGAAATAAACAAACTATCTTATCTTTAAAAGACATCTGAAGGCAGCCCTGTTTAGGGAAGTTTTTAATATTTAACGCTGTATTGTTTTTAACACTTGATTGGAAGCCGCTCAGAGTGGCTGGGGAAACTCAGCCAGATGGGTGGGGTATAAATAATAAATTATTATTATTATTATTATTGGTCATCATCTTGGGCTGTTTGGCTTCCGACCTCCATGGGGAAGCTAATGCAGCCTTTGTCTGGCTTGGTCTGGGTCCTGCCAGCAGCAGCAGCAGCAGCAGCAGCCAGTCTTTTCTCCTCCTGCCACAAAAAGGCCATTGTTCCTCTTCCTGGCCAGGATTTCACTAACAAATTGCTGTCGGGAATGGTAAGGCCCCAGAGGAGAGGGGTGTGGCTGGGCAGAGGGCTGACCCCGGGATCAGGAGCCAGCTGCACCTGCGCTCATAAGGACAGAGGCAGAGAGCCCTGCTGGATGAAGCCACAGGGCCCGTCTGGTCCAGCGTCCTGTTCTCACAGTGGCCAACCCGGTGCCCTTAATGGGAAACCAGCAGGCAGGATCTGAGCACCAGAGCCCTCTCTCCTGCGGTTTCTGGTATTCAGAAGCAGAGCGTCCTGGCTAGCAGCCTTCAATAACCCTCTGAATTTGCCCTATCCTCTTTTAAAGCCATCTAGGCCGGTGGCTAGGGACGCGGGTGGCGCTGGGGGTTAAACCACAGAGCCTAGGGCTTGCCGATCAGAAGGTCAGTGGTTCGAATCCCCGCGACGGGGTGGGCTCCTGTTGTTTGTCCCTGCTCCTGCCAACCTAGCAGTTCGAAAGCACGTCAAGTGCAAGTAGATAAATAGGTACCGCTCCGGCGGGAAGGTAAACAGTGTTTCCGTGCGCTGCTCTGGTTCGCCAGAAGCGGCTTAGTCATGCTGGCCACATGACCCGGAAGCTGTACGCCGGCTCCCTCGGCCAATAAAGCGAGATGAGCGCCACAATCCCAGTCGTCCGCAACTGGACCTAATGGTCAGGGGTCCCTTTACCTTTACCTAGGCTGGTGGCCATCATTGTCTCCATAGTTTTAACTAGGTGTTGCATTGCCCTGTACTATCATGCAAAATGCTGCTTGAGGAACAGCCCTGACAGACCCGTCCTTTCCGCCCACTGCTGCTCGGCCGTTGACCTTCGGGTCTGGAATGCGGCTGGCCCAAGCCGAGAGCTCGAGGCTCTGCTGCTGGACACATCGCACAGAGAGGCATCCATCCCTCTCGCTTCCCTCCCCGCTGCTCTCATCTGAGGCTCCAGGACATTCCTGGGAAGGCATGACATCACTGGCTTGCTACTGAACCCGAGCTGATCTGTGGCCTTCGGGAGAGGCGTCTCCAGAGATGGATGGAGCCAGAAAACAAGTGCTTTCATGGCTGCAGCAAAAGGGCAGGGGGGTGATGTCTTCTGGAATCCACAGGCGAAGTGGCGGCAGCTCAAATCTCTTATTTCATAGAACTGCAGGGTAGGAAGGGCATCCGTACGGTCATCTAGTCCAACCCCCTGCAATGCAGGAGTCATTAATTGCATCTGCATCCCACCTTCTGCTCCAAGGAGCTCAAGGTGGCGTACACTGTTCTACCTAATAATAATAATAATAATAATAATAATAATAATTTATTATTTATGCCCCGCCCATCTGGCTGGGCTTCCCCAGTCATTCTGGGCGGCTTCCAAAAAAATATTAAAATACCGTAATACATCAAACATTAAAAACTTCCTTAAACAAGGCTGTCTACAGATGACTTCTAAAAGTCTGGTAGTTGTTGTTCTCTTTGACATCTGGTGGGAGGGCGTTCCACAGGGTGGGCGCTACTACCGAGAAGGCCCTCTGCCTGGTTCCCTGTAGCGTTGCTTCTCGCAATGAGGGAACCACCAGAAGGCCCTCAGAGCTGGATCTCGGTGTCTGGGCAGAACGATTAGAGTAGAGACGCTCCTTCAGGTCTACTGGGCCAAGGCCGTTTAGGGCTTTCAAGGTCAGCACCAACACTTTGAATTGTGCTCGGAAATGTCCCGGAAGCCAATGTAGGTCTTTCAAGACCGGTGTTATGTGGTCTCGGCGGCCGCTCCCAGTCACCAGTCTAGCTGCCGCATTCTGGATTAGTTGTAGTTTCCGGGTCACCTTCAAAGGTAGCCCCACGTAGAGCACATTGCAGTAGTCCAATGCTATCCCCACAACAAGCTTGTGAGGTAGGTTAGGCTGAGAGGCAGGGACTTGACACCTGATCTCTCCCAGGTCCTAGTTTGACACTTTAACCCCTTATGTCACAATGGTTTTCATTTTGGGAATATCTTGGCCCTTGGACCAATGCCACCAGCTTCAGCCAGCCAGAGCCTGCCAGTCGTATGCACTGCCTCACCCCTTGTGTCGGAGAGGTGATGTTTTACAGCCTTTGCACAAAGACAAGGTGCTAGGCCCTGTGGGCTGAGGGAGGAGCTTCAAAAACTTGGGAGGCAGAGGAGGTGTGCAGTAAATCAAAGGCTCAGGGACTTGAGTGTAGTTCACGGCTCCTTGATAGGAGAGTGGCCACAAGCCAGCAGCAGAGCAGCTGCTTATAATAATAATAATAATGATGATGATAATAATAATAATAATAGTAATAATTTATTATTTATACCCCGCCCATCTGGCTGGGCTTCCCCCAGCCACTCTGGGCGGCTTCCAAAAAAATATTAAAATACTGTAATACATCAAACATTAAAATCTTCCCTAAACAGGGCTGCCTTCAGATGTCTTCTAAAAGTCTGGTAGTTGTTGTTCACTATTTGACATCTGGTGGGAGGGTGTTCCACAGGGAGGGCGCCACTACCGAGAAGGCCCTCTGCCTGGTTCCCTGTAACTTGGCTTCTCGCAGGGAGGGAACCGCCAGAAGGCCCTCGGAGCTGGACCTCAGTGTCCGGGCAGAACAATGGGGGTGGAGACACTCCTTCAGATATACTGGACTGAGGCCATTTAGGGTTTTAAAGGTCAGCACCAACACTTTGAATTGTGCTCGGAAACGTACTGCTTGGCATGCAGAAGGTCTCAGTTTCATCCTAGGCACCTCCCCTTTTGAAGACCTTGGGAAGCAAGGCAGGTAAAGATTCCCCCCTTCCTCCTGTCAGCTAGGACAGATATCAGGCAGAGGGAGCAACTGGTCCACTGCAACTGCTGCTACAACTGGAAAAAAATACTCAGTGCTTTATTTCATCATGGGAGGGGGGGAGCCAATGAAAATAGATACCTGGCAGTACAATTTTTTCCACACACACACACACACCCCTTGCCACAGAGACAGCAAAGAGGCCCACACACCCGGGATGTGGGAGGACAAGCAGAAGAGAAAACCTGGCCTGATGCCAGAATGTCCCTGCCTTGGAGCAGCAACCCTGGGCTAGTAGCTGCATCACAAGCCTCCTTTCCGGAGAGCTCCTTGGCCAGCCTGACTCCACCAGCTGACCCGAGACTTCTTACCCAGGGAACCAAGTTACCTGCATTCAGTCTTTACTGGTTGCTCTGAGCCCTCACTTCCTAGGAGCTTTTCCCTCAGCCATTCCCCTTCTTCCCTATCGATCCCAGGCCCCTGGCTGGTGGTATCTCTCTGCTCCAGCCTACCCCCCTGCTTGACCCAGGCTGGACCTCTGGATCAGCCTCAAACTACCCTTTCCTTAGGATCCCTCCCTTGAGCTTCTGGGACCTCACTGAGGTGGCCTGATCCTGCCACTTCTTTCTGATCTCTCTTGCTAGGAGTAAGGCCTGGTGGGCTCTGAGCAGGGCAGAGAAGCGAGTCTCTTTGCATCTCTATGCTTGGAGAAGCATTTGTGTCCCTTTGCCTGGATCAAGAGCTGATGCCCAGGACATAAGGTGTGCAAGGGTTAAGCTGAGCACCTCTGCTTGGTCCTCTAAGTGCTTCTGCACCCTCCCAGCTCAATGTACGTATTTCTGCTTTATGTCTCCCAGCCCGATCTTTCCCAGCCGAGCCCAACTCTCAGGTGGTTCTTTCACCAATGTCCAATGCAGCCCTGTACCTTCAAAACATCACAGTCAAGAGCAAATGAATCCCACCAATGCTGTCCCCCAATTCCTGCCTGCCTGAGGTTTCTAGGAATTTGGGGGAAGGGTCTGTGAATTCTCCAGGACAGAGAAGCTCCAGCAGCAGATAGGCAGAGATGATTAGCTCCCGGGGGCTGCAAGGGGGTGCTGACGCCACGCAGAACTTGTTCCAATGTGCAGAATATGCATAACTCGCTTTAGGGAACTTCAGTGTAGAAGCTGGGGAAAGGGGAAGAGAGACCGTCTCACCACCAGCCCCATTTTATTTCTAAAGTCCAGGCGCTCCCAGGGTTTGGCACTTTGGCCCAGCTCAGTGACAGGCATCTATCGTAGAGCTGGACCTCACTGGGCAGCAGGAAAGCCCCACGCGGGAGAAGGAACGAGACGGAAGGAGGACAGGCTGCCGTTTGCAGAGGCAAAGAGAGAAACTCCCCTCTACCCCACTGGGAAAAAGGACCGGCTACAACCACTTGCCATTCCTGCTAAGGGCCAAGTGGGAAAAGGAGTCACAACGACCTCCTTCAGGCAAGTCCCAGATCCGGGCAAGGAGTCTCTGCCTTCAAGAGCCGCTGGACTTGTCACCATCACAACACACAGCCCCAGTGAGCTAGTCCAGGGCCAGTTCTGTCCCTGTCCTGGGTTGGCAGCAGAGCACATTCTGAGTTTTGTTTTTACTTTTACAAAGATGTCCCATTGATCAAAAGGCCCGTCAACCAGCCACACCGTCTGCTCTGTTGTCGGACATATGACGGCAGGGTCCCAATTCCTACGGGGCCCACTGGTTCTTTTCAGCCCAGTCACAGGTGCCCCTTCTGAAATGTCCTGGGGCCTGCCGGAAGGATCTGACGCTGGCAAGCAGGCTGCTCCTCCTCCCCACAAGAAATCCAGAGGCTTTCCCTCAGCTCAAAGGCAGGCTTTTGCTAGAAGCGTTTGTCTTCTGGCTGGGAACTGACCACCAGCTCCTTGTTGCCAAAGTCCCACCACGCAGTCATGTGGAAGGCCATGTTAGAAAAAACCACCAGGTACTCCAAGAAGGCAAAGATGGTGTAAACTAGGGAAGGAAAGAAAGAGAGGGAAACAAGGTCAGGAATCTCAGGTGTCTGAAACAGCGCCAAGCACAGCTTATATATTTTGAGTCCATAAGGGCTAGAAACGTGGATTTTAACCCAGGAGTCCTGGGATGCTCAGTTCCACCTGAGGAACACTTCACATGTTCTGCCAACACACCTGCCTCTTGTACACAGCTGCCTTTCAGTGTTCTCAAAGGCACCTCCCAATCACTCACTGGCGAGCATTTCCCATGTGGCTCAGATAATACGGTAAGTGATCCAGTTAGATTGAAATACTTTATTGTCACTTGTGCAACTTGTATACAGTGAGATTACACGAGCACCCCCCACTCAGATCTCTTAGTCTTAATTCCCCTCGTTTACTGACACCCACCCACCAAACCCGAAAGTCAGTTGCCCTGTTGTTCTCTTTCCATTCAGCAGCCTAACAGCCCACGGACAGAAGCTGTTATTTACCCTGTTGGCACGACTAATCATGCTTCTATATCTTCTGCCTGAGGGCAGGAGATCAAGAAAGTGCCGGCCAGGGTGGGAATCATCCCTGAGAATTTTCCTCACTCTCCTGAGGCAACATTCTTCCACTATTTCATCCAGCGGATTCACGGGACAGCCCATAATATCTTGTGCTGTATTTACCACCCTCTGTAGGCACTTCCTATCAGTTGATGTCAAACCAGCGTACCACACTGTGATGCAGTATGAAAGGACACTTTCTATTGTGGACCGGTAGAAGGAGATCATCAAATGTTGATTGACATCGTTCTTCTGCAATACTCTGAGGAGATGGAGTCTCTGTTTGGCTTTCTTAACCACCTGGTTTGTATTTATTTTCCAAGTAAGGTCTTCACTGAGATAAACTCCTAGGAATTTAAAGGAAGAGACTCTCTCCACACAGCCTTCCCCAATGTACAGTGGGGCTAGTTCTCTCCTCTTCCTCCGAAAGGTGTTCCTTAGGCACCATGTAGATATTTTTTGGACCTCTCCTCTATACGCTGATTCGTCTCCACCTGTTAATAAACCCATTATGGTGGTGTCATCTGCAAACTTAATAATTGCAGTAGACGGGTCAGATGATACACAATCGTATGTATACAATGAATACAGGATGGAGTTTTAAAAGGCCGTCTCAGCGCAGGGAAATGCAGGCAGCAAGAGGGAGGCTCCGAGCCATGTCTATAGTAAAAAAGAATGATGCTCGACAGAGCCTCTGCCTCCCCACCACATCAAACCAGGCAAAGGAGACATAGAAACACACCCACGTACCTGGTACACCTGCCCACCAGGTGCTGCTGGGTTCAGGCTCTCATCCCTAGCTAGAGGCCCTGCTGGCTGCTGGAAGTTAGAGTTCACCAACGTGTGGAGGGTGCCCAAGTTGGCGATCCCTGGCCTAGCGGTTAATGGGGTGCAGGAGCCACTAAGCGGCCTGTGCCCATCTTTCCTCTGCTACAAACAGGAGGCATGGGGCAAGCACCAACACCAGAGCCACAGGAATCCTCTCCTACAAAGGAAAGTCACAAAGCAGGCGCGTAGGGTGCTCTGGCACCGCAGACCAAACGCCAGCACCGAGCGGTCAAAGTTTCTTAGCATGAGCAAGAGGCTGAATCCCCAAAGGGGACTTACCTCCGGGCTCGCAGTACCAGTTGTGGCGGAAGTAGAAGTACACGGCTACTGAGAACGTGACCAGGTTGAAGAGGAACAGCCACCACTTCCACTTGTAGGATTTGCGCTCCTGCAAGAGAGGGAGAGAGGGGCGAGGTTACTCCCGCCAGGATGAAGGCTGGCAGCCCCACCTTTGCACACGCATGCCCACTCAGCAGCAGTGGATGCAGGACTTGAGGCCCTGCTCCTCAAGGCTTAGCATGTAACCTGTTTGCAGCAACAGGAACACAAGGAGACCTGAATAGGGAGGTCACCTGTGGCCACCTCACCTCAGAAAGGATACCGTTGAGCTGGAAAAGGTGACCCAAGTAATCAAGGGATTTTGGAGTGCCTCCCCTGTGAGGCCAAGTGACAATGTTCAGAGCTTTTTAGCTGAGAAAATCAACGAGTAAGAGGAGATAGGAGAGTGGGGTTTACGTTTGTGCATGGTGTGAAGATGTTTTTCTCCCTGTGACTCATAACGCTAGACCTCTGGGAAGCTGAGATTTGGAAGATTCAAGATAAGCGAAAGGAAGGGACTGCTTCACACAGCACAGTTAAAATAGGGAATTTGCTGCTACAAGATGTAGTCATGGCCAGCAACTTGAGTGGGGGCTTGGACAAATTCACGAAGGATAAGGCTATATAAAAATGGCTGCCAGGCATGATGGCTGTGTGATCCCTCCGCTATCAGAGGCAGAATGCTTCTGAATACCAGTTGCTGGAAACAGCAGGAGGGGAGAGGGCTCTTGAGCTTATAACTCCTGCTTGCAAGCTTCCCATTGGCCATTTGGTTGTGCAACTCACAACAGATCCGCACTCTGAAGCCCAGGGCTCCTACAGATGGGCCACAACTTGCCTATCACAGCTTCCTCCCATCATTCCTGACGACTGGCCCTGCAAGCTAGGGATGGTGGGGGTTGTAGTCTAAAAACAGCTGGGGACCACAGTTTGGGAAACGCTGCCTTAAGGGATAAAGAGCAAAAGGGCGGGGAGGCTCATCGCCAAGGGTGTCTCCACGGCTGACAGGCTCAACACAGCGCCCCAACACAGAGCAGCCCTGAGTTGCAACCGCTAATATAGGGGAAGTACAAATCCTCGCTCGGCTTGGCTCCCTGACTCAGCTTATTTGAGGGAAATGGGATGCAACAGCAGCAGAAGCATTAAGGAGGGTGGGAGAACTTAAGAGCTGGTTGCGGCATGATGCCTGGGCCCACACCCACACCCCAGGGAGGAAGAGGGCCTTGCTTCTGCCACGAGAAAAGTCTGACAGAGGGGCTGGGCCATAGAGATGAATGGGGTGTGGGAAAAAGGCCCCCCACTTCTGGTTATTGCCCATCCATGCAGGCAAGGGGAACCCCCACCACTGTCTCACCCCGGGGCGTAGAAACTCCAAACCACAAATGTTTAGATTGCAGCTTTCGTTTCCATTTGCTTTCGTCAAAGAGAAGCACAAAGATTTCAGGGGGAAAGTGGGAGGTTTAGAAAGAACAGGGGGGAAAACAAGTTTTGAGATGGGGGCAAGTGGGAGGGGAGAAGTATATAGATAGGAGAATAATATTGTTAAGCTGTATTGTGTTTAAGATATTTGGAAAAAATTATTGGGGCGGGAAGTGGGAGGGGATAAGAAAGAGCAACGGGATGGGAGGAGCCACGGCAAAGCATCTGGTCAAGGCGGAGAACAGGGCAGCAATTCTAGAAAACTGGGTTCAACATGAATTCGGGCAACGGCAGTAACCTCTCCGGTGCTTTCTAGTGATATACGGAAAGCCATTTCAGTCTTCTAGTCCAAATTGTTACAGCTCCCACATTTCTGTGTCTGAATGGCTCTCCTGCTCCTCATTTCTCTCTTTGCCTCTTTTGCTCCTTTAGCATAGAGCCAGTGTGGTGTAGAGGTTGGAGGGTCAGCCTAGGATCTGAGAGACCAGGGTTCAAATTCCCACTTGGCCATGAAGCTCCCTGGGTGTCGCGTCACTCTCCCTCTCAAGTCTCACCTACCTCACAGGGTTGTTGTGGGGATGAAACGAGTGGGGAGAACCGTGTACGCCCCCTGCGCTCCCTGGAGACAGGGACAGGGGGGACAGAAATGCAAGCAATAAATAAAACAAGTAGCAGAGCAGCGCAGGGGCTGAACTGTGTTAACGTGTCCCCTACTAGCACGCTGTTGTGGCCCAAGACCTGCTCCGTGGCAGCGTGAGAAGCCCAGCCCTTCTGTGCTAGAGCGGAAGTGCCAAGGCAGACGGGAGGGAGGGAAGCCAGGAGCAGGAACCGCAAGCAGAAATCTCTTATGTAAAAATTCACACAGGAAATGGCAGGTGGCAATTCATTGTGTTTGCGCAGGCGGTGTCAAAATTCCTCTTTAGCCTCCCTTAGTCAGTGGCTCCCAAGTACACACACACACACGTCTGTGCCCTTGCTTGTCCTCAGCATGCAGTCCCTCCTCTCTCTTGGCCCTGTGCCTACTGTCCCCTCCACACACAGAGACACATACCCATTACCCTGCTCCTTGCCATTCCTTGCTTCAGTTCCCTGTGTCTTCAGCTCTCCAACCCTCCCTCCCCAACAGCTTGCAATTCTTGCCCTGCAGTCCTGTGCAAGAGCTTCTACGATGTAGGCCAAAGTGGGCCCATCTAGTCCAACAAATCGTCCCGGCGGGGAGCCTCGAAAGACGGCCTGGGTGTGACAGCAACTCTCCGCCCTTGCCCTTCCCAGCAACTGGCATTCAGAGGCATACGGCCTCTAGCGGAGCAGAGAGAGCACAGCCACCCTCAGGATTAGCAGCTCCTGACAGCCTTCTCTTCCTCCATGAGTGTATCTCATGCCTTTTGAAAGCCAGCCACGTTGATAGCCATCCGTACTTTTCAGAGGAGCCAACGCCATAGTTTTTACTTTATGAAGAAGTGCTTTCTTTTGTCTGCTCTTTAATTTCCCACCAATCAGCTTCATTTGATCAAACCTGGGTTCTAGTACTTGGAGGGAGTAAAGTGCACAACTTGACACACTTAGGCCTAGGACCCTCGTACCTACGGGACTGCCTCTCCTGGTATGCCCCGCAGAGGACCTTAAGGTCCACAAATGACAACATTTTGGAAGTCACAAGTCACAAGGTGGTTAGATTGGTCTCAGCTAGGGCCAGGGCCTTTTCAGTACTGTCCCTAACTTGGTGGAATGCTCTGTCACAAGAGACTAGGGCCCTGCGGGACTTGACATCAAGTCAAGTGCCAAGGAATTATTGAGAAGACAAAGCTCCAAACAATGATCAGTAAAATATTGAGCAAACCTGGACAGCCCTCTGGTGGCAGAACTTTATACCAAACTCCACCAGTTGCTGCTCTCCCCATTGCCCATAATTTAGATTGTGGGTTTGGGGGTGGTGGTCTGGATGATACCCTGAGTCCCTTTCAGTTCTTGGGGTCTGGTAACCAGGGAGGAATAGAATCAAATAGGAGTTTGCTTAAGTAGTCAGATGAGTTTCTTTGGAAGACAACGACCTTAGTTGGTCACTTCAGTGTCCTCACCAGCATCCCCAGAGAATGAGCTAGCTTGCAAGAGTCCTGACTAATGGGCAGCCTTTCCTCCAACCCACACATAGCTGATAGCCAGAACTGTATGTGAGCTGAGCTGGGAAACAGGCTGGAAGCTGGAGACCCAGAGGCCTGCTTGCTCCGTGCTGGATCCAAAGCTGTGACCGATGGAGAAGCAAGACCTGTTGGGGTGTTGATGCTGTGAGCCCTGCCGTGTTATGAGCAGGTTATATATACATGTAAACAAAACCAAATACTGTGGTACCTTGGTTGTCAAACTTAATCCGTTTGACTCCCGAGGTGGTTCGAAAACCAAGGCGCAGCTTCTGATTGGCTGCAGGAGCTTCCTGCACTCAAGCAGAAGCCGCATCAGACGTTCAGCTTCCAAAAAACGTTTGCAAACCGGAACACTCGCTTCCGGGTTTGCGGGGTTCGGGAGCCAAAACGTACCAAGGCTTTCGACAACAAAGGTTGTCCTAAAGACACCACAGTATCCGCTGACCTTAATTCCAAGGAAACTGAACCCTGGGTAAGCATCTGGAACCCCTGGAGTCTCTCACCATTCAGAGAATGGGGTGGTGCGTAACAATATACATCTCAAGAGATGGAAAGGTTACAGCAGGGGTCAGCAAACGTTTTCGGCAGGGGGCCGGTCCGCTGTCCCTCAGACCTTGTGGGGGGCCAGACTATATTTTTTTGCGGGAAATGAATGAATTCCTATGCCCCACAAATAACCTAGAGATGCATTTTAAATAAAAGGGCACATTCTACAGTGATCCATGCGACGGTCACCTCCAGGCTTGACTACTGTAATTCGCTCTACGCAGGGCTGCCCTTGAAGCTGTCCCAGAAACTCCAGCGGGTGCAGAATGCTGCAGCGAGGCTCCTCACGGGGTCTCTGCCATGGAAGCATATTCACCCAGTGCTTTTCCAGCTGCACTGGCTCCCGGTGGAGTACAGGGTCAGATTTAAGGTGCTGGTTTTGACCTTTAAAGCCCTTCATGGCCTAGGACCCTCGTACCTACAGGACCGCCTCTCCCGGTATGCCCCATGGAGAGCCTCAAGGTCCATAAATAGCAACACCCTAGTGGTCCCGGGCCCTAAGGAAGTTAGATTAGCCTCAACCAGAGCCAGGGCCTTTTCAACTCTGGCTCTGGCCTGGTGGAATGCTCTGCCTCATGAGACCAGGGCCCTGCAGGATCTGATTTCTTTCCACAGGGCCTGTAAGACAGAGTTGTTCCACCTCGCCTTTGGCTTGGAGCCAATTTGATTCCCTCCCCTCCCCCTTTCTTTTTTCTTTTTCCTTTCTCCTCCTGTGATGAGGCTGCATTTTAATATTTTAATGTTTCAATATTTTAATCTTGTTTTTAAGTTGTATTCATTCAACTTGTTTTTATTATTGCTTATTAGCCGCCCTGAGCCCGGCCTTGGCTGAGGAGGGCAGGGTATAAATAAAAATTATTATTATTACTCCTGTAAAAACACGTTGATTCCCAGACCGTCTGCGGGCCAGATTTAGAAGGTGATTGGGCTGGATCCGGCCCCCAGGCCTTAGGTTGCCTACCTATGGGTTACAGCCATCCAACAACCATTTTGATGAGATCAGAGTGTTTATGTCTCACTTGTTTTAATTGTACCAAGCTGTATCTAACCTGCCCAGGCACCACATGTGGATGGGGTACTCTAAATCAACACATTTGGAAGCACAACTATGGAAACATGATGTTCGAAGCAGCGCTATCGAGACCCAGGCAAGCCTGCCAAGTTCAGCCCTCAGCTCCAAACCCTCCTCACATCCGCCAATGAAAGAAAGAGAGGGGACTGTACCTCGGGACTTACTGCATGCTTCTTAGTCATTCGCCACAAAACGCAAGTCAGGAACATGTGGCTGAGGGCCGAAGCTATGAAGAGGATGAAGGCGTTCTCGTGGATCACTGCAGCAAAGAAAGGACATGCAATGCTAACTGTGAGCAAGAAGCAGAAGCGGCCGCCACCACCAAAGTTCAACTAGCCACGGGGGACACGCAAACTCCTAGGCACAACATAAAAAGTAACAGCTAATTGTGCATCTGAACCTCGCGCCTAGTGAGAAAGCGTTCTTCTGCCTAAGCCGTATAGAAGCCAGAGGGAGCTGCAGCTGTTTTCTGCTGCTCTAGTGAGGAGGACCCGAACCGATGGATTTAAATGCCAAGAAAGGAGAGTCTGACTAATCCATAGGAAGAACTTTCTGACGGTAAGAGCTGCACAACAGTGGAACAGACTCCCTTGGAAGATGGTGGAGTCTCCCTTCACTGTATATTTTAAAGCAGAGGTTGGATGGCCGTCTGTGTCAGGTGTGTGTGTAGGAGCCAGGCCCTGTGACCAATAGGACTCTGCAGGACTGGGGCCTTCCTAAATTTGTTCTGAAGAGGCAACATGCAGCCTCACACGTGAGGCCGATTGGTAACTCACAGTACCTGGTGGGAAGAGCCAGGAAGGGATATAAGGTTAGCATTTTCCCTTCAGCTCTTTGCCACAGCAACGCGTTCCTTGCCTTGCTGTGTTTGACTCCTTGCTTCTTGATCCTCAGACCCTTGACTTTGTGACTTTCTTCCTGACCCTCGGCTTCTTGACTCTCGGCTCTCTGACCCCTCGGACTCTTGGCTTTCTGACTCCTGGCTTCTGGACTCCCGTTCCTGCTCCCACCCCGCCATCTTGCCCCCGGTCCCGACGTCCCCAGCCGGGACTTCGATTGCCCGTGAACCGGACTGTGACAATCTGTCAGTGATTCAATAACTGAGATTTCTGCATTGCAGGGGAGTCGACTAGATGACAATTATATGATTCTTTGAGAGAGTCTGGAACAGAGATCTGGGGCAGGAGGCAGAGCAGGCTAGGCGAGAGAGGACCAGAGGAGGCACGGTGGCTCCAGCCAACCAGCCCCCTCCCAACCAGCTCATAAGGGCAGTGCTGTTGTGCCCCAGTGACAACCCCCAAGCTCTCAGGCCCACAAACCAGAAGGCATCCACCTGCCAGTGAGCCAGGCTGGCGCTGCACCAGGCGCTGATACTTACGGTAGTTCTCCGAGGAGGAGACGTAGGTCAGCAGTAGGAGGGCCGTGTTCTCCAGCAGGTTGAGGCCGAAGGCTGCATTGCACAGGCGGAGGTACCGCGGGTGTGTGCAGTGGCAGCCGCGGTAGTGGCTCCAGTAGACAAAGGCCACGAGGAAGCGGGGCCCAGAGTGCAGCCCGATGCAGAAACGCCACATGTAGCGCTCGGGGGTCTCCCCACCAATGGCAGAGCTGATGGAGGGGAGGTAGTTGGGGACCTGTAGGGGAAAACTAAAGTCAGTGGTATTGCAAATCTGACAGTTCTTCTCCCTGTTACCTGCCACCGTGGAGAAGCTGGAGAAGCACCATTTCCCCTTGCAGGCAGGCACCCGCTGCTCACAAGCCTCCTCTTCTTACGATGCTGGACTTTGGGGCTTATTTGCTGTTGGTCTTGCGGCGTCACTCTCCTACCTACAGGCGCTTCAGCCTCTGACCCCCCCAGCGATGTTCCTCTTGCCATAGCTGGCAAGGGGAACGGGAGCACCCCAAACCCTTCACTCACAAAGGCTGAAGATAGGTTTTTGGTCCCTGCTGGCTGAATTCTGTTAGCTCTGACCAGACAGCCTCCGCAGAGATCCCTTCGTCTTATGCACTCTTATTGTACTCTCCCATGCAAACCTGCCTGGGTAGGCCCTAATCTCTGTTCTGCCACCCTCTCAGGCACACACGGTGTTGATGTGTGGGAGGGTTTTTTCAGTGGCTGCCCCCAGGCAACTTTGGATCTCCCTCCCTAGAGACGCTAGACTGGCTCCTTCTTGCTGTCCTTCCACAGGGAGGTGAAGACTGTTTTATTGCAACAGGACTTTGGCACTAACTCTAACTGCTCTTCTTAAGCAAATGACCCAGAACCCTTGAAACCGAATCCCCGTAAAAGACGTGACTGTACTATAACAATGGTGATAAAATTCCAACATAGGGCAATCTTTAAATGCACACACAGACACTCAATGAGGACTTACATCACAGTGGGTGGCAGTGGTTTCATCAAAGTGAAAGAACAGGGACCAGATGACGCAGAAGAGGAAGCCAAAGAGTGGGCAGCACACGGTCCCGACTGCCAGGGTGGTAAAACGGAGGCGGAAGAGGGTCCCGTCCCGATCCAAAGGGAGCGGCAGCTGGAACATGCTGCCAAACCTATGCGCATGGAAAGACAAGCATTTGTGCTGTGCTTCTTTCAGAAGCAGCAGAGAGTATTCCCTATCAGTCTCCACGGCTGTGGATAAAGATCTGAAAAGCAGCCGGGATGCGTATCTGGTTACTCAGGAATACAAAGAGGAGGCTCACAGGCATCAGGGCTTCTTTCCATCGCAAAATCGACAAAGCGCCAGGTCTGGACGGCAGCCACCTGAGATTTCTCAAATGAATTCCAGTACAAAATCACTCATCTTCTAAACGAAAATATGTTACCTTGTCCCCTGAGTTCAGCTTCCGTACCTCCAGGTTGGCTTGAAAGCTGCGGCTGGTGCAAAACTAGAATACTGCCACCAGGTCACAATGCTGCTGGAAGAACTGCAAAAGGACACTTGACTTGCATGCATTTAACTTGCATTATATCAGCTTTAAGCAACTGGTGTCAAGCCAGCTGTGACTGCACAAATTAAATGCATACAGGGTGGAGAGCTTAAAAGCTATTTTTTCCCGAGTGCAGAAGGAGCCTTTAAGCTGTCTGCCTTGCTTATTAGGAGGCTCTTCCGAGATCTCAGACTGTCCTGCCACCTGGAACTGACCTCCAGGACTTACTGCTGTGCCATGTAAGATGCCCCCTGAGGAGCAAGGCTGGGTAGTGCAAGGCCAGAAGGCTGCCTGGCATGACCCCCAGGGCAAAGCAGATTGAGAATGTGGAGGACTCTGCCTTCTTCCACCAGGAGAACCCTGTGATCCCCGAATGAAGAACGGCATGGGAATTTAATAAAATAAATAAATAGCTTTAAAGCTCTCCGCCTTGCGTGGGGTGCAAGGCCTGTCCAACCTAGCTTCTGAAAGGTAGGTGTGGGCATGTGGAGGTGGCTTCCATTCTTCCCCATAGAGAAGAATCCAGAGTTGTTCAACGATATACAGGCCTCCTGACTCTCCCACCTGTTAACGGAGAAATCTGAGGGCTCCCTTGGACAAAAAACAAGGACACCAGCCAGGAATACCAGAGCAAAACAGCAGCCAGTAGGCTTGGTCTTTATTGAAGACTGTCGCAACAGGACTCCCACCTGCCACAAGGTGGAACAAGATGGAAGCCCCGAACAAAAGAGCCCCCAAACTTTTATTAGCTGCTAATCCCCATGTCACCCCCCCCACTACATCACTCATACATCACGGTTACATCATGATTGGGGAGGTCTGGTGGCAGTGATGTGAGCATCCTGGACCCTGCCCCAGGGTTCTCCTTGCCCTCCACCAAACACCCATCGAGTGTAACAAAAGAGATATTTACATTTCCCTGTTTCCCAGCCAAGTTAATCACACCCTTTTGTCTTCATCTGGGTTTGTTATTTCCGGAATGGCCACCTGTCCGGCACTCAGGTATCAGGATACCAGGAATGATCACTCAGGCAGAGGGGCTGCTGAGTAGCTGAGCTCACATGTCTATATGCATTTCTGAAGTTTTCCCAGTGAGCATTGATCAGTGAATTCTTACATTTGGTATTGTGCAGCAAAGGCCCTTTTGAACAGATAGGAAGAAACTGTGATGAAGTGTTTTGTGGGGACAGATCACAAAAGTCACAAAAGTGATTGTGCTGGTTTTGGTAGTGGGCTGCATGTGCATGATATCTGCTGGAGGGGCAACCCCCCCCAACCTAAACATAAATTCCTGCAACACTCCCCCTGCACCGTCACCTGCTCTGCGAAGTGGATACTGACAATTGTGACCAACACCTTTGCATCCCCCGTGCGGGAGAAAGCCAGCCTCACCTGCTGGGGAAATGGGCACAGCAACTCCTGTTCTTCAGGACTTCTGCTTGAACCACAAAGGCCTAGCCTTCCATCTCAAGACAAGAACTGAGCCTGGACAGTCCCTCCTCCACGTAGGCCCCGTCTGATTTACTGTTCACACAAGCAAAGGCACGAGGAGGAAGTGAGCCAATGTTTTCGTAACTGGGCAGGTCAGATCTGGCAGCTGAGCTGGTGAATGCTGACCTAGGAAGAAGAATTCTACTCAGCCTGTCACACAGAACCCAGCCACACCCGCAGCAGAGCTCACCTGAGAGCAATGTCACCCTTTCTGACTCACAAAGAGCATCTGCTTAAGGCAGGCCTTTTCCTGCTCCAGCTGGACTCAGTTAGTGAAGCCATTGCAGTGACTGCAACAGGAGCTTGATATAAAAAACTGTGGCACTCACGGTCGACGGGTGTGTTACACCATAGCTGCAGCCGAGAGGTGATGGCAGCAGCCACCACAGTGCCAAAATTCACGGCACAACTTCTGTGCGGGTGGGGCCCACTGGGAGCAGGCAGGGTTACGCCAGCTGCTATAAGCAACACACCCATTGCACACGGCAATTAAAAGGTGTGCTGGAGAGTTTCAAGAACGCTGGAACCAGGCTTGAGGTACTGCCCAATGTCACAAAATCCTGCCCAAGCACTTCACACCCACGTGCCCCCCCATCTACCCAAGGCTGCCTGAAGCAGAGGACAAATCAGTAATAACCAAGACAACAAAAATAATTTTATGACCACTGCTCCATAGCTATTGTTGTTATACAATTCCATTCACCAGATAGATGGGTTTATGAAGCATTTCTGTATCCTTCTGCTGCGCTGAAGAAGAATTCTACGAAACAGTGGGTATATCCGGAATCACTGTTCACTGCGTCTGTTTGCGGACCACTTCGGCAGCGTTGGACGTTATAAAACAAAGCTTTACGGCTTGTTTTCACCAGATAAGAATCTGACCCACTGCTTCTTTCAGAGACTTGCATAGTCTACAAAGACTTTCAGAGACTGTCTGTGGGGCAGTTATAAAAGCAGAGGGCAACGCACATGATGCACAGCTCTCTTCTCCAACAGGAGATGCGGGTTCTTGTGCTTGAATCCCACGTTTCCCAGAAGGGGCAAGGCTAGAGGAGCAAACCCTCCACAGATCTGGAGCGGAGTCCCTAAGGCGGTTGGGATGGCGCACTGCATGCCTACTTCGGGCAACTCCTGTAGCCCAGCTGGTGCCCAACACCTTGCTGTTTTTCTTTGTGGGGGTCTTGTCGTCTGGGCAGCCCAGGACCCCCAGGCACGTGGCCCGGGCTTGCTCCTCGGGGAGGTCTGGAGACAGTGGGGTATCATAACTCCCAGTGCATCTGTTTGCGGGGACAGGATACTGGGCCAGGTGCCTGGGTGATACATATGGCTTTCAACATCATGCTATACCACCAGCTACACATTGCAATAGGTCACGGTGCATGAAATAAGGATGGAGCTACATGGAGGCATTGGTATCCCCCCCACACACTGTGTTTTTCGCATAGCACACATCGTGATTTGCAATATATTGCCAGGTCAGAAATTATGAAACGGGGATGACGATAGGGACCTCGAACTGGTCTGGGGCGACCTATGGCTCTATCGCCCGGGTCCTAGAGGAGCCCTTGGGCCTGATCCAGCAGCTGCTCTCCTCGTGCCCTCCTGCTCCCAGGTGGAGGTTTGCCGCCTCCCGGCACATGCCTCCCGAGGCAGCTGACGGGAGGGCCGGCCCTGAATCCCCCGCGGCGGGAAGGCGGACACTTGCGGGAAGCCGGCCTTCGGGGCTAGAAAGCGAGCCGCTGCCCCGGCGGACCCCCTCCGACCCTGCCCCGCTTCTCCCTCTCGCCCGCCCGCGTCGCCTTTACCTCCGAGGGGAGCTTCGGGATGGAGCGCTCCGGAGCGGCGCCTTCTGCTGCCTCAGCCTCGGAAGGAACCGGGAGACCTTCCCTCCTCCGCCCCGGACCCGCTTCTGAGGGGAGAAGGGAGGAGAGGAGGGCCAAGGCGAAGCCGCGGCGCCCGCCCTTTGCCCGCCCAGGCAGGCCCCAGTGGGAGGCCGCGAGGCCTCCGACCGACACGCCCCGGCGTCGGCCGCGTTCCAGGCGCTTCTCTCCCTCCCAACGGAGGGCGGCGGCTCCCCCGCGCACTTCAGATGCACTCTGCACATGCTCGGGAGGCTTAGACAAGGGGGGAGAGGCGTCTCCTCTTCCTGAGGAGGTTAACGTGCCTCCTTCGAACTGGGGACTCCCCTCACCCCACGGCCGGGCTTTTATGAGGGCGAGGGTTTCTCCTCAGCCTGTGGGCTTTTCGTAGCCCCCTCACCGGGCCTGGCGAAGCGCCCTTTTTCTCTCCCCCCCCCGCGAACTACGACTCCCGTCAGCCCGTCGCGAGGGCCGCGCTGGCAGGGGCCGATGGGAGTTGTAGTCGGGGGGGGGGAGAGTAAGGCGACCGGGTTCACCGCGGCTTTTTGTTGGCGGCGCCCTTCAGTGGCCCAGGCCCGGGTTCGGCTTCGTTTCTGGGACAATGGCAGGAGCCCACTGCGCTCGCTTACTCGGCAGTAGCCCCCATTGGTTTCAATGGGGCCGACTCCCGGGTAAGGATCGTGCCGCCCATTATTTATTTCTTAACCCGGCGCTTTCGGTTTGTCTCCCTCTCGAGGGGTTGCTATGGAAACCCGAGGGCGATCCTGATTGGCTCCTCCCCGTTTCAAAACCGCCACCGCGCTGCCTCATGGCCCGGATGTTCGTTGCAGCCACCCAGCAACAAGCCCCAGCCGGCCTCCCAGCCAATGGGCTGCTTTTCTGCCTCTTGCGGCTGACGTCAGAAAATGCGAGCGGCGCGAAGGGGGGGGGGGAGAGATACAGGCGGTCAGGACCGGACTGCGCCGGCTCGTGGCGCAGCTACGCTTTCGGAGCCACCGCTCGACCAATAGGAGCCCAGCGCGGAGTTGACGGCCTCGGCGCACGGCCGTGCGACGCAACGACGCCTTCCGAGGAAGGATGAGCGAACCAATAAGAGGCGCCGATCGCCTTGACGGCACGCGCCAGGCGTCAGCGTGCGTGCGTGCGTGCACGGACGTGCGTGTGTGACGCACTTATTTCCCCCCTCAACTTCCCTCGGCGCTTCTCGACCTCTCGCGTGAGGCGACAGCAGCGAAGGCGGGTGTCTGTGGAGCTGCCGCCGCGGCCTCCTCCCTTCCTGGCGTGTACGGCCGAGGCGCCCACCCGAGCGAGCGAGCGAGCGGCGAGGCCCGAGCCGCCTTCCCGCGCTGAGGCTCCGGGGCGGAGGAGCGCGCGACCCGCCCTCGTCTACAGGCCCAGGCCAGGCTCGGGTGAAGCCCCGCCGGGGCCCCGGAGGATTCTGGGAAAGGGTGAGTGGCGCTCGGGAGGTGGGAGGGGCCGGGGGGCGAGCGGGGTCTTTGTGCAGCGCCGAGCGCACGAGAGTGACGTAGAAGAAGCCCCTTCTGTGGTCCCGGGGCTTGTGGGTCGCTTGCCGGGATCCGCTAGTGTGTTATTGTTAGCGTTGTATTTATATCCCGCCTTTTTCCCTATCGGGTTCAAGGAGTGGTTTACAGCTAGAACAGAAACAGTTAAAAAACGAGGGGAGAGTAAAAACCCTTATAATTGAAAAAGGATTCATCATCAATGTTGGTATGCCATATAGGAGAAGGAAAATTCTAATCCTAAAGCTCTGCTGCTTTATGGAATATCTTTGTAAGAAAAAGCTAAAGAGTCGGTCCTACACAAATCCAGAATGCCGCCTTGTACACCTCCTTCTGGCAGCTCCTGCAGGCAAGCTGGTGCCAGATATGTTGCTCTGCTTTCCTTTGTTGGGGGCCTTGTCTTCTGGACAGTCCAGAACCTCCAGACACACTGCCCAGCCTTGCGCCCCAGGGAGGTCACATCGGTGCTGCTAATGCAGTGGTTTATAATAATAATAATAATGATATTATTTATACCCCGCCCATCTGGCTGGGTTTCCCCAGCCACTCTGGGCGGCGTCCAGCCGAATATTAAAAACAATACAGCATCAGACATTAAAAACTTCCCTAAACAGGGCTGACTTCACCCCTGGAGGTGCACTGCATTATTTATTGAGACTGACTGACGCCAGCAACAACAAACTGTAAAAATAAACAGATTGTCTCAGCACCAGCCCTTTCCTTAAAAGCAGTCAGTTCCCTAGCACTTGTTGGCACAAGAAAGTTGTCACCTGCCAACAGAAGGACAACAAGGAGGAGCCCATCTGGTTTCTCTAGGGAAGGGGTTTCAAAATCTGGGGACAGCCACTGAGAGCCTTCGGTGTGGCATACAGTAGGTAAAGACTGTAAAACAAGTCTGCTGGACTAGGCCAAAGGGGCCCGTTTAGTCCAACATCCTGTTATTGCAGTGGCCAAACACATGGCCCAAAGAGAAAGAAGCCCACAAACACAAGAGTGCTTCTCTTTGCTTCATTTCCCAGCAACTGGTATTCAGAAGCATTGCTGGTAATAGCATTATGTAACAATTATTGCCTTCAACGTTAGAGGCAGAGCTTAGCTATCATGGTTAGTAACCATTGGTTGCGTGTCATCTTCCATGAACTTGGCTAATCCTCTTTTAAAACCATCCAAGTTGGTGGCTGTGGGAGCAAGTGTCATAGTTTAACTATGCAGTGTATGAGGAAGCATGGGTGTAAACTTTGGGATGAGTGAGTACAATGTCTCTGTGTGTTTATATTTGTGTTTTCCGCCTATTTGGGGCGGGCCTCTCACTCAGTAGCAGAGGGACCCAGGTTGATTCTCCAGAATCTCTGATTTGTAGGCTCTTTAGGTAGCTGAGCTGGGAAATCCTAAGAGGTTTTAAAGAACTGCTATCAGCCAGAAAACAACAACTGCTGGGATAACATGCAAGTGAGAGTAGAGGATGACACTTAAGCATATGAATGGGAACCCCAAAGCAGGACCTGAGTTCATATCTGTGTCGTGGCAGTGCTCCATCTCCGCTCTCAGAAGCAGTTACTGGCAATCCCTACTGTTGCTCTCTGGTTCTGCTTTGGAGTTCCCATTTGGCCAGTAGACTAGGTAGGCCTTTGCCCTGTTCCACTAGGGCAAGAACTATCCTTTTCTTATTTTCTTCTTGCATTGGAAACAAGGTTCTGCCATGTGTGAAGCTATTTGAAGTATAAAAAGATAAGCACCAGGATTAGTTAGAGAACTGTTTTTCAGTAAGTGAAAGTGTTAAGAGGCAATTGGGGAACCATACAATAGAATTTTTACCCCAAATGAAGGTTACTTTTTAAGTTATATTATTTAATGGCCCTACAATGTTATTGGTGGATGAAAAAGTTGATAATCATAAGTGTTTGTCATGCTGCCTTGAATGTTTCGCTTGGGTGTTTTCATAAATTAAACACCATCTTGGATACATATGCATATTTTTAAATGGCAACTATTGTTGCATATCTTTGCATTTTATTGATTCGGTGAAACTTTTTAAATGGAAACATTGGTAGCAGAGCTAAAATTCACACAGCTATTTTTAGACACTGAAGCTCAGGTTCGAATCCCCACTCTGCCAACTCAACTTACAGAGTTGTTGCAAGGCAAACATGATGTAGAAGAGAAATGCACACTGCCCTTAGCTGCTTTTTGGAAAGGTGGGATAGAACCAAATTATTTAAAAAATATGTGCCTACTTCAGTGCATAATATATTGCTTTGATATGTTTATGAAATTGGAAGTATAAAGAACAGCAGTGACAAAGTTGTCCAGTGTTAGGATATTGTAAGCTGTTGAAATATATGGTACTGGAGTAATATTTTTGTCTTTGCCAGTTGGGCAGCTAGAAAATAAATGACAGCTGAAAATAAAAAACGATCATTTTGTTAATACTGCACATCAAGCTGGAGGGATAGGGCTCTTGCTATGCAGAAAAATTATTTGGATTAGACCAGGCATAGGCAAACTCCAGCCCTCCAGATGTTTGGGACTACAATTCCCATCATCCCTAGCTAACAGGACCAGTGGTCAGGGATGATTAGGCTGAAGGCACATATTCAAGACAGTAAGTCTAACAATTTGTATGTGAGTGATGGTACTATGGGGTGGTTGCACATTTAGATGGAGCTTACTTTAGATCAGCGGTTCTCAACCTGTGGGTCCCCAGATGTTGTTGGACTACAACTCCCATCATCCCTGAGCTCTGGCCTTGCTAGCTAGAGGTGATGGGAGTTGTAGTTCAACAACATCTGGGGACCCACAGGTTGAGAAAGGCTGCTTTAGATGGTTTGAAGATCACACAGCCACAGGCTAGCTTCTAGTGGTGCATATCAGTAGCTTTGGGAAGGACTGACAAGGAGGTTGTAATGAGTGCAAGTGCTAATGCCTGGTCCTTGGAAGTTCCTTGAAACCACCAAGATAGCATGCAGCTGTGTAGTTTAAATTCTCTCTGTGTGACCATCTCAACCCAGGGCCACTACTGGAGAATGTAAAGAATTGATTCTGCCATGTGAATAAGCTTTTTGGCTTTTGGGAAACTTTCACTGACATACAGGCAGTGGTTTGAGTTTTTAAAAACTTCCATTTTTTGTGGCCAGTATCCGTATGCTCTACCTGTTAAGAAACCTTAGACACAATGGAGCCATCAGTCTTAGAAACTGAGATATGAAAGCTAGGAGCTAAATGGCACCTTAAACCTAGGTTGTGGATGCAACAATGAAATGTCTAAGCGTGCTTTTTTATAGCAAGAATACAAAGCTGAAAATGAATGAACTGCAGCTAAAATATTATGTTCATTTTTCACATGGTCTAGTCCTTCCCCTGCCCAACCCCCTAATATTCTTAAGAGGGTCTCTTCTCCAGCCTTCAGATAGTAGCTGGAAGTTGGGAGGCAGAAAAATGTCCTCCTTTCCTTCTGCTCTGCAGTTTTGCTCTGAAATCTTAGGCGCAGTACTGTGCCCAGAGCTCAGAAACTGCTTGTGCTAATGAAATTCCCTGTTACAAAATGTGCCTAGAACAATGGGAGTTTTGAACACTGGTAGCCATGCCTACCCAAGTTAAAAACTGGTGACTTTTAGCTGAGCTTTGCTTGCAGTGATGTTTGAGGGAGCCATGTTTGCCTGCTTTGGCAAAACCCCTTGTCCAAAGCATGTGGAGGTATGATTTTATTTTATTTATTTATTTATTCAGTTTGTATACCTCCATTCTTCATAGATCTCAGGGCGGTTCACAACATAAAAATATAAGATAAAAACAGAAAATACATAATAAACACAAGAACAAAACAAACCAGTAACACTTCCACAACTCCAACACTCATGTTAAACTCAAGCTCTTAGTTTTGTTTTCGTTTTTAATCAAGTACTAACTTGGGTCTGTCTTCATCATAGGGTAATGGGAATCCTGAGTGAATGAACATTGTCCACGTGAAGTAGCCTGGAATAAGATAAAGGTGAGAGTTTGACTAAGTAGTGGAATGATTGGGAAATGCTTAGGACTTCACACAAGATGTAAAAATGAAAATGTTCAGCCGCTTCTTTATTTTACAATATTTTTAGGCTAGATTTCTATTAGAGGAAAAATATAGCCAACCAATATAGTTAAATAAAATGTGGAGAATCTCTGGTAATTGCTCATGGAATCTAAAGTGCCTACAGCAGATGATCTGGGCAGAACACATACAGACTTCCCAGAAGTTAATGTTCCGCAACTGAACAGCTACAGAAAAGACCTTATTCCTAATGGATGTTAGCTCCCTAAAGCATGCTAGGAAGATAATGGAGATCTATTTTTCTATAGACAGTGGACTTTTGTTTGTTGGTGTAGAAATGTTCGGTGAGATGAGAGCCATACATGCAAACCTGATGTCTCAGGTAGTACAGCCAGACATGAATATCATCACTTCAGTACAGTCAGTGCCTTTGGATGGGATACACCTTTGCTGGAGATCCTGGAGGTGGCCTTTGCTACCAAGTTCTTTTAAAGAGCTTTCCAGGAGCATCAGGCTGACCAAAGCGTGATAGAAATTTTCATGTTGAAAATGGCAATGTGCAGTAATTAATGGTAATGAGATGGATAGCCATATATTTCCCCCCACCCACCCATTTCTAATATCTGTATTTATGTGGCATTTCTCAATAAGGCCAAACGTTGATTTCACCTAGGTTTTTATTTTTATTTTCTTCATTTAGGTCTTGAGAACCTGAAACAACTTCAAAATGTTCAACAAATCATTTGGAACGCCTTTCGGAGGCAACACTGGTGGCTTTGGGACGACTTCAACTTTTGGGCAGAGTAAGTTACATGGGCGATAATGGAGAAGCCTATGAATGGGGCCACAGGGTGCTGCCATGTTTCCAGATCAGTCTGTTTGCCCATCCTGGCTCAGGTATTGCACATTACCTGCTCTGTGATCTTGTTTAATTGGACACGGCAGGGATAGACTTCAGACCACCTGGATGCGAAGCATTTCGTTCACTTCTAAGCTGGTGAGGGAGCCTGTTCAGCCGTTGTTGAACTCTCACCAGTCCCAGCCAGAATGAGCAATAGATGACCATAGATTCATAGAATTGTAGAGATGGAAGGCACCCCGAGGGTCATCTAGTCCAACCCCCTGCAATGCAGGAATTGCAGCTCAATGCCCATCCAACCCCTACTTAAAAACATCTAAGGAAGGAGAGTCCACCACCTTCCAGGGGAAGACCGTTCCAGTGTTGAAAAGTTCTTCTGATGTTCCTGATGGGAGTTGTAGTATAGCAACATCAGGAGGGCCACAGGGTAGCCACCCCTGTTCTAGGCTGCCAGTTTGGGTTTTTAATGTTTTCATTAAAAGGCTAATTCAGCTTTAAGTGTAACCTCCTTTGACGTTGGCTTGAAAAGCCAATATTTTGCCTATCGGATACTTGGCTGAGTTGCCACATGCTCTCATACAGAAGACTCTTGCATTCCTAATAGAGATGGCTTACAGAACCATGTTCCATTCAGGGAGTGCTAGACTTGTATTTGAAATGTCTTCACTTCTTGTTAGTCAACTGCAGCTGTACAACCAGCTCATTGCTATGTGGTTTCAGCCCCTTCTGTACTCAGACCATATATAGTCTCATCTCCCAACTCTACCTGCTTTGCAGATGCTGGCTTTGGCACTACAAGTGGAGGAGCTTTTGGGACATCTGCTTTTGGAACAAATAATAATGCAGGAGGACTGTTCGGGACTGCGCAGACCAAGCCAGGTACAGGTATTACCACTGCTTCTTATTCCTTAACTTGAACCCCTTCACTGTTTGCCTCTTTACTTTGCTCAATTTAAGCTGCTGGCTGTTACCTAAGACCCAAGCTTCTTAGGGCCCAAGTACCCGTAGGAGCAATTCTATCTTACTTTTCTGACAAATGATGCCTCTCAAAGTAGCTTGCATCAATAAAAAGAGAGACACAGACTGTCATCAAGTTTACAAACTTGAAAAAGACTAATGAAGGGGAAACAGAGGGAAAAGGCAGAGGAAGGCTATTGTTCTGGCCTCGAGGAACTAAGCATTTATATCCAGTTTGGGCTAGAATGAGCCTCCCTTGGTGAGATTCTTGCTTGGAAGATAATTGGTGACCTTTGTTTCTGAGTAGGTGGTGGGCCAGAGCACCCCTTTCTCCTTGTTTTTGCAGTCCCAGGGCAAGTGGCAACTGGAGCAGAGGGGACAGCAAAATCCCTGAAGCTGCTTTGCCTCCTCTGACTGATAGTTGGGGCCAGATTAGTCACACCCTTCTTGTGATCCTCTTCACCTATCAGTCTGCCCATTAAAAAAAATCTGCTGAAGTTCTTGGCGAGTTTCCTCCTTTATCAGAGGGACACTGTTCCACAACAAAGAAGGAATCTTTTTAAGTGCTAGTGCTCCATTTGTGGAGTGCCCTCACTGAAGAGGGCCACAAACAAACAAAATCTGCTTACCTAGGCAGTTTATCTTCGCAATTTTATAAACTGGTTTTATTTGCTGTTTTTTTGTTGTATTGAAATACACGCACAGACCTTCATCCCATTAGGTTTTATGCATATATCACCAGTCAAACTGGCCAAAATGTATATAAAAAAGATTCAAAACTCTGTTGGAAATGTCTAGAAATTGAGGGTACATTTATTCACTTATAGTGGAAATGTAATCAGGCAAAGGAATTTGGGGAAATGGTGTACAACGAGCTAATTGGAAATGGGTTACCAAAAAAAGCCCATAACTTTTTCTTATATATATGCAACAACAACAGCAAAGATAGTATAGGTGAGAAACTGGAAACAAAGAGAAACCCCAGGGAGAGAACAATGGCTAAATAAACTAATTGAATCTGCTGAGCTTGCAAGTATGACATCCAAAATAAGAAATGTAGATGATAAATAGATGAGGAATGAGTGGGAGCATCTAGGGGAATATTTACAAAACTTGATCCTAAATACAAATTCCAGGTAGTGGATACCTTCTGACCAGCAGTTGATAATATAAAGGGTATAGGAAGGCTGAAAACAAGGTGATGGTATTATTGTATATACGGCTAATTAAGATGTACAAGAACTGTCATAGAATGCTGGGTGGGAATTACAAAAGAATTATTGTACAAGGACGTAAAGTGATATGATTGTATAGCTGAAAACATGTATACATATATATATATGTGGATTTGTGCGTATGTTTGTGTGGGTTTTGTCATCAAATAATCCCACCCCTTCTTGTGTCTGATTTGATTGGATATTTCTGGTTCCAGGGGGGTTGTTTGGTTCCAGCACCTTCAGCCAGCCAGCCACTTCTTCTACCAGCACTGGCTTCGGATTTGGAACATCGACTGGCACTTCCAGTGGGTTGTTTGGGACAGCAAGCACTGGCGGAGGCCTCTTTTCATCCCAGAACAATGCCTTTGCACAGAGTAAACCTGTGGGGTTTGGCAGTGAGTATAATCTATTGCTATTTCCTGACCATTTTGAAGAATTCTTTACGCAGCACAACCATGTGATTCTAAGTTCTTTAAATCACTTTTATTGCTGTATTTATAATTGTTGTAACCCTCCCTGGTTCCTCAGGGTGAAGGGCAGGTGGTAATAATAATAAAAATAATAATAATACAGTCATACCTCAGAAATTGAACGGAATCCAATCCGGAAGTCCGTTTGACTTCCAGAACGTTCGGAAACCAAAGTGCGGCTTCTGATTGGCTTCAGGAAGCTGCAGTACCTGAGTACCAAGGCGTTTGGGATCCAAGGTACAAATGTAAAAACAACAGCTTGGGTAGTTGCTCCCCAAGTGCTTGCCTTGGGACAGTTCAGTTTCTTGCTCACCAGGGGCAGGGGACAAGTCGTGCTTAGCAAACCTGTTCTGAGACTGCCATAAGGAAGCCAAAAACGTTGCTTTAGTCCTTGTTGGGGTGGGTGCAGGGGCGTAGGAAGGGGGTCGACCGCCCCAGGTGCCCTCACTGAGTGGGGGTGTGACATTTGGCACCCCGCCCACCCACAGCTCCCAAGCCTACCCCGAGACGTTGGGGTACGGGGGTAGCTGTGCCACTTTGCCAGTGGCATTTCCCCCTTCCTCCTTCGTTTTGACAGCTTGGGGGAGGCTTGGGAGTCGCAGGTGGGCAGCGCGCTGACTGTCCGCCGTGGGCAGCTCGCTCCCCGCCCTTGAGCGGCTTGCTCCGCCCCCTCTTGTATTTCATATTAAATTGAACTGCCACAATGTCCAAGCTGTTTCCAGTCAGCCATTATTATTATTATTATTATTATTATTATTACTATTATTATTACTATTATTATTATTTATTATTACCATTACCCCGCCCATCTGGCTGGGTTTCCCTAGCCACTCTGGGCGGCTTCCAACAAAATATTAAAATACAGTAATCCATCAAACATTAAAAGCTGCCTTGCCTTAAACACTTGCCTTGCATAGTGTGAAAAGTAAGGCCATTGTTTGTTTTGGGCACTGTCTCCTCTCCTATTTGGGCATTGACTTCGCTTTTCCTTTTCTACAGACTTTGGGACAAGTACTAGCAGCGGGGGGTTATTTGGAACCACTAACACAACCGCCAATCCGTTTGGGGGGACGTCCGGTTCCCTCTTCGGATCGACCAGCTTCACCGTTCCAACTGGCACCACCATTAAATTCAATGTAAGTCCCAGTTGCTTCCTGTCTAAAATTAGTTCCATCCATTACCTAGCCTTTTCCAGTATGATGCCGGCCAGATGTTTGTTTTGGACTGCAACTACTAGCACCCCTGACATTTTGCCCTGTTTGCCAGGGCTGATGGGAGTTGCAGTCCAGAAAAGGCTGCTTTCTGTTCACTACGCTTTGGACTCCCTATTCCAATGAAAGATGCATCTGGTGTATTTATTGTGTATTTTATTTATCTATTTGTTTGTAATAGTTATAAACTGCTGAATATTACAAAATGACATTTGCAGTAGCTGCCAGTGGGAACCGTGGCGGCAAGCCCTCTGGTTTGGAGAGCAGTAGCCAAATGACCAGAGTTGAATATCAACCCTGCAAGGCAGTATGCTGCTGCTACTCCTGTAAATCCATCAGCCTGAATCAAGATAATCCCAGAGCTTCCCAAATGCCACACGAGGTTTTGGGAACCAGACGCTGTCCCTGCAAGCTTCAAGCCCACTAAATTTTATGCAGTAGCAGTTTGACCAAGAGACTAAGATAACTACATTCCGTACCAACAAGTCCCATCCAAAGAAACACACAAGTAGCAGGAAGAGTTTTTAAAAAAAGAAAATAGCAGCATAAATATTGGAGCTGTGTCCCAGTGGGATTATAAGTAAAAGCAGTTGGGAATGGTAAGACAAGATACCAAACTAACTTGCTTTATAAACCAAATCAGCAAATTGACCTCCGGCAAGTAGCATACAGGTGATGCCAGGTGTCAGGCAACATGGTTAGGACTAGCACAAAGTTTTACACCAACTTTGCCTAGTAACCAGTGACTCTGAATAGCCAATGAGAAGACTCTACCGTGTTATGAGCAACCCACGTTCTCACAGGTGTGGCCAGTTTCTAATTAGCTAGGCCCACACTGACCTCCAGTAGCAACAGCACAGCAAGATCTCACAGGTGCCGATACTTGTGATCCCCGCCTCCCAGCCTTGAAGGGAGAGAATACTCTCTCAGAAGCCTCCTTTCGTGCTCAGAGGCGTGAATTGGGAAACCATTTTCTAGCAGCAAAGGAAAAACCTCAGGAAATAAAAACTGATAAAACAGTTCTCCAAAGAGAAATTCAATTACTGCCCATGGGCCAGCTCATCTTCTGGAGAAGCCTCGCCTGGCAAATGAATCATAGAATAAGAGCGCAGGTACTCTTGTCTTTTGCTGTTTCAGTTTTGGTCATTTATCTCTTTATTTGGATCGCATTTAAATAACACGGCTATAACCAGCCTGTGGTGGTTCAACTTCTGTGTGATCACTTGTGGAAAGGCCGTGGCTCAGTGGCCAGAGCACGTTCCATGCCTGCAGAGGGTCACTGCTTCCAGTCTCTGGCATTTCCAGCCAGGTGTTCCAAGTGCGGAACAGAAGTATGAGGCATTGCGTTGAGCTGGAAAACTTGTGTGCAGAGGCTCCTTTAAGCAGAAGGTGGAATAGTTGATCATGAGGGTTCTGTAGCAGTTGTTGGAGCAGAAGATGCCAGGATTTTGTAGCAGGGAGCGCTCTCTTGAGCCCTTCTTCAGCCACATGCACCAGTGGAAATGGGGCTCTCTCCTGCTTGTGCTACAGCAGAAAGAGCAGCAGCAGCAGGCACAGCCCAAGACGATGAGGGCTGCCTTCCAGGTAGTGAAGGGCCCTCACAGCCAGGTCTAGAGCAGGAGCAGAGGCAGACCATAGGCCAGGGCAGTGTGTGGCTTTGTACCAGGATGGCAGGAAAGCGTGGGCATCCCTTGCATACCAAGGCAAGCAAAGCCCCTTCTGTTTATCATCTTCTACGTCTTATCCTTCTCCCTAGAAGCCTGAGTCCCGTTCTGACCTGGTGAGAAACTGGCTACCCAGGGTGCCTCACAGCTGACCGAGAATTTGAACCGCTGTATTATTAATATTTATATTTATATATTGCCCTTTATTTTATAATTTATATATACAATTTATATATATCAAAAGATTCCAGGGTGATGTACAACATTAAAAGCACATTGCAGAACATCAGTGATAAAAACATAATAGTAAAAGCATACTGACAAACAGCCTAATACAGTCATACCTCGGGTTAAATGTGCTTCGAGTGGAGCGCGTTCGAGTTGCGCTCCTCGGCAACCCGGAAGTAATGGAGCGCGTTACTTCCGGGTTTCGCTGCTTGCGCATGCGCAGATGCTCAAAATGACCGCATGCGCAGAAGCGGTGAAAAGCGACGCACGTGTGCACAGACATGCCATCGCTAGTTACGTTTACCTCTAGATGCGAACGGGGCTCCGGAACGGATCCCGTTCGTATCTAGAGGCACCACTGTAATAAAATAGTCATCATAGTAACGGTCCTCTTCCTCTCACTTTTACAGAACATAGATTATTTAATAGCCATAGACCTGAGTAAAGAGGAATGTTTTTACCAGGGGCCTTAAGACATGTACTGATGGCACCAAATGAGGCCCTCTGGGGAGAGCATTCCACAACCGGAGCCACCACAGAAAAGGCCTGTTCTCTTGTTGCCACCCTCCAAACCTCTCTGGGAGGGGGACCATAGAGAAGGGCCTCAGAAGACAAGGGCTGGGTCTGGGTTGGTTTATGTGGGGAGAGGCGGTCCATAAGGTGTTGAGGTCCTGAGCCATGTAAGGCTTTATAGGTCAACCCCCGCACTTTGAATTGGGCTCAGGAGCTAATCGGCAGTCAGTTCAGTTGTGCCAGGATGGGTGTTACATGCTGTATCCAGCTGGGTTGTCTCAGTGTTCTTGTTAGCTCACATGAGTGGCTGCTTGGAGGCTCACAGGAATCCTGCTGCTCCCTCTGTGCCATGACTGCTTCCAGGGGAATTAAATCTAAAGTAACCTTGACAAGTGTTCACATTTCTCTTACAGCCCCCTACGGGTACTGACACTATGGTTAAGTCCGGAGTCAGCACAAACATCAGCACCAAGCATCAGTGCATTACTGCTATGAAAGAATATGAAAGCAAATCGCTAGAGGTCAGTCCGTCGTATATCTGTATCTCTGCATGCTGTCCCTGTTTGTTTACATCCCGTCTTGTGGCTCAGACATTGGAGTGCTGCTCTCCTCCCTCTATAGTGGTGGATGGGGTTGAGCTCTTTGTATTTCAAATGGAAAGAATGGAGGCAAGGCATTTATGCACATGGTGGAGCACATGCTGAACTGCCACATCACAGTTGTCACGAGAAACCTGTCAGGCAGGTGTTTCTGGTGCCTGATGCCTGCTTTGGCAAAGTTGCATATTGTCCTCTTTGAGAACGCTGCCCTGTACCCAGGGACTGTCGACTCCAATGTTTTATTGCATCGCTTTTGCCTGAGAAGGTGTGGTGGTAGCAGGTGTGGGGAACAGGTGGTGTCCCATGTGAGACGTCCGTACTCAAGAAATATTCCCTGTTTAGGAGCTTCGTTTGGAAGACTATCAAGCGAACAGGAAAGGTCCCACCAACCCTGTAGGAGCTGGAGCCACGCCAGGTTTGTTTGGCTCATCCACTGCTACCTCCAGCGCAGCCACAGGACTCTTCGGCTCCACCACCACTAACACAGGCTTTTCCTATGGACAGAATAAAACAGGGTTTGGAACCAGTAAGTACTGCTGCTTTGACTTGCGTAGGATGACTCTTTGAGTAGTAGCCTTTCAGGGTACTTGTGTATGTTTTTAATACTGTTTTAAGTTGCCTTGAGAGACTGTCGTGTTAGGTGTCCAACATTTTTTGACACATGCAAATAATAACATCCACAGCTTGAAATACTGGCTTTTGATTTATAAGATGCTGTCAACACTCCACCTGTTCTCTCTATGCTTGGGTAAAAACATGCAAACAGAGCAATCTCCTTGATGGAGCAGATTCTGCCTTGAGGTCCTTGGGACAAGTAAGGAAGAAGTGCAGATAAGATAAGTTCTCAGAAAAAGGGGGGAAGGTGCCCAAGGGAGTTGCTCTGCATGTGATGCAAGTCCCAGAAAGTAGAATGCCACACTTAATTAATAGCGCACAAGAAGTGAACTATTCAGTTCTTGATTCTGATTTAAGGCAGTTTCTTGCCTGATATCATATGTGGTTAGCTGGCATCATTGACTGGAAAGGCACCTTGATCAGTCACAGCGGTTTTCTTGCTCTAAAATGGCTCTACTCAAGTCAGCTTTTATTTCTTGGAAGCACCTCCCAGCAACACCGTTGTTGTTGTTTGTTAAGGCAGCCCTGTTTAGGGAAGCTTTAATGTTTGATGCATTACTGTATTTTAATATTTTGTTGGAAGCCGCCCAGAGTGGCTGGGGAAGCCCAGACAGATGGGCAGGGTATAAATAATAAACTTCTTCTTCTTCTTAGTAGTAGTAGTAGTAGTAGTAGTTGCTTTATCTTGTCCAAGATGATCCAAAGCAACTTAGAACCAAACACCTCTGTGCTGCTTCTACTAATGCTTCCTCTTTTTGATTGGGAGTTCAGAGTGGTGTATGGTTTTGTAAGTTGAAAATTAAAATGACAGGAATTTTTTAAAAGAAAAACACAAAACTCTGAAGCCATAGTCCAATGCCTCCATCCTTGTTTCTGCTCAAAACAGTGCCTAAGTGCATGTGAGGAGCTGTGCCATCGGTGTGGTAGCTCCAAATCTATGGAATGCCTTCCTGCTAGAAATCAGGTGCCATCTCTGCTGAGTTTCAGACACCAAGTTAAAACAGTTTTATTCTCTGATGTTTAAAATCTTGTGTGTCGTATTTTTTTCTTTTTGTAAGTTGCTTTGAGCGCCAGATGTGAAAAGCAGGTTATAATAAAATAAAATGTAGCTGCATCTACTCACCATCATCCTTTGGAACCTATCCTGCCTCTCCCACTGTTGACATTTGGATTGTGAGCTCCTTGAGGGGTATACTCTGTGAAGTGCCAGGGACATGGATGCCTCAAGGTATATATAAATAATTTGCTTTGGCACCTTGTTTCAGGTACGACTGGTTTTGGAACAGGAACAGGAGGCCTCTTTGGTCCGACTCAACAAACCACCAGCCTCTTCAACAAGCCTTTTGGCCAGGCCACGACTGCACCAAACGCAGGCTTTTCCTTTGGGAACACCAGCACCCTTGGACAACCCAACACAAACACAATGGTGAGGCAGCAAGGACTGTTGTAACAACCTTGGAGTCTTTACTTTCTGCCTAACTCCTGCTTACCTGGTTGTCTTTGATTTCTGCAGCCTTTTACTAAGACCTCTTCAAGGAAATTCTTTTGCTCGGCCTGTTACTTTTTCTTGTACAGTGCTATTTTATTCTCCAGCTTGCTCCTTAGCACAGCAGGTTGCCTTATTTTGCCATTTTTGTATCTGTTGAATATTTCGCCAGCATGCTTTATATTGAGGGTTAAGAGATAAAGGCCTGCCTTGTCACAAGTCAGAGCCATAGTCCATCTAACTGACAGCTGGCTCCAGAGTCTCCAAGCAGAAGTTCTCTCCAACACAAGATCCTTTAGTTGGAGATTTCAACACTTCATATGCAAAGCACATACTTTTTCACTATGAAATGGAGCCATAGCAGGCCTCCCAAGTTATGAAATAGTTTGTTTTCAACAATATACCAGTTGCTTGGTAGGCGCGCAAGCAAGCAAGCAAGCAAGCACACACTCAAATTATCTTACCTCTCCCAGGAAGAGGAAAGCCTGGCAGTCATTTTGGCTTTTCACCGACTTGAATGCCTCTAGGGCAGGCTACTTTATCAAGTGGTCCACTATATTCCTTCGCTGCTTTCTCTGTTGGGTACAAGCAGAAATGCATAAGCGAGAGAGGGGCCCTCTTGTTACAAATGAAATGGAACTGGACGGTCAACTAATTCAAGTGGCCTTTTCTGTGAGGGTCTCAAACCTTTAACAGATGCATCCAGTCACAACGGAAACCCTGTATTGAAGGAGTTTCCCTGTTACGGGCAAAGGATGCCAGGTGCTAGTGGCTTGGAAAGGGAAGTTGGTAAAGCTGTGTGGGGAATGAGCTGCTGAGTGGAAGAGATAAGCAATTTTCATAGGCTTTGGGAAATTACTTTTTCCACTAAAGACAACTCGTGGGTGGGTGGGTGTTCAGTTTGTTCGGTTTTTTTAATCCTCCTGTGAGGAGCACACTGTTTCTTTCCATATGCATGATGGCAACCTTCAGGTGCCTTTCTGCCCAGATCTGAACCTTCATTCAGAAACAATCTGCCATGCACAAATTCAGGCCTCAGTGTTTTCCACGACACAGTGGCTAAAATGAAGGTAGGTTTTCCTGCATGCTTTAATGCTACACTGAACCAAATGCAAGCCCCTCTCTCCAGTAGCCACAAGCAGAGCCCTTATTCCCTTGTGTAAAAATCACCATGGTGCAAAAACAGTAGTCCCACATTTCCAGAACTACTGCTCAGTTTTTTTGTTTTGTTTTTTTAAGGATAAGTTGTAGCGTATCTTTCTCAAACATCCCCTAATGTTTGCAGGGTTTATTTGGAGCAACACAGCCCTCACAAACGGGAAGCCTTTTTGGAACAGCTACCAATACGAACACTGCTACTGCATTTGGAACTGGGACAGGTCTCTTTGGACAACCCAATACAGGATTTGGTGTTGGTGGCTCGGTATGTCAGCTGGGAGTAATGAGGTCCTCAGGGGTGTGGAAGTGGCTTGTTTCTTTTCACTCGTGACACACTTGTGCTCATTGGTGTTCTCCTGTGCAGAAGCGAAGTGCTTTTGCAGGTGCTTTTCCAGTGGTGTTAATTGCAATGTTGGTCAGTGGTTAGAAAGGTCCAATAATTTTGGCTTTGAACAAGTCTTGGAAGGTTTTGCAAGAAGCCTAACAATCCTGTAAACTGAGAGCGACTGCCCAGTCTAGGCACCCTGGACCATAATTTAGCAGACGTGACCTGAGTTTCTCAATTGTGTGCATCCGGCTCCCGTGACACACTTTTCCAGGTCAACTCAAACTACACTTCTCCCTTGCATCCCCAGTGGGGAACTGCGGTTTAATACCTGTTTCCTAACTAGGGTTTTAAATCTCTGCAGATCTTGATCTTAAACCACAGTTTGGACCTGTGTAGTAAACTGATGTTAAACCACAACTACTCATTTTTTGATATAACAGGGTTCTGTAGTTCAAGCAACAATGTGAGGGGTGGGGGCGTGCCCCTCTGACGCTCACTCACTGCTTGCCAAATTGTCACTCTGAATATCAGCTCTTGTGGGTGTCAACTGTAAAACCTCAGCTTTTGCCATTTGGCTGCTCTCCATCAGAGCAATTCTAGCAGAGACCATGCACATTCCCACGCTGGACTATGAAGTTTCCACATGTTGGGTATTTCCTCCTGATTGACCAGGCAGAGAACATGTGATTCTTAGACCAAATATACCATGCTGTCTCCGGCTTTCTCTCATTTATTTTTGCCCTGCCTCTGTCCACACAGTCAAATCTACTCTCTCTCTCTGCTTTAATTCTACTGCCTTGTGCTCTGTTCCGTCTTCCCTCCTTCAGCCTGGTTCTTTACTACGCCTTGTAGGCACCTGGTGGGACGGAGAGAACCAGTGGGGACACCATTGTATCAGACTCTAGGGAGCACTGGGAAGGGAGTTCTAGAGGTGGCGCTGCTCTGTACATCAACGAGGGCATAGTGGGATTCATCGCCAAGTAGTTTCCCTCCCTCCTCCTACCTTAAGTGCTGGACGGAGGCAGTGCTGGGGGATGAGAGGGAAGAGGGGACTCTTGTATGCTCTTCCCCACCTGCAGCCCTCTTGACTCCCCCTCTTGCCCAGCACTGTGCACTATGCAGCTGTCCTGCACTGACACCAAACTGCTGCTGTGGACCAGCACAGACGTAGTTCACTAGGGAGAGATATCTGATAATGTGCATTCTGTGGATGGCCGCACATCCTTTCCAAACATTTAAAACACGCTATGATTCTATGTTAACCTTTCTACGATTGGCTGCTAACTGAGAAAAAGCTAATATCCCTTTGTGACCAGGGCGGGGGCTGTGGACAGGGAAAAGAGAAAGAGACCCTGTGACGTTTAGAATGCATATTTCTCCTTCAGTCCCTCTTCAGCAACAAGCCTGCTGGATTTGGAACCACGACAACCAGCGCGCCCTCGTTTGGAACAACTACGACTGGAATGTTTGGTAACGGATTAAACAATTGCTTTCCCTTTGGCATAGTCACGTAAAGAGCCTTAAATCTATTGTTGCATTGAGTATAGCACACGGTATGTGGCAGACTAATTTATGTGAGATAATGCTGTTTGTGAGTCTTAAATTCTGTGTCAGTAAGCCGTGCTATATGGCAGGCAGCTGCGAGAGCCCAGGTGCTTCTGGCCTTGCTTTTGGCAAGAGTTTCATTTTGAGGGTCTCTGTCTTTTATACAAGCTTGGAGGCCTTTCTCAGATCCATGGAAAACAAATTCAAAGGCTTTTTTCCAAGTCAAACAGCAGTACATTTTCCCTGCCTCTCTGCTGGTGATTGAAGAGGTGTGGGGAGACAGCTGGAGAGAGTTCAGAGCCCTTCTCATTCCTTCCAGGGGTTATCCTCCTCCAATGTCTTGGTAACAGACTTTCCTGGGGAGTGGGGAGTCTGGGAAGCATTTGTACCTTCTTGAACAGCAGCTCCTGCTGCAGCTAAAAAGATTCCTGGGTACAGATGATGATGACGGCAACCTCTCATCTGAATGCTACTATTGAGTGAAAGGCAACCCCATTTTCTTTCATCCTCTGGAAATGCAAGTGGGTTGTGTGTTCGCTAGTGATGTCAGGCGGACCATGTGCTGTGCCTTGCATAATAACAACAATAATAAGAGTAATAGTAATTGTATTATGTATACAGTGGACGCTCTGGTTGCGAGCGTGATCCACGTGGGATGCACGTTCGCAACCCGCATTGGCACATCTGCGCATGCGTGGGTTGCTATTCGGCGTTTCTGCGCAAAGCGTGATTTAGCGCTTTTGCGCATGCGTGACCGCCGAAACGCGGAAGTAACCCGTTCAGGTACTTCTGGGTTTCGGCAGTCCGTAACCTGAAAAAACGCAAGCTGAAGTGTCTGTAACCTGAGGTGTGACTGTATGCCGCCCATTCAACTGCGTGGTCCCAGCCACTTGGGGCAGCTTCCAACAAAATATTAAAACACATAACAACCACCTGCATGGAAGAGAGAGAGGCCTGGGTGACAAACACAGCCACTTGCTGTTCTTTACTTGCAGGTTTTGGTGCAAACACCACGGGAAATAGCCTGTTTGGGAACAAGCCTGCAGCTGGGGCTCTGGGCACGGGACTTGGAACAGGATTTGGAACAGGTAAAGAATAGAAAGATGCCACCCTCAGAAGCTGCTTTCCCCCTTCCTCTCCCTGGCACTTAACCAGGTTTTTGGTGCCATGATTGGGATTCACTAAACATAACAGCAAGCTTCCACTTTCCTTCCTTCTCTAAACTGCTATTTCCCCCCAACTCTCACCAAAATTATGCTGCCGTTATCTTACTGCTGCTTAGTTACTGAATATGTTGGACACTCCAGCTAACTTCATGGTGGTTGTCGGCGGCAGTACAGTGGTGCCTCGCAAGACGAAATTAATTTGTTCCGCGAGTTTTGTCGTCTTGCAATTTTTTCGTCTTGCGAAGCGCGGTGTCGGGAAAGTTTTGGAAAAGCTTCAAAAATCACCAAAGTCTTTAAAAACCTCAAAAAAGGCTACCACACCGCGTTCTATGAGTTGCTCCTCAAAGTCAAGTCGCAACTGTATTAACGGTGTTAAGAAAAAGGAAACAAACTTGCAAGACGTTTCCGTCTTGTGAAGCAAACCCATAGGGAAAATCGTCTTGCGAAGCAGCTCAAAAAACAAAAAACCCTTTCGTCTAGCGAGTTTTTTGTCTTGCGAGGCATTCGTCTTGCGAGGTACCACTGTATGTTCCAACTCTCTCTCTCACACACACACAAACAGCTCCTGCCCTTATTGTAAAGAGTGACGCACCTATGAGACCTTCAGTTAGCAAAACCACTTCTCCACTATAGAGAAGAATGGTCCGGATTCATAGTTCATATCCTTTACATTCTTGCTCCTGAAATGAGCCAAGCTGGTGGTGAGGAAGGAGAGCAGTTCCTTGGAGCACTAAAAATGACGTCCTCCTTTGAACTGTCTGTAGGGAAGGAAGGCTGCTTTTGTCTGTTTTGCTGCTGGTTGTGCATGTCGATGTTCCACAACCTGCTTTGTTTTCCTTCCTGTAGCGCTGAACGCAGGACAGACTTCGCTGTTTGGGAACACCCAGCCTAAACTAGGGAGTACGCTGGGGACAGGAGCCTTTGGCGCCCCTGGATTTAATACGTCAACAGCTACTCTGGGCTTTGGAGCTCCCCAGCCTGCGGTGGGTAAGTGTCTCATTAACAAATGAATAGCCTGGAGTTAAGTGGAGGAGGGGCCCTGCATGAGGTCACACCAGTTCATTGTCCCTCTGAGCATGGGACTCCAGCTCCCATCAGTCCATTTTTGTATGGAAAGCCATGTGGCTTGGTGGCAAATTCCAAATGGGAATGTAATTCACCAAAGTGTGGCATGTGTTGGAAATACAGCAAGAGGTTTCCAGGACTAAGATAATAATAATAAAAAATTTTATTTATATCCCGCCCTCCCCAGCCAGAGCCGGGCTCAGGGCGGCTAACACCAATAAAATCACAGTAAAAACATAACAGGGGAAAACAAAACAAAACAATTTAAAATACAGGTTAAAATGCAACCTCATTTTAAAAGTAGCCAATAAATCAAGACCATAAGGGGAGGGAAACATAAGGGTCAGGCTGAGTCCAAACCAAAGGCCAGGTGGAACAGCTCTGTCTTGCAGGCCCTGCGGAAAGATGTGAAGTCCTGCAGGGCCCTAGTCTCTTGTGACAAGAGCGTTCCACCCAAGTCGGGGCCAGTACTGAAAAGGCCCTGGCCCTAGTTGAGACCAATCTAACCACTTTGCGACCTGGGACCTCCAAAATGTTGTCATTTGTGGACCTTAAGGTCCTCCGTGGGGCATACCAGGAGTTAATAATTCCCAAAAGTGGTTTCCAGCTGAATCAGGGACCCAGTTTCTACCTCATATCGCCAAAACCTGAGGGATTAAGAGAACGGTTTGTAGCTGAACCTATAAGCCCTGCTAATATTTTGTTTTTATTGGATGGCTTTTGTCAGTACAGTGGATGCAGCTTCTAGGGGAGGATAGCATTTTCCCCGCTTAGATTACCTGCTCCACTGCAGGCACCTGCTCGTCTGTCAGTGAGTTGTTACAGCCCCTTGGGGGGATATTGGGCTGATGTCTTCCCCTCTCATTCATTCAGCTTTGACTGACCCAAATGCTTCAGCCGCTCAGCAAGCGATTCTTCAGCAGCACCTCAACAGCTTGACATACTCGCCCTTTGGGGATTCCCCCCTCTTCAGAAACCCGATGTCTGACCCAAAGAAGAAAGAGGAGGTTTGTCATGGGAGATGGGGACATGGCTGAGAGGGTGACTAGATTATGCCAGGTCGAGAAAGGGTCCGAGAAGGCGCTTCTATTTTGGAATCCAGAGCTAAACCTGATTCAGGACGGGTGCCAGAAAGTACTTCTTCACACAGTGCATAATTAACTTACAAACTTGGGTGGAATGAAGGGGGTGAGCAATCAACTTGGGCCTCTTGCAGAAGCGGTCTGTCTTTTCCGCTGTTAGCAGCCTGTTTGTTGGGGAGGGAGAAGGAAAAGGAGGTTGCAGTAAAAGCGGGTGAGAGAATCTGATAGGATAGCCGTCTCAAGTTTGCAATTGTGTGTGTGTGTACAGAGACTGAAGCCAACCAATCCAGCGGCCCAGAAGGCATTGACCACCCCTACTCACTACAAGCTGACTCCTCGCCCTGCGACCAGGGTGCGTCCGAAAGCTTTGCAGACCACGGGCTCCTCTAAATCCCACCTGTTTGACGGCCTGGATGACGATGAGCCAGCCCTGTCGAATGGGGCCTTCATGCCCAAGTAAGTGTTGCCTCTAGACTTCTTTATACGCTAAGGTGGCTTGGGCAAATCTGAAGTGTGAGGTGTGCGGCAGCATATCTCGATGGCCTTGAACTGTGTTGCATTCTGGCTTTGATCCAGCTCTTGCTGGAGGTAATTGGTACTTAATGATCTTGAACGGAGTAACAAGTACCAATTACGGCCAACGAGAGATGGATTAAAGCCAGAATGCACGCTTCAGTTGGCGCAGTGGCTCTCCCTGAACTCTTTAACACAATATATAAGGTGGTGGTGCAGCCCACTCTGGGTTAAGGTGAAGCCCAATTATAGGTCACAGCCCACTGGGTAAAGACCACTGGCATCTCTTATCAGTCATCTTTTTCACAGCAAAAAATAGTTCAAAAGGAGCTCTTTAATGCCATTAAATAAAGAAGAAAACCACACACACAGCTGGCCCAGCTAAAGCCTCCAGTGTCTTGCAGTGGGGGAGAGAAGGGCTTCCACAGTCCAGTTCTGTGGTGTGATGGGGGCTGCAATTAAAAATAAGTTGAACTAAGAAGGGAGGGGTAAGGGAGTGAGGCAGCAGTGATGAATTTCTCCTCTTTTTGGTCTTTCTTAGGAAAAGCATTAAGAAGCTAGTTTTGAAGAGTATCAAGGCCAGCAGCCTTTTCTCTCCGACCAACTGTGAAGCGGATGACCTCGCCTCTCCCTCCGAGTACCCAGAGAACGGAGACCGGTATGTCTGCATGGACACCTTAAAAAAACAGGACCTTGGTCAGGTTTTCCTTTTTGAAGTAAGCGGACTCAGCCTTAAAGGTGCAGCTCCACATGCAGTTGTTGGGTTTAAACCATGGGCAAGTCTTCTCTGTTCTAGCCATGGCAGCGGGAATGTTTCGCCCCTTGTGTTGCCTGAGTAATGCTCACACTGTGTAACAGGGAGTGCGTGTCCAGGGGAAAGAAAAGACTTTGGTGATCTCACCTGCCACTGAACCCCATATATTTTGACCATACGCGGTTTTGGCTGTGTGCACTTACCTCTGGAATGTAACCTCCATGGAAGCTGAGAGTTGCCTGTACTTATGAAGAGGGGCGGGGGAGCCACCGTTCCTGGAAATCCTGCTCAGCGCTCTCTCTGTGTGTCTTCTGAGATCTTGCTGAGCATTGCGCACACCCTTTCAAGTCTATCTTGAGTAGCCTGGACTACCAGAAACTTAATTTATAGCGAAAGCAAAGGATGTTATGGTGCTGTGGGCATGTGCCTTGGACTGTGTGCATGTGAAATCGGAAAGGGAAATTGGAAACTCCCAACTCCCTCCGACTCTCCCATACAGAATAAAGAGGGGGCGCTTGGTCCAGAAAAGACTACGTTTTCATATAGGAGCTGTCACGTATTTGGGAAATGCATTTTACTTAAGTTAGAACACTATCCATTTCAAAGCAATTTCACAATGTGCATTTTTAAAGGCGGTGGTGACGTCAGGCTTCCTGTGCGATTCTGCACTGCGATGCCAGAATTGGTTTAGTCTGAGCATGGATCTGTTCCCTTAACAGCTGAAGGTTGATACGCCCAATAAATCCTTCATCAGCTTTCTAACTTCTGCTTCAGCATTTGCTTTCCATCCATGCAGAAACTCACACTCAAGAAGTTCATTACCAGTTAGGTAGCTAGTGTTTGTTTTTTATAGCGGTGTGTTATGAAGTTTTTTCTTCAAGGCTTACGTGGTGGACCTTAAATGTTGTGGCTTCCTTAGATTCAACTTCCTTTCCCGGTCAGTTGATGAGATCCACCGGCAGGATGGAGAGCAGCAGGAGGAGGAGGACCGTCCTCGTGAAGTCACGCGGTACTACTCCAACCCCATTGCCAAGCCCATCCCACAGACCCCCGAGAACGCCATGCACAAGCACCACAACAACGTGGACGACACCCTCCTTGCCCTGAATGTGCGTCCTCCCCTGCGGAACGGGCTGGAAGGCAGCAGCGAGGATGCCTCCTACCACGAGGAGTCCCTGCAGGAGGACCAGGAAGAGGAGGTGGACGGCATGCACCAGGCTCATCCGGCAGGTGAGGCAGGTGGTTCTTCTGGTGGTCGGGATCTTCTCCCCCCAGAAATGCCCCCAAGCACAGACTGGGGAAGGTAGGAATTGTGCAGAGGAATTGAGGGGGCGCTGCTTATAATGCACATTGTCATTTGCAGTCCATCAAACTCTGGTCATACTTTTCTACCCTTGGATCTCATTCAAGTGGCCTTTTCTTCTTTTAAAAAGCAAATCTTGGTGTTTCTATTATTTTCATACACTGAGTTGGCCTTCTTTTGGTTTTGATGACCTGCGATCCAAGATGGTGTAGGTTTCGATGCACCAAACCGTTCTAGCAAAAGTCAGCTTGGATTGACAGACCTTTGAGAAAACGGTCTTGTGAATTATCCAAGAATGTGCTTCAGGGTGTAAGGAGCAGGTTTACATTGTGTCAGACCAGATGTCTGTATAGCTTAGTGCTGCCAACGCTGGCAGTGAGTTTGAACCCAGATCCTAGTTACTTCTTCTTTGATCTTTTGCTCTCCTCTCCTCTGCCCTGCTCATGTATTGCCTTCCCTAGCATGGCAATACAAGGCATGCAATAGGATCTGTACCATCAGATTGCACCTGCAGCCTTACCAAAATAAAACCAAAACATTTCTAACGTTGAGGTGTTTCTAGGAATGCTGCAAGATTTGTGGCTGTCATTTTTCATAACTAATTTTAATAGGTACTGAATCATTTTGCAATCTACTGCAGAGGCAGTGTTTGGTTAAGGTTTTCTGAGTGTTTTTCTCCTTAGTCAGTTGTAAATCTAAAGTGCCTTCAGTGAGTCTATCTATTGCTCCCTTTCATACCCTTTAGCATACGTATTATAATCTTGGAGTAGGTACACCTGCTTTCCCTGGCTCATTTCTTTGCTGTTCTGGCCTGCAAATCAATCACTGTGCCTGTTGCAGAAGTTGCTGAAAGGAGTGACCTTCAACCAGTTTTGGTTCTTTTAGGAATTGTTTTAACCCGAGTTGGCTACTACACCATTCCATCCATGGAAGAATTGGCCAAAATGACAAGCGACAAAGGAGAATGCATTGTGACAGACTTCACCATTGGCCGAAAAGGTAAGGATGCTTCTCTGCACGAAGACCTTTTCTCCTGAAACTGCCTTCCCCAAAGCCCAGGAAAGTCCCACCTGGATGAAGGCCAAGTAACTCAAGAGGAGCAAAATTCAGGCCATTGAAACATGGTTAAAGTACTAGGCATGTCTCTAGGATCACTCAGGCCATTCACGCAACAGTTTACGGGAGTCTGCTCTAAAGGTCCCTCAAGCCCATGGCCCCATTTTGTCAGGAAGGGTCAGAAGAATTCCCCTCTAAGCATTTCAAGTAATCTCGTTGTTGGATATTAGTCATAGTGGTTGAGTCCCCACAGTCTCTTTCCTCAAGTAATAATAATAGCATATTGCAGGGGTCAGCAACCTTTTTCGGCCATGGGCCTGTCCACCGTCCCTCAGACCATGTGGGGGGCCAGACTATATTTTGGAAAAAAATATGAACAAATTCCTATGCCCCACAAATAACCCAGAGATGCATTTTAAATAAAAGCACACATTCTACTCATGTGAAAACACGCTGATTCCCGGACCGTCCGCAGGTCGGATTTAGAAGGCAATTGGGCCGCATCCGGCCCCCTGGCCTTAGGTTGCCTACCTACCCCTGGTATATTGCAACACATGCAGTGTACATGCACTTAAACCCATCAGTTCTTGAATGTGATCACAGTAACAGCGCAGATGACAAAGCTGCACACAGTGTGCACAAATTAAAAGTTGTTTGGATGCATAAATGATGCTCCCAAGTACATGATTGCAAAACCTGATTTGCGGCATTAACTGGGGAGCTGGTTTAGGTGTGTGTCCCCCATAGACCTTTCTGGGAGTTGCCGCCAGACTCCTGCTGCAGCTTGTGTGCTTCTTGCATAGATTTCTAAGACACTCCCAGTTCTGGTGATTGCGCACACTTGACCAATGAGCTTCCATAGCTTTGTTGCAGCAGCACTCCGGTTTAAGCTGATGCTGAGATCATAGAATTGTAGAGTTGGAAGGGGCTGTCATCTAATCTGTTCATCTCCTCCCTAGGCTACGGCTCAATCTACTTTGAAGGCGAAGTGAACCTGACTAACTTGAACCTGGATGAGATTGTGCACATCCGCCGGAAAGAGGTGATTGTCTACCCAGATGATGAACAGAAGCCACCCATTGGGAAAGGATTGAACAGGTAAATATAGACCAACCTAGTGTTGGCTCACGTTCACCGTGAACACGCTAGTTCATCTGTTAGGAGTGTTTGCCTCTCTGGCCTCCGTTAACCCTCTTTGTTTCTTAACAGGAGAGCTGAGGTCACTTTGGATGGTGTTTGGCCCACTGACAAAACCTCGCGTTGCCTGATAAAGAGCCCAGAACGGCTAACCGAAATGAACTATGAAGGCAGGCTGGAAGCCGTCTCCCGGAAGCAGGGTGCCCAGTTCAAGGAGTACCGCCCTGAAACTGGCTCATGGGTATTCAAGGTAATAACAGCTGGGTATAAGTAAATGGAACCAGCTTCTATACCAAAGCTTTTTTCTTTCCTTGGCATGGAAAAATTTAAGGCACACTCCAAAGGGAGGGATAATTGCAAATTTTCACTATTGTTTGCACAATTCCAACTGCCCCATTTTGGCGACTCCTCAGAAATACTTCATCTGCAACAGGAATGGGGAGCCTGTGCTGCTTCTCTGCATCCCTACCCCTCCGGGATGTTGTCAGACCAGCTCCCATCATCATTAACCATTGGTGCCATTTTTGGCTGCAGCAGATGGGAGCTGGAGCCCTGTATCAACTGCAGGCTCCCCATCTCTGGTGTCCCGGCCACCAGTATAACTTGACAGGCAGGATATTGTCTTCACTTACTGATGTCCACAAGCTACTAGTTCAGGCCATCACCTATGCTGGCTTTGGTTTCTGTCCAGGTGGCTCACTTCTCAAAATACGGTTTGCAAGATTCTGATGAGGAAGATGAGGAGCACCCATCGAAAGTCGAGGCAAAGAAACAGAAAACGGCTCAAGTGCCCCCGCCGGGCCTGTTGGCGTCTCAGCAAATGGCTCTAGGTGGGAAACCAGCACCTCCTTCCAAGGTAAGGGAAAGAAATATGTGAACTGGAGCTCTTGTAAAAGGGAAGATTGAAATAAGTTACTCAGTGGCAGAAGAGGACAAGGCTCCACATGGCATTCACCAAGTTTAAGTGCAGGGGTTCTTCTTTCTCTCTCTCTCTCTCTCTCTCTCTCTCTCTCTCTCTCTCCCCGCCCAAAACAAAAATTGGTCATGCTCTCCTTGCTGCTGATGAAGAAAAGAAAAGGCACAAGAGTGGCTGGCTGCAATTCTTGCTTTTTTTCAGTTTCTTGTCGCATCATTTTTAGTATTTTCCCCAAATTTTAATGAATCATCCACAAAACTAGCTGCAATTCTCTCTTCTGGTCCTGATGATCCAGGATATAAGAGGACAGGTGAGCCTTGTTGCTTGTCTAGAAGCAGCATGTATAGGAAAGGGGTTTGTTTTGGCTCTCCTGTGCTCCAGGAGGAAGGGCAAGATATAAAACAAAGGAATAGGTCAGAATTTCATCAGCTTAGGTTTCCACAGTTGGCCTCGTTCCATCTGCCTGCCTGAAGCCGTTCCCTGGAACTCGGTTTAGTGGAGGGGTCATGATGATGCCAGCCTAACACCACCTATTGTGACATGGCATTGCCACACTGGTCTCTGTCTCCAGTCCTACATGATACTTGCTTTGCCAGCTCAGCAGCTGCTCTGTGTGGGGCACTCAGCCACATCCAGAACTGGGGTGGGGAGGCCTGGGCTCTGCTGATCTTTCGTAGCAGAAGTTTATTACACGCTCCGCTCCTTTGGATCTGTATTGCATTGCCTCTTAACTCCTGATGCCTGCAGAGCCCAGACGTTGAGCAGCTTGGGAAGGTTGTGGAATTTGACAGCGACATGGCAGACATCACTCAGGAGCCGTCCCAGGACTTGGTCACGGAAGAGAGTTTTGCAGAGGAGCAGGAACCAGTGCCAGCTTCTGCACACATTGCTTCCTCTCTGGACATCAACCCTCACACATTGCAGGTGAGCCCCTCCTCGTTTGTGTTGCTTGCCTGGTAGGGTCCTCCTTTGGTCTTGTACTTGGACCTCACCACTTGTTCCTATAACCGGGTACACCTGCTCTTCACTCTTTCTGCTCTGAGCCTTCTGTGCCCTGTATCTGTTTGCTTCTATCATGTCATCATGGATTCTTCTTTGCTGTGCTGGCTGAGGTTGATGGGAGTTATAGTTCAGTACATCTAGAAGGCATCAGGTTGGCCAAAGCTGCCTTTTCTGGGCAGCAGGACAGAACTTTCTCTCCCCATCCCAGGTGGGACAGATTTGACAGGTGGGCAGGGCTGCCCCTCTGACATCACTTTGACACCAGGCTTTGGATTTCTGACCATCAGGGCTCCAAGTGCAGCAAGCCTGGGCTTCTCTTTGAGCATCTGAAAGAAGTGGGTGGGTGTGGTTTGGGGTAGAGGGCCTCACAGGCCAAATTGGACTCCCAGCGTGCCAGAATCGGCCTCCATGCCAGAGCTTCCCCACCCCTGCTGAACATATTTACAAGTCACATGCCCTGCCTTTGGACCAGTCAGAAGACGCAGCCCTCAAACTGGGGGTCTCAGAATGTCAGCAACCTAAAAGGTCCATTTACAGTAACTGGGCAAAGGTTGCTTTTTAACTCATTGGTTTTATCTCTTGCTTTTAGCATTGTTATGTCAGTGGATATTGAATAAGCACACTAGGGAAAAAACAACCTTCAACTTTTTAAAAGTCCTCTGTGATGACCTTGCTCTGTACTTGTTTCCAGATCATGAAAGCTTCCTTGCTTGTGGATGAGGAGGACTTGGACCTGATCCTTGACCACCGTTTTGGCAAGCAAGCTGCACCAGTGGATACATCCCAAGACCTCTGTTCCCCCAGACTTCCCATCTCCTCCTTGATGCGAGGACACAAGAGCCGCCCCTCAGGTACAGTAAGAACCCCGGTCTTTGTGCTGGCGCCAAGGGGAAAACGGTTCTTAAATGCTAAGCTCTGCTTGGTACAGGCTTTCTGAGGCTAAGCTGACATTATGCTTAGCACATTGCTGCAAGGCAGTTCCTCTCATGGCTTGGCCTTTGGGACTCTGTTCAACAAAGGATTAAATTAAAAATAAATTGGTTAATGCTACATTTCCAAGACTTTGTTGTTTGTTGAATTGTGCTCTGTGAATTTTCCTCCTGTGTATGAACCACTTTTAAGACTTTTTGGAATGGTGTCCAATAAATTAAGTAAAAGAAGTAAGGAAGCATTTTGAGGAGGGTGGGGGGAGAGTAAGCCCCCCTAAGGCACCCCAGGCACTTTGGGGGATGTGATCTGTCATTAAACAGAGGAGTGAGGCCTTTGGGCTTTTCACAACACAAAGTGTCACTGCAGACACCAATGGCCATCTGTACTAGTCAGTTTACAAATACTATGTTCTTTGATGTATTATTCTGGCTGCTCTTAACGTTGAACCAGGGGGAGCATTTGGGATCCATTTAGGAAAAAGCCCACACATTGCAATCAGTTTAGAATAGGAGTGGGGCGAATCCAGGGCTCACGTAACCCTGAAGAAAACCAGACAGGAGTGTTTGGGATCCCAGAGCAGTGCTGCATATACCATTTCTGCCCATAGACGGACATTAACGCACATGTCCCCAGCAAAGTGACATGATCCCACAACCTGAGCAAAGTTCAGGATGAAACCCATGGGGCTCTCATAAGGGTTCCTCACATGTTGCTGTGGAAACTCGAGGTTTCCAGTGTGACAATTAACCATCATAGGTAACGTCAGTCTTTTCTGTGGCGTCCATTCACCCATTCAGTTGCGTGATAAGGTGATGTACACACAGGTCTGAACCAATCATTCATTGAAGATTGTGACTGTAACTTTTGGCCTTGAATGAAGGCCTGGAAGCTTCAGCTGGTTTGAAATGCTGCTGCCTGAGTCCTAACAGGGACAGGAATTGGGGAGCAGTAGGCATGTTGCAACCTTCCCTCAGGCCACCGGAAGCCAGCGCACTTGCGTCCAGAAGCATGCTTTTGGGTGGGTGGGGTGTTAGAATGGTGATCTGTTAGAAGTCTTGTCTTCCTAATCAAGGCCTTCCTTCTCCTCCTTAGTTGGGGGGCTGCTGCAGTCAAGACTCTCGGGCGGATCTTTACGCGTCCCAACTACTTCCCTCCAAGACAGACGCAGTCCAAGGACTTCCTTGCTGGCCAGCGCTCTTCCTGCCCCGCCTTGGTCCGTCGGTTCTCCGCTGACCGGTGCATTCACAATGCCCAGCCTGGAGCCTGACATGCCGCTGAAAACAGTGGGCGTCCGCAGGCATCCCGAGCTGGTGCCTCTGGAGAAGTCTGTCACCTACGGGAAAGGAAGGCTGCTGAAGGATATGGCCCTCTTCATGGGACGCTCCTTCCGTGTCGGCTGGGGGCCCAACCGGATCCTCGTCCACAGCGGGGAGCAGCTGAGCACACTGAGTGAGCCAGAAGATCTCCACAACGAATCCATGGAGTATGGATTCTTGCCAACACCTGTTGCTCCTAAACAGTGAGGCGTCATTCTGTTCTTAAATATCAGTCTTCTGAGGTGTTATGCAGTGAGCTGAGTTATCTGGCTGGCTAGTCTAGTTTGCACTGATGTGGGCTTTTGCCACAGAGGCAGGACTAATTTCTTCTTACCTGTTCACCCTAGAGGGTGGGTGGGGAACCTCATGCACTTTTCTCAGCCTGCTGCACTTGGTATCTGGAGTTCTGCTGCACTGCAAGACAATCATTCCTGCCCTGGTTTTTTGTTTACAGTGGTACCTTGGGTTAAGAACGTAATTCATTCCAGAGGTCCGTTCTTAACCTGAAACGGTTCTTAACTCTGAAGCGTGCTTTTGCTAATGGGGCCTCCTGCTGCCTCTGCACCGCTTGTGCGCAATTTCCGTTCTTATCCTGGGGCAAAGTTCTTAACCTGGAGCAACCACTTCCTGGTTAGCGGAGTCTGTAACCTGAAGCGTCTGTAACCCGAGGTACCACTGTATTTCCTAAAATTTATGTATTGCTGGGGGGGTGGTGTAAGAGTGCTGGTCTTCCTTCAGCAGAGCAGGTTCCCTCTCCCTACCGTGTTCTGAGCTCACTTGCAGCATAACAGAAACCTTTTCCAGGACCTGGCATATTGGTCTCTCCTGGCAGAAATTGCCATCTTCCAATAATACAGAGAGGCAGCTCTCTCAGCACAGCACCTTGACATCACTTGGCTCCTCCAGAAGCAGCAAAGCTTTCTGATTATAACCGTTGGAAACTGCTGAGTTTGCCGCCTTGTCCTCTTTCAATGCATAGGGCCTGTGCATGATGAATATTTTCTTACTATGGTGCTCCTTTTAAGCTGATGGTCTGGCTGAAATTCTGTGCTATTTTATCAAATGGATGGTTGTGAATAAACCCACAAATGAAGAAGCAATTTGGGTGTCTCTGAGAAAATGTTTCTCACCACCTACATACCCCATGCTTAAACTTTTGAAGCTGTGCTTAATTTGTAAGCTTCCTTGAGAGCATATTATTTAGAAGGCAGCCTGTGTTTATTTTTAAATAATTGAATATTGCCGTGACAGAGCCACTCATCTCCCTTGATCTGTGTTCCCGATGCCTCTGCAGGCTCTCGGAGTCTCCCTTTAAGGTTCACGTGGAGAAGCTGAGCTTGGAAGGAAAGGCAGCTGACGAGGACCTAGACTCGTACCTTGTTCCACTGGAGATCAAGCTGAAGCAGAGCACTGTCCACATGGATGAGCCGTGCCCTTTCCTGACTCCCAACCCTGGCGTAGCTGCTATCCATGAGTATGCCAGGTGGGCAACGGAGACGTCTGCTGACCCAGAAGAAAGGGAAGAAGGTGGGCACAAAACTGGATGCCAAAGAAAAGGAATTTGGGGTGGGGGGGAGGAATTGGAAATGTCAGGTTGAGCTCCTATCATGTTGAGGGAGGGCAAGAGTGGCATGCTCTCTCGCTCTCCCCCAGAGTACCCAACTACATAGTCAGTTGCATTTGCCCAAAAATCAGCTTTTTGAGGAAAGTCTGCTCTGTCCTGTGGCTGTGAAGAGGCAATTCTGCCTTGGCCAGCGGTGGATGGTGCATGCAGGCATTGAATCGCTGCTTAGCATCTTTCCATGTCCCAGTCCCATGTCCCACCATGGGCTCATGCCCCTGCACCTGTTTCAGAGCAGAATCACCGTGGAAGACACAGTGAGGCAGGGCGTTCTGGTAACAGGCCGGCCTCCTGCTGTCTCCAGCAGCTGCTGTTGCCCTCCCAAGCTGTGATGCATGGAGAGCTGGTGGGTGCTAGGAACAGGAGAGACTTCTTGGTCTTTCTTGCTATGGATGCAATTTCAAGGGGCCAAAAACTGCAGCATCTTGGCAGGATCAGGTGTAAGCTTTTGCGGACCCTTGGTGCCGTCATAGAATTGGATTTGGAAAGCCCAAGGTGACTTGGTGGCACTGGGTATTTCTGGCCTCACCTTCATGGTCCAGATCACAGCTGGCCATAAGCAGAGAGTGGAAGGTGATTGACGGAGCAGAGGTAGCAGTGCACAGTTCAGAATTTAAGCTACAGTGTGGGGTAAGGGTGGAATGGCCTTAGGAGCCCCCTGCTGCACGTGTGTGGCTGGGACCCTGTTTGCAGCTGCCTCATGGGATAGCACAGGGCAGGCCTGCAGGGTCGTGTGCTGATCTCTCTCTGCCCTCTCGCCAGCTGCAGTGAAAGACTGGTGCCTGGTATGGACCCTGTGTGAGGCGCTCTGGGGCCACTTGAAGGAGCTGGAGGCCCGCTTGGATGAGCCCACGGAGTACGTCCTTGCTCTGGAGCGCCGGAGAGCCTTCTCCCGCTGGCTGTCACAAACGGCTGCTGAGCGGATCAAGAACGAGGTCTCGCTCGCCCAGAACGACAGTCCCGCCCAGGCCGTCTTCAGCTACCTTACTGGGAAGCAGATCAGCGAAGCTTGCCGGCTGGCGCAACATTCTGGTAAGACGGCGGCTTTTCACCTGGAGCCAGGATCTAATAAGGAATCTGCTGGTTCCCGTGGGCAGAAATGGTGTACGGCCAGTGCTGCTTAGTGGGTTGCCTGGAGAGGGCGCAGCAAGCTGAATCTTGAATTACAGGCTGTCCCTTCCTCTGGTCAGGGTATTGGAGGCCCTTTTGCCTCCAGAGTGAGGAGTCTCAGGAGAGAAGTAGGTGGCTTAGTAGTGGGTTTCCCTGGATGAAGGCCCAGGCTTGCGGAAAGGTGCTTATCTGTTCCTTGGAAATTGCCAGCGCCAAGAGGAAAGCTCTCCTTTGCCCGCATCTTGACATAAATTTGGCTTCCTTCAGCACAGCAAAGAGCTTTGGCCCGAGGAAGTTGTTTGTTTCTGCAGGGCTGGTAGGAGGGAAATGCAGAGTTCCATTGTAAACTCTTCACCCCTCATTCTTCTCTGCTTTAGCTGCTCCCTAGAAAAGGATTGGAAGGGGATTTGGGTGTGTCTTCCCAACTAGATCAGCTTCTTGAATTTCTAGGTGAGCAACACCAAAAAAAAACAACCCCTGCCTTACAACAGGCTTAAATGAAGCGATCCTTGCTGATGATATTGAGGGTGGGCTACGTGCAGCACTCCCCAATCAAGAAGCAATCTATCATGTAGACTTGGTTTTCCTATGGGCAGTTATATTCTGCCTAAGTCAGTGTGGTCCTTCCCCCTCCAAAATATGTGCTAGAGCACCAATGTCTGCACTGCTGCCATCTTTTGGCCAGGTAGTTCACATTTCAGGAGAGGCTGCTCACGGGGGTTTGTGTCTCTTCTGATGTGCTGCTGTTGCGTTACAGGGGACCACCGGCTGGCTCTGCTCCTCTCGCAGCTGGCAGGAAGCCAGGATGTCCGGGAGCTCCTTGCCATGCAGCTGGCAGACTGGCATCAGCTCCAGGCAGACTGCTTCATCCAGGAGGAGAGGCTGCACATCTTTGCCCTTTTAGCTGGCAAGCCGGTGAGTTGCGGAGCCTGGGCACTGCTCGGCCACTTGCATTAAGAGGGTCACATGTACACACAACGCCGTCACCAGGCCAGCGAGCCTCTGTGGGTGTCCCTCTTGCGCAGCAGAGCTACTGTGTTGGGCTCTGTGCCTGGCCCACACTGACACTCTGCCTCGGCCCTTTCCCTCACTTCTGCAGGTGTGGCATTTGTCAGAGAGGAGGAGCATCAACATCTGCGCCCATCTGGATTGGAAGCGTTCTCTCGCCATCCACCTCTGGTACCTGCTTCCTTCTACAGCGCCTCTTTCCAAGGCCCTCAGCATGTATGAAGCCGCATTCCAGGTAGGTGGAAGTGGCAGTCCTGTTTGGCCAGAGGGCCAACCTTGAGCCCTATCCCTAGAGCTGAGGCACTCCGGCCTGTTGCTGCCTCCTGAAGGAAGGACAGGATGATGTGCTGTGCCTCTGCTGAGCTCCCTTTGCTCTTTGGTATATGCAGGAACATCACAGATGTTCTGGAACAGACTAAGTGTCTGTGTCTAGGTCTGCATCTGGTTTCCCACAAGGGACACCCAGAGACCCCCACCAGAAGCCCATAAGCAGGGCGTGAGAGCAGGCCCCCCTCTCCTCCTCCTGCCTCTGATCCTGTGGGGTGGGTAGAACTGGCAGCCATTCCCCGCCTGTCAAACTTGCCTTGAGGGGAGGGGAGGCGGGAGAGACAAGGATCCAGCTCAGTTTCCAGCTCCCCACCCCAACGTCTCTCTAGTGCCTCCTCGGAACAGGCATACGCAGGAGAGAGGCCTTTCCTTCTTCCTGCAGCTGCTTCCCCTCACTCAGTGGTATTGTGTTCGCAGGACTCCTCAGAGGGAGAGAAGTATGCTTGCTCTCCACTGCCTCCGTATCTGGAAGGCTCAGGCTGTGTGATTGAGGAAGGCGATCAACAACACCCGCTCCGAGACGTGTGCTTTCACCTGCTAAAGCTCTACAGTGATAGGTAACTCTTCCTGTTTTCCTGCACCTGCTGAAGGCGGACTCTGCTCCGCAGATATTCAGCTCTCGTAAATCTTTTGGTCTTTTAAGGTGACACAAGACCCTTTGCAACAGACTTCACAAGGCTGTCCCTCCGGAATCTCTTTCCTCCTTGTGAACTCAGGTTATGCTGCAAATGTGGTGACCTACCAAGAAGATCCTGGTTTCTGCCCACTCTGCGGGGAGGAGCTCCCCAGATATTGTCATTGATATCATTATTGTTTATTAAATTTCTATGCCGCCCTTCATATGAGGATCATAGGGTGGTTTACAATATAAAAATACATACCATAGTAACAAATGAAAGCAATAACACACACAGTTTAAAAGACCGTAGATGGTTTAATTAGCCAAAGGTCTGGGAGAAGAGGAATGGTAAGCATCCTGCTTAAAAAGTCCCAAATCAATTTACAGCCATCTGGTTGGCCACTGTGAGATAGCTGTGAAATAAGATTGGCCACCAGTCTGGTCCAGCGGGCTCTCCTCGTGTTCTTATGTTCTAAAGTGTTTTTAAAAAGTATGTCCGGTGGGGGAAGCGGGGGACATAAACAGAAAGTTGTGTGCCTGTCAAAACAGCCATGGGACATACAATACCCCTTTCCCTCCACTCTCCTGTATATATTGTGTGGAGGGGGATACTGAAGTCCAGGACCCTAGAAGCCTAACAGTGGTGGGAATTTAGTTTATCTACATTGCTTCTTTGTCATCTCCAGCTTAAGAGTTCTAGTTATGATTCCTATCCAGTGGATATTGAGCCTAACACTGGAATGTCTCTGTGGCTCATTCAAAATTCAGTATTGGGGCGGAGAGGGAGAGAGGAAGAGGCATTGGTGCCAGGAAATGACTTCTGTCTTGCATGTGGCAAACTGATAATACAAGCTGAAATACTAGAAAGATTGGAAACGCTAAGAAACAAGCTGGCTGGGAAAGACTTACATAAGGAAACTAAGGTGGACGTCCAAAGTAAGAGCAAGAGCCCTTCCAAAATAATCATCTCACAAGAACCCGATTCAGCGGCTCGTCGACCACGTAACCTTCAGATAAAGGCAGAGATTAATCTACCTGCAATCAAGAAAGTACAACTTACAAAGGAGAACAATGCATCGCTCCCTATAAGGAAAAACATGCCCAAGGAAACCTCACCAGGCTTTTGGTCCAAAATGAGATACTTAGATGAAGCGGAATTAGGCTACAACCAGGTAGAATACCCCCAGGAGGAGGCCTTGTACAGCAAAGGCCCAGTGTCTACCAATGTGAGCACTTTACATTTACCATCTGACACCATAGAACTCCTGGGCAGCTCTCCATGCAAGGATGACAGACGGCTGCCTCGTAGAATGGGAAACTCTAACAGTACCTTGGAAGATAATTGACAAGGAGTGGATTTTGGTAAAGCCAACCTTAGCTTTTTATCATGGAATATCGCAGGATGGCAAAAAAAGGCAGCTGACCCATCCTTTGTTAAATTTATCCAAGGCTACGACATAGTATTTTTACAGGAGACATGGCTCACAGGAGACCTAGAAGTTAACGGCTTTTCCTCAATGTCCCTCACAGGTTCCCCAGCACTAAAGGGGGGAGAGTCAAGGGTGGCCTAGGCATTTTAATATCTACAAGGTTGAGGGCGTCCTTAGTAAAGCTAGAGACACTGAAACACCTGGCTATGGCCTTACTAGTGAAAAGTAGATTCTTCACCCTGCTACTGATTAATGTATATCTTCCCCCCCAAAGAGGCAAGCAGCTGATTAAAAACACCTGGCATGGGCTGGAAACATACATTGATGGTTTGATGACTCAAACCCCCCAGCTTCAGTGCTAGTGGCTGGTGATCTTAATGCCAGAATTGGCCAGTCTGACGAAGCACTATATGCACACTTCCACGACTCGCCACCTATTGTGGAAGAAAACCACCTTATACCCACCAGACTCTCAAAAGACAAGGGATGTAATTATGCAGGTTTGTGCCTATTGCGGCTTTCTAACAAGCTGGACCTGGTCATACTAAATGGGCGCAAGAATGGGGAGACCTGTGGGAATTTACTTTTATATCAAATGCAGGAGCTTCCACTATCGACTATGTTATGGTATCATTTAATCTCCTAAATAGAGCCCTTGAGTGCAAAGTGGAGGAGAGGGTTGATAGTGATCATTTACCGCTCTGCCTCCTCCTGGATGCAAGAAAAGACTTATTTTGCAATGATAAACTTGAAGCCCCCAGGTCCTCCAACATGGAGTTGAGATACTCACGTATTAGATGGTCCGAAAAGCTGAATGCCGAAACATCTGAAAGGCTATACTCGGACACATTCCTCATGAGAAGAGATAATCTCTTAAACCCACCATGTTCTGAATCTAGAATAATCTTGTTCCAGGAGCTGATCTCACTTTTGCAACCCCACCTGATCCAAAAAAGACATCGCGCCAACCTATATTCCCCAACAAATCCAAACCCTGGTTTGATCAGGAATGTATTGCTACAAAGCGTTCTTTGCTGGATAAGTACAGGAATTACAAATCAGCGAACTTACCCTTGCTTCCCGCGGAATGGTTCGAAGCCAAACGTAAATATAAAGATCTGATTAAAAGAAAAAGCTTCAGGCCCAAAGGGAGGAGTGGCAACGTTTATTAGAGGCCTCTCGAAGGAAAGACTCAGCCACCTTTTGGAAAATAGTCGCGAAAAGTTGGCAAGACTCCCGATTGAAATTGATTATACTATACCAGTTGGGATTTGGGAGGCTTACTTTCTATCTTTATATACATCAAATCAACATCTGCAGGCCCTGCCCCCAGCTCCGAGTGATATTGGCGCCGAATGGCCCTCAGTAGCAACTGAAGAGATCTATAGGCTCATCCAATCCCTTAAACCTGGAAAAGCACCCGGCGTAGACAACATTACACCGGAACTCCTTAAGGCTAATGTTGAATGGTGGGCCCCTGTGCTAGCTGCCCTATTTACCAGCATAGACCAATCGGCCACTATCCCTGAGGATTGGGGATTAGCAATCATCATCCCTTTATTCAAGAAAGGGAGCCGATCAGACCCGGCTAATTACAGGCCAATTAGCCTCCTAAGTATCATTAGCAAATTGTACGCTGCCCACCTATGCGGCAAATTAGTGGACTGGTTGGAACAAGACCACATTCTTTCAGAAGCACAGGCTGGTTTTAGGGCAAATCGGTCAACCTTAGACCAGGGCCTTGTTCTCCAACATCTTGCGGAGAAATATACATCAAGAAAAGGAGGTTCCCTATACGTGGCCTTTATAGATTTCAAATCTGCTTTTGATTTAATACCGAGGGACAGGCTCTGGGGAAAGCTAAGCGCCGCAAATATAAACAAACGCCTACTGTATCTCATCCACAGTCTATATGAAAATACACGGATTCGGGTAAGGTGTGACCGACAGGGCCACCTATCCAAGGAAATCCAAATCCATCAGGGGGTCAGGCAAGGGTGTGTCCTTGCGCCTACTTTATTTAACTTCTATATCAACTCGCTAGTAGGACATATGGAGAAAGAAAATGCCCATCCCCCCAAATTGGCTGGTACGCCCTCCCGGTCCTTTTATATGCGGATGACACAGTTCTAATTTCTTTTTCTTGTGTTGGATTAAGAAAACTTTTGAGATCTTTCACCAAATACTGCAGCATCGAACAATTAACAATTAACTACAACAAATCCAAAGTTATGGTGTTCTCCAAAAAAAGGAGGAGGCACAAATGGAGAATAGACAACCGCTTAATAGAACAGGTAGCAACCTTTAAATACCTGGGTGTAACCTTCCAGGAAAGGGGCTCCTGGCGCTTTCAGATTAATAATACTATTGCAAATGCAGAAAGATCTACCAAAGCGTTAATAAGATTCTTCTATGGGAAAGGAGGCCAGTACATACCGGCAGCCTCCCAGGTCTTTGCTGCCAAAATACTACCACAATTGTTATATGGATCCCAGATCTGCAGTTTTAAAAACCTTACTCTCCTAGAGGCATTTCAAACTAAGTTTTTCCGCTGCCTGCTGGGGATCCCCTCTTGCGTATCCAACATAGCAGTCCGTTTGGAGGTTGGGCAAATTCCGATCAGTACCCGGATATGGATATTGAAGATCCATTACTGGCTAAAGCTTATTTTCTTCCCGGTTGGGCTGGCACCTTTGACCTTATTGGATACCTACCAATCCAGATGGAAGGCTACACTGCTGGAAAAGCTTAAAGGCTTGGGGATCCCACAGCAGACCCTGATAGCCACAGGCTTCGAGAAAGCTAGGACCACAATTCGCCAGCGTATCTGGGATGTAGAATTACAATGCCACATGAGTGAAATGATCAAACATCCTGCAATAAGGGACTATGGGAGAGGTTTTTCTCCAGCTAACTATCTGTCAGGTCTCCAGGTACCTAAATACAGACGGTCTTTTACCCTCGCCAGATTCAACGTTCTCCCTTCTGCCTTACTTCAGGGCAGATTTGAGGGTAAACCATACGCAGCGCGGGTCTGCCCCTGTGGCTCGTTGGAGGTTGAGACTGCTGCACATGTACTGTTGCGTTGTCGTTTTTATGAGGACATACGTTCGACTTTTATTGCTCCTGTTTTGCGGAAGTCCGGGAAGGAGTCGGAACACCATGGTTTGGAACCGCTGCTAGAGGACAAGAATCCCAAGACTACATTAAATGTAGCCAAATTCTGTGCGGCTGCAATTAGTCGCAGGAAGCAAGTGGTATCCCATGGTGACCAAACCCCCAAGTGTTGATAGCAGGGGGCATGCTAATAATTAATTTTAATTTTTTAATTAATAATAATTAATTTTAATTTTTTATATTTAAATGCTTGTTATACTTATATTGCCCTTTGTATTTTATATATATATTTTTTATGATCTGTGATGTTGTGTGTGTTGGCGCTGGTCTGTGACCGTATTAATAAATTCATTCATTATCCAGTGGATATTGAGCCTAACACTGGAATGTCTCTGTGGCTCATTCAAAATTCAGTATTGGGGCGGAGAGGGAGAGAGGAAGAGGCATTGGTGCCAGGAAATGACTTCTGTCTTGCATGTGGCTGTGGGCAGTCCTGCTAGTCTCATGAAAGGTCATTTCCCCCAAAGCGTTTGCCCCGGTTTGCCCTTTAGGCCTGGACTTCCAGACCCTTCTGCTTCCATGGAAAGTCTTTCAGCGCGCGGCACTGTGAACTGGAGTGTGGGCCCCACTTTGGCCAGCCTGCTTATGCTGTTTCCTTCCTTCCTCGTGTTCCCTTGCAGGTGTTACGATCTCCACCAGCTGCTTGACCCAAAGAGCATAACAGCGGACCCCTTGGACTACCGCCTCAGCTGGCACCTGTGGGAAGTGCTGCGTGCCTTAAATTACACCCACCTCTCAGAGCAATGCCAGGGAGTGCTGAACGCCAGCTTTGCAGCCCAGCTGGAGAGCGAGGGGCTGTGGGAATGGGCCGTCTTTGTGCTTCTTCACACCCCCAGTGCAAAGTAAGTGTGGAGCCCTCCTTTGTCTTGCAGGGGTGTGGGGGTTTTATCGGATTTCTTCCCACAGGAGGAGGGAGGTGCATCCTGTCAACATAGCATCATGCTATCTGAAATGGTGGCATCCTCTTTGGGGTAGAGTATGAAGAAAGAAGATTTCACCTAAACATTAGGAAGAACTTCCTGACAGTAAGAGCTGTTCGACAGTGGAATTTGCTGCCAAGGAGTGTGGTGGAGTCTCCTTCTTTGGAGGTCTTTAAGCAGAAGCTTGACAACCATATGTCAGGAGTGCTCTGATGGTGTTTCCTGCTTGGCAGGGGGTTGGACTCGATGGCCCTTGTGGTCTCTTCCAACTCTATGATTCTATGATCCACTCTCATTTAACAGCACTGCTACTAATAAAATTGGTCCTGTGAGCTCTGAACATGCACAAGTTTTTAGCAAAAGACCCACTGATGTGCTACAAAGTTTTTAAGAACTATTCTCCAAAACACAAGCCTGTTTAACAAAGATTGTATTAAAATATTTTGAAATCTTTCAATGAAATAGAGAAATTAACTTTTCTTCCTTTTGAGTCATATTCTAAGAACTGATTCAAACATGCATGCGCATCATATAAAATTTCTCATAAGTTAATAACGCAGCTTAATAATACTGACTTAAAATCCGTTGTGGTTTTCGAATAATACCAGCAATATCATTCATTAGGTATATGATATAATACATTTTGAATTGATTTGAGATGATAGCAATAACATGTATTGACAGCAAAGAATGGTAATTTGATTTATGGAGTAGATGGGAAGTCAGATTTAAAAGGAAGAGACCATTACAGTTTATGGATTATGAAATGTATATTAATTCTGTATGTAATGCGAGACTGATGATATTCTTATTATGGTTTAATTTGTCGTTTTGTTGTTGTTTTGTGTTGAGCAAATAAAATATTTTTTTAAAAATGAAGTTAATAACACAGCTGAATACTTGAAGGGACTTGAACAGGACTGTGTCTGAGATTTATCCCATCGGGTGATTGATCAGTAATGGCTCATTCATATGTTCCTTTGGTACTACAGTCTTTTATAACTTGCTTACACAATGTTGAGGGCAGCCTTACCCAACCTGGTGTCCTTCCCCCAGGCGCTTGGAGCTACCGTTCTCTTAAGCTGGAACTTGGAGAGGAACCTGGGGCAGAAGGTGTGGGTGGGTGGCATGATCAGATGAGCCTACAGTTAAGCTGTCCCTCCGTCTAGCTTGGGAGAGTCTACTGTGAGTGGCAGGCAGTGGTTCTTCCAGGCCTTGGCCAGAGGAAGGACTTTGACAGCTCAGCCGCTGGACAGCCTTTGACAGGAGATGCCTCAGGGGTGGAACCTCAGATCTCTTTGCGAAAGATGTGCTTTGCCACTGAAGACCCAGTAGATTGGGGGCAGGGAGCAGCACTTGGGACCATTTTCCTGGCTGAATTGTGCGCATAGAGCTATTGCTGTACCCTCCTGCTTTATGCAAGGTCATACAAAGAGCGTTTCTCTTCCCACCAGCGTGCGAGAGAGAGCCGTGCGTGAGCTGCTGAACCGCCACTGCAGATTGCAGGAGACGCCCGAGTCGTGGAGCAAGGAAGCCTTCCTGATGGAGAGGTTGTGTGTGCCGCCAGAGTGGATCCACGAGGCCAAAGCCGTGAGGGCCAGGATGGAAGGGGACAAGCATAAGGAGGCTCTCTACCTGTTCAGGGCAGGGCACTGGAATCAGTGCCACAGGCTGGTCATCAGGCACTTGGCTTCAGGTAAAGCTTCCTTCCTTCCTTCCTTCTCCCGGGGCATGGCGGTAAACAGGGCGTCTAACTGAGTTTTGGACTGTCTTTACCAAAACAAAAAACCTGCAAACACTCAGTAGGATTTTGCCTTGCTTCCTAAGAGGAGGGGGCTTCTATCATTATTACAGTGATACCTTGGGTTAAGAACTTAATTCGTTCTGGAGGTCCGTTCTTAACCTGAAACTCTTCTTAACCTGAGGTACCACTTTAGCTAATGGGGCCTGCCGCCACTGTGCGATTTCTGTTCTCATCCTGAAGCAAAGCTCTTAACCCGAGGTACTGTTTCTGGGTTAGTGGAGTCTGCAACCTTTAGCTTCTGTAACCTGAAGCATCTGTAACCCGAGGTACTACTGTATTTATTAAATTTGTACGCTGCCCTTGGGTGGTTCACAACATAAATATACAAAATGAAAATACAAAATGCATAATTAAGCAAAGGCAGCTCAATAACCCCCCTCTCACAAAACCCATAGAATGTTATTCAACATAGGGGATAAAATTGAACCCTGAGGAACCCACACTGAAGGCTCCACGGGTCTGAAGAGCACTCCCCAAGCATCACCCTCTGGAAATAACCACCCAAGTAGGACCAGAAGCACCGCAAAGCAGTGCCACCCACCCATAACTCTTGACGGCTGCTCCAGAAGGTTGCCATAGTCATTGGCATCAAAAGCTGTTGAGAGATTGAGGAGAATTAACAGAGACCCATTTCCCCTGTCTCATTCCCAACAGGTCATCATACAGGATGACCAAAGCAGTTTCTGTGCCAATTTAAAGGGCTCTGGAAAATCAGTTTGGGAGTCCTCAACATCGCCTCTGAGACTAGTTCTATCAACTGAGGCAGTGAGATCTCTGGGCAGTGAGGCAGGTGGTAAACCAGCAGAATCCCTAATTTGTCCCAGTTGCCCAAAGCCAAGGACACACACTCTAGATTCCACCCCTCCTTACAAATTGAACAGACACCCTCAGGAGGCGAAGGTGCCCTCTCCTAGTGGTGTTTCTTCTTCCTGGTCACAGCTTCAGAATGCCACGTGTCCCATTCTTGGCGTAGATGTTGCCCACATCTGAAAGTCGTGTCAATTTCAACATCTATGCCTGCCTTCTGGCAAGTTGCTGTTTTACCAAACGTTCTGCCAGGCACAGTAGTGTTGAAGTTCTCTTATTTGTTCATCACTTGCTGTTTCCCTCTTTCAGATGCCATTATTAACGAAAACTACACCTATCTGAAAGGGTTCTTGGAAGACCTGTCTGCTCCAGAGCGTAGCACCCTCATCCAGGACTGGGACACCGCAGGGCTGGTTTTCTTAGACTACATCCGGATCATTGAGATGCTTGACAGGATTCAGCAGGTGACACACTCAGGACGAGGATGGGGTCATTGCATTTGTACCCCTCCTTTTTCTCCCAAGGAACTCCCAGGGGCTTGCGCGCTTCTCCCTCATTTAATCCTCACAACAGCCCTGTGAGGAAGGGGAGGCTGAGAGGCAGTGACTGGCCCAAGGCCACCCCGGGAGCGTCATGGCTGCATGGCGACATGAACCCCAACCTCCCAGGTTCTAGTCCAGTACTCTAACCACCACACCAGACTGTTGCATCCTGCCTGCTCCCTTACAGAGAGCACTCTTGGGAATTTTCCTCTTCCCAGTCACACGCTGATCGAGCCTGATGTGCGTATTCAGGGAAAGCTACACTGCGTGCCCCTGTTGAAGCTAGTTCAAAATATAGGGAGTAATGCATGGGAAGGCAAACTAAGGCCCGGCGGCCGGATCTGGCCCAATCGCCTTCTAAATCCGGCCTGCGGACGGTTTGGGATTCAGTGTGTTTTCACATGAGTAGAATGAGCCCTTTTATTTAAAATGCACCTCTGGGTTAGAAAAATTAGAATATCATGGAAAAGTTCATTTATTTCAGTAATTCAACTTAAAAGGTGAAACTAATATATGAGATAGACTCCTGGCATGCAAAGTGAGATATGTCAAGCCTTGATTTGTTATAATTGTGATGATCATGGCATACAGCTGATGAAAACCCCAAATTAACAATCTCAGAAAATTAGAATATTAAATGAAATCAGCAAAACAAGGATTGCAAATAGAGCAAGACTGGACCTCTGAGAAGCAGAAGCATATCTCACTTTGCATGTTATCTCATATATTCGTTTCACCTTTTAAGTTGAATTACTGAAATAAACTTTTCCACGATATTCTAATTTTTTGAGTTTTACCTGTAGTCTGGCTCCCCACAAGGTCTGAGGGACAGTGGACCGGCCCCCTGTTGAAAAAGTTTGCTGACCCCTGGAGTAAAGCATCTGAATGTTCCTGTGTTGAGACATTCCCTGCAGGTGAAAAATAAATCAGCTAGCATGTCAAGGAAAAAATGTTCCTTTGGACGTGCTGGTTTTCTACTGGCAGGGAGATGGGCTTACCAAGGGAGGGTGTGACCTGTCGAAATCTCTGCTACGACCGAGCTCCTCCTCCGGTCGAGCCTTTGGAATCTCCTCCGACGATGATTAACGACCTGAGCCTTTGATAAGGCTCCAGGCACATTCTCCATTCAGCAGAGTATCAAAGCAGCAGAAGAGAAATTTGAGCTACATTGCTAGGTTTTATTTCTAACTACGCAGACAGAAAAGAAATATACATGCTCTCTCTGTGAAAGGCAGAGAGCAACTGGAAAACAAAAGGAACAGGAAACCAGTAACATCACATCCGTCTCCTACCTTTCGTGAGACTTCCAGCAGCCTGGAATCTCTGGAATGCAAAACAGAGTCTTGTGACTCCAAGCACTGCACAGTGGCATAAACAGAAACCAACATGGCCATGCAGTTGATGTATGGGGGTCTTTCCATTTGCTGTGCTCTTCCCACAAGGAGAGGAGAAGGAGATAGCCCTCTTTTTTCTTAGGCTCTAGTGCCCCGCCATGAGCATGGACACTTAAATGCTGCAAAAGGTGATTCAGAGGCTGAGACTTGCCTGCTCACTGTGTCTTCTAGCTTGGGGGTGGGGGAGTGAGGGGGAACTGCCAGGACTCCCCAGGCGCATGCGGCTCAGCTTCCCATTCCAGTGATCTGAGGAATTTCTGGGAGGGAGAAGAGCTTCAGGGGGCTTCACCGGGCCGGGGGCTGTTTGAATAGTAATGGTGGCCATCGGATGCACCATTGCGAACACTTGCCTTGAGATTAGGAGGGGAAATCTGCCCCGTGGAAATTCCTCTGGAAGCCTGGCATGAGACATTTTAATAATGAGAAAAATCCCCAGTGGGACTGTTGTCACCCCAGTGAGTGATGCTTCTCCCTTCTCCTGGATTTGCTTTTCAGCTGGATTGTTCTGGGTACGAACTGGAGGAGCTGCACACTAAAGTGACGTCCCTTTGCAACAGGATAGAGCTGCTCCAGTGCCGCAATGCCAAGGATAGGCTGGCTCAGTCTGGTAAGGCTGTGGGCACGCTGATTCCTTCCCTTTTAATAATAATAATAATAATTCTCTTCTGCAACGTGGCTCTGATTCTTCATGGCCACTGTCATGTAAAAAGCAGCACCTGGAGGCTTTTGTGGTGTGGAGTTTAGGTGACGCCACAAGTCCATGTTGGTGGTTTGCAGTTGCCTTGTGGAACAATGCAGGGCACAGGGAATGTTGCAAAATGTGGGCTTACCCCGCCCATCTGGCTGGGTTTCCCCAGCTACTCTGGGTGGCTTCCAACAAAGATTAAAAACACATCAAAATGTCACACATAAAAACTTCCCTGAACAGGGCTGCCTTCAGATGTTTTCTAAAGGTCAGGTAGTTGTTTATCTCTTTGACATCTCATGGGAGGGTGCCACCACCGAGAAGGCCCTCTGCCTGGTTCCCTGTAGCTTTGCTTCACACAGCGAGGGAACTGCCAGAAGGCCCTCGGAGCTGGACCTCAGTGTCCGGGCCGGATGATGGGGGTGGAGACGCTCCTTCAGGTATACTGTCACTGTTCCTTTATTTCATTTATGAATCCCTTCCCGTGAAGCATTTCCAAATACCAAATGATTGCGGGTATAAAAACAGTTAAAGCAATTACCTCTGCAAAACCAACTTCAAGTATGTTCAGAGGCTGAAGGCTTTCCTCATCTTCAAAGAGCCAGTGCCTGCCTGATGCGTAATAGGAGTGGCTGGCTGGACCGTGTGTGCTCTGCTCTGCCTGGCAAGGAGCCACAGTCAGCTTAGAACTTGTTGACCTGCCTCCTTCCAAGTAGGGAGAGGTTGAGGGAAGCTCCATTTGTCACCAGCAGCCACAACTCGGGGTGCGTTTTCCCAGCTAAAAAGATGAGCGCAAAGACTTCCTCTCTGCTGCCTCCGAGATCAGTGCTAACAGCCTTAACCTCTAGGTGGGTAGATGTTACATAGTCCTGCTTTCCAGCATCCAGCACAGGCTGGTCCCCTATAGCTCTCTGTGGTTCTGCAGTTGGAGAATTGAGAATCCTAGAGTTGGAGAGATCCATTTAGCCCAAACCCCTGCAATGCAGGAATCATAGCTGCATTCCCGGCTTCATTTCTAAGCTGGGGGGCGACCAGTTTCAGAGACAGGAGTGGACCTTTTGGTCGGATCTAGCAAAGCAGTTATTACACTGGTAACCTGTACAGCTGAAAACGCTGGCAGCGTTAAGATAAAATTCAACAGCTTTGATGGATGCAGTACCGTGGTACCTCGGGTTACAGACGCTTCAGGTTACAGACTCCCCAAACCCAGAAATTGTACCTCAGGTTAAGAACTTTGTTTCAGGATGAGAACAGAAATCGCACAGTGGCGGCAGGCCCCATTAGCAAAAGTGGTGCTTCAGGTTAAGAACAGTTTCAGGTTAAGAACAGACCTCCAGAACGAATTAAGTTCTTAACCCGAGGTACCACTGTAATGGAATACTGAATGGTATAGTTTTTTTATAAAATATGCAGGGATTTATGATATGTAAAATGAATCATGGAAAGAGAAGAAGAGAAGTCGTTGATATTTTAAGGATGTACAAATGAGTGTTTTAAATTGGAAAACAGAAAATTTGATAAAAAATGATATTACACTTGTAACCTGAGATCAGCCAAGAGCACACCCTGGACTAGACCACTCGTGTCTGGTAAATGCAAGGGCTTCTCTCGCTGGAGGTCCATTCCCCTGGGAAATTGCTGGAACAAACTCAACTAAATACTTTTCAAACCTTTTTGATACGTTCATTTGCCCAAGCCTCCGCTGTTTTGCCCCTTTCTCGCACCCAGAAATGGCCAAGCGCATTGTGGACATCCTGCGTGTGGTTTTGAGCCTGCAGCACCCTCCGGACTCCGCCTCGGACTCCACCCCGGACGTGCAGAGAGTGCCGCTGCGCCTGCTTGCCCCCCACATCGGCCGCCTCCCCATGCCCGAGGACTACGTGCTGGAGGAGCTGCGTAGCCTCACCCAGGGCTACCTGCGGGAACTGACGGTGGTGGCGCAATGAGGGCAGCTTGCCTCCTCGCCTGGACGTAGCTGCCCTCTCTGAACGATTCGTCTGCCCTTTGGCCCAGGGGTGTAGGCAGCCCCCTTCCTGCGCAACTCCTTCCCACCCTGGGGTGCTGCACAGCCACCATAGGGGGCAAAGTTCAGAGACTGGGCTCTGGTGTTGCGACACCTCCCCCCCCCCCGCCCCCGCTTTCTAGTGTTAATAAAGCCTTTGCCGCAGCAGAAGCCAGCTGTGGGGGTCACTGGACCTGTGGCGGGCAGAGAGCAAGGCACCTTACAGATGGCACAAAAAAAATCAGTGTGTGTGTGTGTATGTATACAGTCAAATCTCCATTTCAACTGAGCTCTGGTCAGCGTTTGTTTGGTTTTTTTTTGGAGGGGGTGGGGGCTTTGAGTGTGTCCTGCGCTGCTGGGTTCGGACAAGTGGAGTCGACCCTGCTGCCCATGTGCCTTATGGGGCTGAGTCAGATCTGGGTTGTGCTGCCTGGCCTTTGCAAAGAAGGGAGGGAGGTGGAGGCACAGCCAGGTTTGGTCTGGAAATGACACCGCTGGCTGATCCTTGCAGGGGGGAAATCCCTCAGTGACGTCAGCTTCCTGGCATCCTGTCTTGGGGTGGCGGCACAAATGGCACCCCAGAGTGCTTCTGATCCTTGCAGGGGGCTGGCAGGTTCCTCTCCTTCTGACAGCCTGGCTTTGGGAGTCTGGCTTGAGTCTTCAAGCTGAGCCGCGCCTGTTCTTCATGCCGAATCCCTTTGCAAGAAGTGCTGGGGAGGGGGGGGGACGCAACCTGATTTTAGGTTTTGTGCTGGGGGTGGGGGGGTGGGGTGGGGTAACGGCTCAAACCAATCAGTTCAAGGTGGTCATGTTGAATGTGTTTGCCATGTGGTTTCATCATATTGCCGAAAGGGAATTCCGGATGCGAAGCTGGCTGGCAGCCTCCAGGGCCCTGGGGTGGACAGTCTGCCCGAATCTCATAGGGCAGGGCGAGGCCTGGTGTGGGTGCTGCCCCTGCGGCCAGTTGCGTGGGACCCCTGGAGGCAGTGCGTGTCTGCGTGTGCGTGTATGTATTGGGGGGGGGGGATGCCAGCAATGTGGTGACGCATGAAGATTATGTAAAGGTTTTTATTAAAAACTATAAATAAATGATCCAGATTATTTTCTTGTCTGTTTTTCTGGAAATACCTTTATAAGAAAATAAAAAAAAGTTTATAGCATTTTCCTGATTGCCTCTCTTTTTTCCCTTCCCTGCCCCTCTTTTAAGAATCAAATGGGTCAACCTCAGACTTGGGTCTCTATTGGGTCTCTAGGGGGCAGTGTTCAGTTCCGGGGTGTGTGTGTCCCTCTTTAGGAGGAAAGGTGCAGGCACAGGAATTGGGTTCGAGGGGAGCTGTGTTATTCCTCCACCATCCAAGGTGCTACGCTCTGTATACGTTCCTGGGCATCATGAGTGGCGAAGGGGTGCTGCCCTCAGGCCTTGCTTGCAGGCTTTTCCCTCCAAACACTGTGACTGGAGAGAGTTGGGTGAGATTCTGGCCTGGGATTGGAAACCAGAGCTCTTGAGCAAAGTCCAGCTCTCCTCCCCACCCTGGCATTCTCCTTATATGGTGCAAGAAATATTTGCAACACTTTGAAGACTGGCTGTCTTTTTCAGAGACTATTTTGTAACTGCTCTGTGGTCACCCACGCTGTAGCTGCCTCGCCTCAAGTCTGGATTTGGTACAAATCATCCCAATCCAGTTCCGGATTCAGAGAAATTGGTTGCATTGCCCCAACTGAACAGGATCAGAGAATCGTAGGGTTGGAAGGGAGCACAAGGGGCATCTAGTCCAACCCCCTGCAATGCAGGAATCATTTGCCCAACGTGGGGGTTGAACCCACAACCTTGAGATTTAAGAGTCTCATGCTCTACTGACTGAGCTATATGGCCTTCAGCTGGACACAACAGGACCTTACGTTTTCATGATGGTTATTCTCTAGCTCCTCAATCAGAAGCGTCACTTACTACCACTTGCTGGGAGAATCATAGTGTGGGAATGTTGAAAGTGGCAGGAGAGGATATGTTGATTATTAATATCCTTCCTAACTTGCGCTAGCAAGTTTCATTTCCCCTTTTTTACGGAGTGGAAACTGGTTGCAAACTCATGTGAGTTTCTTAAGTCAATAAGCAATTCCATCTGGCTTGTCCAGATTCAAATGTGTTCTACTATGTTCCTGGTAAGACCCCTTGAATCCGTCCTAAAAGAATAAAGACACCACAGTCTTACTGATAAGTAACAAAAAGTACAGTGGCACCTCGGGTTACAGACACCTCAGGTTACAGACTCTGCTAACCCAGAAATAGTACCTCGGGTTAAGAACTTTGCTTCAGGATGAGAACAGAAATTGCGTGGTGGCAGCGGGAGGCCCCATTAGCTAAAGGTTAAGAACAGTTTCAGGTTAAGAACGGACCTCTGGAACCAATTAAGTACTTAACCCGAGGTACCACTGTAGTTTTACTAAAGATCAGGCAGAGCACAGAGTGATCCCTGAAGGCAGGCTTTAGGCTTAAAGTTACGAACAGGTACAAACAGGTTTACCCCATATGGGAGATTACCTGGGGGACTGCTTGGCTGGCAGCCAGCAGTTCAGTCCAGGAAGTTCGCAGGACGAAAAGGGAAGATGGAAGAGAAGAGAGGTGGCAGTGTGACTAGAGCAGGGGTCAGCAAACTTTTTCAGCAGGGGGCCAGTCCACTGTCCCTCAGACCTTGTGGGGGGGCGGACTATATTTTGAAGGAAAAAGAATGAACGGATTCCTATGCCCCAAAAAATAACCCAGAGATGCAGTTTAAATAAAAGCACACATTCTACTCATGTAAAAACACCAGGCAGGCCCCACAAATAACCCAGAGATGCATTTTAAATAAAAGCACACATTCTACTCATGTAAAAACATGCTGATTCCCGGACCATCTGCGGGCCAGATTCAGAAGGCGATTGGGCCAGATCCGGCCCCTAGTTTGCCTACCCATGGACTAGAACTTTTGTTAGGTCAGGTAAGGTCAGGCCCACCTACTGGTCACATGTAAGGAAGGATGGTCCAGGCCAGGAGGAACAGGAAGTTCGACTGGCTGGACCAAACTTTCCCTTGCATGTCCACTCTAGCAAAACAAGGGCTGTTGTACTTGACTGCTCCCAGTGAATTACATCCCACACATAGAACTGTAGAGCTGGAAGGCACTAAGGCTGGGCGATATATCTATAACAAGTTTCATAATTTTTGACCTGGCATTATGTTGCGAATTATGATGTGTTTGCGTGCGCAAAAAATCACAATGTGGCGAAAAAACAGCCAGCCAGCCTCTACATAAAGGTAAAGGGTAAAGGGATCCCTGACCGTTAGGTCCAGTCATGACCGACACTGGGGTTGCGGCTCTCATCTCGCTTTACTGGCCAAGGGAGCCGGCGTACAGCTTCCGGGTCGTGGCCAGCATGTGGCCAGCATGACTAAGCCACTTCTGACGAACCAGAGCAGCACACGAAAACACCGTTTACCTTCCCGCTGGAGCGGTACCTATTTATCTACTTGAACTTTGACGTGCTTTCGAACTGCTAGGTTGGCAGGAGCAGGGACTGAGCAACGGGAGCTCACCCTGTCACGGGGATTCGAACTGTCAACCTTCTGATCGGCAAGCCCTAGGCTCTGCGGTTTAGACCACAGCACCACCTGCGTCCCTTAGCCTCTACATAGCTCCGCCCTTATTTCAGACATTGTGACACATCAGTGTATTCCGATGTTTAGCTGGTGATATATTGCAAGGCTGAAAACCAGATATCAGCCAGCCCTAGAAAGGACCCCAGGGGTCATAAAATTCAACCCCCTGTAATGTAGGGAAAGAGCTACTTTCCTTCCACATGGTGCCTGGGCTTCCCAGAAGAGGCCCTTGTGGCAGAAGCAGACCTGGGGGTTTCAAATTTCAGCACTATCATGTGCCTTGCCAAAACTCGGCAACTCCCAACCTCTCTTGCTTCATTCTGAATAATACTCACAGCATCCCCTGCGACGCCCCCAAGGCTCCATGCCCAGTGTGACGGAACCAGTCACGCTCCCCTAAATCCGCCTCTTACTGCGGGAAATGGGGACGCTGGACCAGATAGAACCCTTGGGTCTCATCCAGCGCTCTGGTTGTTGGCACAGTCCAGCGGCCCGCAGTTTTCAGAGGAGTCGCTCTGCCAGTCTGCTGGGCCTTACGGCGTCCAGAAGACTTCCTGCTATAATTGTCACCTAGCCTCTGCAGTGAATGCAATGCCAAAAGGCTGGAGTTTTGTGGAATGCCGAACGACCACCAAGCTGATGCTGTACACCTGAGATTCCAGGATGATTGTGCACATTCGGAAACGAAAGTTTCCTTTTGTTTCGCGGATGGCACAGTTTGCTTTAACCAGCCGGCGATGCCTTTGTGCCCCTTTCTTCCAGACGACTGCAGTCTAAAACAGGCTGGTGAGCAAAACCCAAACTCACCTTGACCTGCCGTGTCTCTGCTGCCTTAACACACACACACACACACACACACACACACACAAAACCCCTTAGGTTGGCTGTGCAGGGCGGATCTTTTGCCAGAGGTTCATTTGCAACCTCCGAGGCTGCTCCTTCCACCTGATGTCACCTACGACCGGCTTGCTGGCTGCTTTTTTTTCCACTCTAGGTAAGGAAAATCCATCGGTGGCTGTCAAAGAAAAGACAGTCTGAGTAGCACAGCGCAGAGTTTACACGCACTGGACCTTCCGCACACAAAAAGGGTTCCTCTGGACTGCCTCCTCTGCCTTCTCCTCGCTGACTCACGCAGCCATGCTCTCCGGGTGACTTAAAGCCCTCCTTCCAGCCGCTTCCGAGATTCGCCACCTCCCACTCCCCAGGTTCACCTTGGCAAGGGTGAAGATGTCTCCGAATCCTTGGATGGGCACCTTCCTCCTGTCTGCCTCTTTGCTGGGTCTCCTCTTGGCGCCAGGTAAGACTTTCAAAAGGCTTTGCACCTCTCCTTTATGGTGCCTTGATTTCTTCTTTGCTTCTTATTAGCGGAAAGGGGCCGCGCAAATGTGGTGCAAGGAAATTATTCTGCTTTCCCTCTCTCTCTGACGCTTGCTTGAAGGACTTTTGCTCGTAAGCAAAAGGCTGCTCCCTCCTGGAATTTTGCAAGGCTTCAATCAAGCAGCTGCCCCCCTGTCCCCCCTCCCGGGCCAGCTGCAGATTCTAAGGTTTCGCATTTGACCTCCCACCTGGGAGAGAATTCTACCTGCTCCTCCTCAGGACCCGTGCGTTTGTCTTTGCAATCATACTTGGGAAAAGAGTTGTTTTCACGGCGGGAAGGTTTGTCCTAACAGCTCCATAGAAACTTGGCCCCGGAGAGTTTGCGTCCTGGAATTGCCATCAGCTAAATTGCAATTCAATCGCCCTCTTGCGAGGAAATGCAGGCCAGACTGCGCTTTGGAAATGCAGCTGGTTAGGGACTGGAAATGTGTGTGTCTTGATCTGTAAGCGAACCTTGCAAGATGTCAATAGACGCGCCTGCCAGGGAAATGGGACACCCGTCATTAAACTTTCAAACCGAGGAAAGGACGGATCTTGCAACATCCCCTGCCTGTTAGGAGCTTAAAAAACGGAGGAAGAGACAGGTGCCGACAGGGGAGAGCCGGTGGGGTCCAAGTAATGTAGGTGGCTCCATCTGGCGAAGAGAGAGAAGATCTGGGTTCAAATCCTACCTTCGCATGGACTGGCTAAGGAGCCTTGGGCAAATTTAGCTGCAATTTCTGTATTGCAGGGAGTTGGACTAGATGACCCCTGGGTCCCCTCCAATGCTACCTTTCAATGATTCTAAATCACTCTCCCAGCCTCGGTTTCCCTGCTTGTAAAATGGATAGAGAGGCGTAACTGTCCTTTTAAAAGTGGCACGATCGGCACTTTAGGCTAGCTCCACTGTGTTGGAAGGAGGCAGAGCATGCCTTCTGTGGGTGAGAGGCAGCGGGGTGTAGTGGTTAGAGTGTTGGACTAGGCCCTGGGTTCAAATCCCCACACTGGGCCACAAACCTCTCTGGGTATGACCCTGGGCCAGTCCCTCTCCCTCTCAGCCTAGTCTACCTCTCAGGGTCATTGCTGGGGTTAAACGAGGACACGGAGAACCATGTTCACCACCTTGAGTTCCTGGGAGGAAGAGGTGGAATATAAATGCAAATAATAATAATAATAATAATACTGACTGCTGACTGGGGCTACTTCAGGCTGCCCTCGGCTGCCCTCTCACTCGGGAAGTCTTGGCTGCAGCACAGGAAGGCAGAGATCCTCTTTGCACATGTTGTGGAACGGACGCCGTGCTCACAGGGCTTCCAGGTGGGGAGTCTGTCTTTGCACCCATGTGCAATGCCTTAACCCTGCAAGGCACCGCGGAGGGGCACTTGCAACTGCTCAGAAGAGCCCCCTAGGACAAACGGCCCTTTCGGAGCTGCTTCTCTGCGGGATTCTGCCCGGGGACAGGGCTGCGAATGTGACCCCCGTGCTTGGTGAGCAGAAGAAATCCAGAGCAGGTGTCCTGCGGAGGCTTGCCGCACTGCGCCTGAGTGTGGGGAGGGTGTGTATGTGTGTCCCCATTGGCCCTGGAGAGGGACAAGACCCTAGCAATCCCAAACCCCCCTCCCTCCAACGGCAAGCCTGTGTCCGACTCTGGAGGGCTGCCCCATGGAAGATGGAGCCAGTTTGTTTTCTGATGGACTCAAAGAAAGGAGATCCCGGCTAACCACCAAGAAGAACTTTCTGGTGGCAAGAGCTGTTCCACAGTGGAATGGACTCCCTTGGAAGGTGGCAGACTCTCCTTCCTTGGGGGCTTTTAAGCAGAGGATGGGGGGGGGCATTTGTCACATGAAAATTGTCCATGGGGAGAGGACCATTTTTCTCCCTTTCTCGTAGCGCAGAACTCGTGGGCGTCCAATGAAGCTCAACGTGGGAAGATTCAGGACTGATAAAAAGCAAGTCCTTCTTCCTGCATCACAGAGTTAATCTGTGGAACTCCCTCCTGTTGCAGGAGTTTATGTATAGGTTGGAGGGGGGTTTGCCCCTCCAGCAGATATCATGCACATGCAGCCCACTACCAAAATCAGCACCATCACTTTTGTGACTTTTGTGATTTGTCCCCACAAAACACTTCATCACAGGTTCTTCAAAAGGGCCTTTGCTGCACAATACCAAATGTAAGAATTCACTGATCAATGCTCACTGGGAAAACTTCAGAAATGCATATAGACATGTGAGCTCAGCTACTCAGCAGCCCCTCTGCCTGAGTGATCATTCCTGGTATCCTGATACCTGAGTGCCGGACAGGTGGCCATTCCGGAAATAACAAACCCAGATGAAGACAAAAGGGTGTGATTAACTTGGCTGGGAAACAGGGAAATGTAAATATCTCTTTTGTTGATGGGTGTTTGGTGGAGGGCAAGGAGAACCATGGGGCAGGGTCCAGGAAGCTCAGATTACTGCCACCAGACCTCTTCTTTCATGATGTAACCATGATGTATGAGTGATGTAGTTTGGGGGTGTGTAACATGGGGATTAAAGGTAAAGGGACCCCCGACCATTAGGTCCAGTCGCGGCCGACTCTAGGGTTGCGGCGCTCATCTTGCTTTATTGGCAGAGGGAGCCGGCATACAGCTTCTGGGTCATGTGGCTGGCATGACTAAGCTGCTTCTGGCGAACCAGAGCAGCACACAGAAATGCCATTTACCTTCCCGCCGGAGTGGTACCTATTTATCTACTTGCACTTTGACATGCTTTCAAACTGCTAGGTGGGCAGGAGCAGGGACCGAGCAACAGGAGCTCACCCCGTCACGGGGATTCGAACCGCAACCTTCTGATCGGCAAGCCCTAGGCTCTGTAGTTTAACCCACAGCGCCACCCGCGTCCCTAACATGGGGATTAGCAGCTAATCAAAGTTTGGGGGCTCTTTTGTTCGGGGCTTCCATCTTGTTTCACCTTGTGGCAGGTGGGAGTCCTGTCGCGACAGTCTTCAATCAAGACCAAGCCGACTGGCTGCTGTTTTGCTCTGGTATTCCTGCCTGGTGTCCTTATTTTTTTGTCCAAGGGAGCCCTCAGATTTCTCCGTTAACACTCCCACAGGAGGCAGCGATGGCCATCAACGGAGAGGCAACTTTTGGCACCCCCAAAACCACAGTCCAAAAGTCAGGAATTTACTGTGCTGTGAAATATGCTTCCAGCAGGGATGTAGCAAACACCGTCCCTTTCAAGTTCATCAGTTTTGTTGAGTGAAATAAATGAAATAGCTCAGTTGGTAGAGCAGGAGACTCTTAAACTCAGGGTTGGGGGTTCGAGCCCCAGGTTGGGCATGTTGGAGGGGTTGGACTAAATGATCCTTGTGCAAATTTAACATACAGAATAAGAGAACAAGGAAAATGTACGTTTAAAGAAGAATGGAAAACGTTCACTGAATATATGGGTGGAAATTGTGTTTATTTAAAAACGCTGGTAGCACTAAGATAAATTCAACGGTATAAATAAGTTTTGATGGATGTAACAATGGATTACTGAATGGTTTAGTTCATGTAATATATGCAGGGATGTGTGGTATGCAAAATGAACCACCAAAAGAGAAGATGGGAAGTAATTGATTTAAGGTTGTTTAAATTAATATTTTGAAATGTAATTAGAAAAGTTAATAAAAATTATATATTAGAACTACAGGTGAAACTCAAAAAATTAGAATATTGTGGAAACGTTCATTTATTTCAGTAATTCAACTTAAAAGGTGAAACTAATATATGAGATGGACTCATGACATGCAAAGCGAGATCTGCTTCTGCTTCTCAGAGGTCCAGTCTTGCTCTATTTGAAATCCTTGTTTTGCTGATTTCATTTAAGATTCAGAATGGGTTATCCGCCACCGGCGCTCTAGCCGTCTCAACAATCGTTGAGACGGCTGAGCAGCCGTGTGGCATAGCCATTCTGAATCTGACCGGATCATGGGTTAGAGCTCAATGTCGAGCCTACCAGAGTGGCGATAGCGACGGCGAAGAAGACTTTCTTCACCGCCTCTATTGCATCTGCGGAAAACAGCAGCAGGAGACTCTTTCAGGTGGTTCGCAATTTAGCGGAACCACCTGCTCCATCAGGGCCCAGTAGCGGCCACATGATCTCCTGCAATGACTTTGCAAAGTTGTTGGCAGCTAAAGCCGCTCCGATTCGCGAAGAGGTAGACTCCACCGTGGGAGCAGGGCCGGGGCGGGAGAGTGCTAGAGTCCTGTCTAGTCAAGTTGTGTGGGATCAATTCCAATCTGTTACCCCGAGGATGTGGACAGGCTGCTTGGACGAGTGAAACCAACCACTTGCCTCCTTGATCCTTGCCCATCCTGGCTTATAAAAGCTAGCCGGGAAGGACTGGGCGATGGGCTTCGTGGGGTGGTGAATGCTTCCCTCCGTGGGGAGCCTTCCCAGACCCGCTGAAAGAGGCGGTTATTAAACCGCTTCTTAAAAGACCATCTTTAGATGCGGCCACAATAGCCAACTATCGCCCAGTCTCAAATCTTCCATTCTTGGGCAAGGTGATTGAGCGAGTGGTTGCTGAACAACTCCAGGCACGCCTGGAAGAAGCGGACCATTTGGATCCCTTCCAGTCGGGGTTCAGGCCTCATCATGGGACTGAAACTGCCTTGGTCGCACTGGTTGATGATCTCCGGCGGGCTAGGGACAAAGGTGAGTGCTGTTTCCTAGTTCTGCTGGATCTCTCAGCGGCGTTTGATACCATCGACCATAACATCCTTCTGGACCGTCTTGAGGGGCTGGGAGCTGGGGGCACTGTTATACAGTGGTTCCGCTCCTTCCTCCTGGGCCGTGTTCAGAAAGTGGTGGTAGGGTTTGAGTGTTCAGCCCGCGGGGCCCCCACTTGTGGGGTGCCACAGGTTTCTGTCCTCTCCCACATGCTTTTCAACATCTACATGAAGCCGCTGGGAGAGATCATCAGGGGATTTGGGCTGGGTGTTCATCAGTATGCAGATGATACCCAGCTCTATCTCTCCTTCAAATCAGAACCAGTGAAGGCAGTGAAGGTCCTGTGTGAGTGCCTGGAGGCGGTTGGAGGTTGGATGGCGGCTAACAGATTGAGGTTGAATCCTGACAAGACAGAAGTACTGTTTTTGGGGGACAGGAGGCGGGCAGGTGTGGAGGATTCCCTAGTCCTGAATGGGGTAACTGTGCCCCTGAAGGACCAGGTGCGCAGCCTGGGAGTCATTTTGGACTCACAGCTGTCCATGGAGGCACAGGTCAAATCTGTGTCCAGGGCAGCTGTTTACCAGCTCCATCTGGTACGCAGGCTGAGACCCTATCTGCCTGCGGACTGCCTCACCAGAGTGGTGCATGCTCTGGTTATCTCCCGCTTGGATTACTGCAATGCGCTCTACGTGGGGCTACCTTTGAAGGTGACCCGGAAACTACAACTAATCCAGAACGCGGCAGCTAGACTGGTGACTGGGAGCGGCCGCAGAGACCACATAACACCGGTCTTGAAAGACCTACATTGGCTCCCAGTATGTTTCCGAGCACAATTCGAAAGTGTTGGTGCTGACCTTTAAAGCCCTAAACGGCCTTGGTCCAGTATATCTGAAGGAGCGTCTCCACCCCCATCGTTCTACCCGGACACTGAGGTCCAGCACTGAGGGCCTTCTGGCGGTTCCCTCACTGCGAGAAGCCAAGTTACAGGGAACCAGGCAGAGGGCCTTCTCGGTAGTGGCGCCTTCCCTGTGGAACACCCTCCCACCAGATGTCAAAGAGAACAACAACTACCAGGCTTTTAGAAGACATCTGAAGGCAGCCCTGTTTCGGGAAGCTTTTAATGTTTGATGTATTATAGTATTTTAATATTTTTTTGGAAGCCGCCCAGAGTGGCCGGGGAAGCCCAGCCAGATGGGCGGGGTATAAATAATAAATTATTATTATTATTATTATTATTATTCTAATTTTCTGAGATTGTTAATTTGGGGTTTTCATCAGCTGTACGCCGTGATCATTACAATTATAACAAATGAAAGCTTGACATATCTCACTTTGCATGTCTTGAGTCTATCTCATATATTAGTTTCACCTTTTAAGTTGAATTACTGAAATAAATGAACTTTTCCATGATATTCTAATTTTTTGAGTTTCACCCGTAGATGACCCTTGTTGTCCCTTCCAACTCTACGATTCTGTGAAATAGTTTTAACTGGATTTTCAACACATGTGCAACTAAATTGCTGCTGCTTTGAAGTTTATTGTCTTCCTATCTTCCTTAGTGGGTTGTGCAAACTGTCATTCTGCTTTTCATAGGGTAGAGAAGGGGGCACAGGCATTTATGGAACCGAGGTTTTGGTGGCCTTTAAATATTTTGGAAACAGCTGACATGGACCTTTCCTTTGTTCTCTCTCCCCCCCCTCCTCCCTGCCCCACAACTTGGCCTCCTTTTTCCCCAGGCTGCTCAGGGGCTCAGGGCAGGTTTGCCTACAAGCTGCTCAATGACCTGTTTGCCAACTACTCCAACGCGCTGCGTCCGGCAGAAGATACTGACCGAGCTCTCAATGTCACGCTGCAGGTCACCCTGTCCCAGATCATCGACATGGTGAGTCCTTTGGTGCTTGGAGGGCGGGTGGAAGAGGATTCAAATGCAGCCGAGGGTCAGAGCACTCTTGTCGGAAGAGGCTGGACGGCTATGGATAGATCCACTGTGTCTTGCGCCCCATTGCATGGGGTTTTGGTCTTGGTTGGCTAGGCCAGGGCCCTGTTTTGCCGAACTGCTTTGAGTTCTCTTTTCTCAACTGGAGACTTTCATTCGCTATTTGCTTAAAGGGGAAAGGGACCCCCGACCATCAGGTCCAGTCATGGACGACTCTGGGGTTGCGGCACTCATCTTGCTTTTTGATCATCTAATAAGTCTTCATTCAGTCTCCATCTAAATGAAATATGACTTTCTTTTTGCATTTCAGGGAGGTAAGCAAATGACTGGGTTGCGGGTGGCTCTGTGGGTTAAACCACAGAGCCTAGGACTTGCCGATCAGAAGGTCAGCGGTTCGAATCCCCGCGACGGGGTGAGCTCCCGTTGCTCGGTCCCAGCTCCTGCCAACCTAGCAGTTCAAAAGCACATCAAAGTTCAAGTAGATAAACATGTACCGCTCTGGCGGGAAGGTAAACGGCGTTTCCACGCGCTGCTCTGGTTCACCAGAAACGGCTTAGTCATGCTGGCCACATGACCTGGAAGCTGTACGCCAGCTCCCTCGGCCAATAAAGCAAGGTGAGCGCCACAACCCCAGAGTTGGCCACGACTGGACTTAATGGTCAGGGGTCCCTTTACCTTTACTTTTAACATACAATGAGCATAACATACAACAATACAAACAACCAGATAAAAGACTTCCTTTATCCAGTATCTGGCCTCCTTATTTACTTCCTATAAATGTTTCCTTTATGAATAATTATTAAGAATTTTCTAATTATAACTTAAATAATAACTTAAATATCCACAAAGTCTCCTAAAGACATTAATCAAAACAAGTATGTATTTTAGGGCACTGTTTTGTGAAGTATTCCCTGCATTTCCCCCATGCTTTATGAAACTCTTGTCTAGTGTGATCTCTAATTGCTTCTGTTAATCTAGCCAGTTCAATATACCGTACTCAATAACAGTTTGTCTTGCCATTCCTTTTCTGTTGGCACAGTTTCTTTTTTCCAGTTTTTAGCAATTAGGATTAGAAACCACTTTCTAACAGGCTGGGCAATGGCACTTGGTCTATTCCTTCCTCGCCTCTAAAGAAAAAAAGGAGGTATTGCAAAGGGTGTGTGTGTGTGTGTGTGTGTGTGTGTGTCAAAGCCGATTTCCCCCAGATTCCCCATCCGATGCCCCGCTCTGCAAGAAAAGCAGAGCATAAGGTGTGCTCCTTGCACCCTGTATCTGAGGTTGTTTTCCCTCTTGCCTTGCAGGATGAGAGGAACCAAATCTTGACGGCTTACCTGTGGATCCGGCAGGTGTGGGTGGACGCCTACCTGAGCTGGGAGAAGGAGGCTTACGATGGCATTGACACCATACGGATCCCAAGCAGCTACGTCTGGAGGCCGGACATCGTTCTGTATAACAAGTAGGTTTCACAGTGGCGCCACAGCCCTTCCCTTTAAAAGATGTTCTGCGAAGGTGTTTTTTGATGAACTAAGTGGAAGACTATGAGTCACGGGAGCAGGGAGAGAAAGTGTCTGGATTCAGCAGTGCTTTAAGTTTGTTTTTGGTTTTTAGTCTGCTAATGTTCTTCATATTGTTTTGTGGATTATGAGTCCTGTGACGCTCTGCAAATTTTATAAAATGGCTTCTTGTGGTTATGCTATTTAATCCATTTTATAAGTTGTTTTGCTAATGATTTATAGAAGGTGGTTATTTTATTGTTGATTTGTTCATTATTTTATTTATGTTGCAAGTGGTGCTGTGGTCTAAACCACTGAGCCTCTCGGGCTTGCTGATCAGAAGTTCAGCGGTTCGATTCCCCGCGATGGGGTGAGCTCCCGTTGCTTGGTCCCTGCTCCTGCCAACCTAGCAGTTCGAAAGCACGTCAGAGTGCAAGTAGATAAATAGGTACTGCTCCAGCAGGAAGGTAAACGGCATTTCCGTGCGCTGCTCTGGTGCGCCAGAAGCGGCTTAGTCATGCTGGCCACATGACCCGGAAGTTGTACGCAGGCTCCCTCGACCAATAAAGCGAAATGAGTGCCATAACCCCAGAGTTGTCTGCGACTGGACTTAACGGTCAAGGGTCCCTTTACCTTTACCAAGTTACTATTTATTGTTTTTATATCATTTGTATTAAGTCCTCAACGATATTTCAAAGCATATATCATTATACAATTTTTTTAACATACAAAGTTTCTTATTGACTTTCCATCCCTCTTTTCCCTATGTTTGTTTTCTACTCCTTTTTATTAGCTGTTTTACAACACATAATTTTTGATTATCTAAACCCCGCGACCATTATTATTATAATTAGTATAGTTCTAAAATAGTTATTAATAGTAGTTATTATTTATTGTATGTAAGCCGCTTTGTGACTCACATGAGTGAAAAGCAGCGTAGGATTATAATACAGTGGTACCTCGGTTTTTGAACGTCTCGAAAGTCAAACGAAAACCCGGAAGTAACTGCTTCGGTTTTCGAATGCTTTTCGGGACTGAAACGTGCTGCACGGCTTCCCTATTGAGTTTTCCGGAAGTAAATGCTTCGGTTTTCAAACGTTTCAGAAGTCCAATGGTCTTCCGGAATGGATTACGTTCGAAAACCGAGGTACCACTGTAAATGAAATGAAATGGATGTTCTCCTGAAAACAGAGAGCTGCTTTCCTGACTTGGCACTGATGCTTCATCGGAAACTGCAATTATTTCAGAATGCGGCAGCTAGACTGGTGACTGGGAGTGGCCACCGAGACCCCATAACACCGGTCCTGAAAGACCTTTATTGGCTCCCAGTACGTTTCCGAGCACAATTCAAAGTGTTGGTGCTGACCTTTAAAGCCCTAAACGGCCTCGGTCCTGTATGCCTGAAGAAGCGTCTCCATCCTATCCTCTAGCCCAGACACTGAGGTCCGGCTCCGAGGGCCTTCTGGCGGTTCCCTCCCTGCAAGAAGTGAGGTTACAGGGAGCCAGGCAGAGGGCCTTCCCGGTGGTGGCGCCTGCCCTGTGGAACACCCTCCCATCAGATGTCAAGAAAATAAACAACTATCTGACTTTAAAAAGACATCTGAAGGCAGCCCTGTTTAGGGAAGTTTTTAATGTTTAATGCTGCCAGGCCTACCTCACAGGGGTGTTGTTGGGATTAGATGGGGGGGGGCAGTAGAACCATGTAAGTCACTTCAAGCTTCAGGGAGAAAAAGCCGGGATATGAATGCGATAAGCAAGCAATTCTTCGGTGCTCACATTAGGGGAACTGTGTGCCAGACATGTAAACAAGGAATCTTTGTTGGACAGGATTTCCCTCCTGCTTAACCATGTGGGGTGGGGGATGGGGGACAAAATCTGGGCCTCGCAATGGGAAAACGTGGCGGCGCCACGTTGTATATTTGTGGAGTGGGGGAAGAGAAGTGGTAGAAATTTGGATCAGGAGAGCTGGAATGTGGGGAATTACCATGTTTTTCCGTCTATAAGACGCCCCCATGTATAAGACACCCCCTATTTTGTGTTTTTAATACAGTGGTACCTCGGGTTACATATGCTTCAGGTTACATATGCTTCAGGTTACATACTCTGCTAACCCAGAAATAGTGCTTCAGGTTAAGAACTTTGCTTCAGGATGAGAACAGAAATGGTGCTCCAGCGGCGTGGCGGCAGCAGGAGGCCCCATTAGCTAAAGTGGTGCTTCAGGTTAAGAACAGTTTCAGGTTAAGAACAGACCTCCGGAACGAATTAAGTACTTAACCCGAGGTACCACTGTATTCTGTTGGGAACCTCCCAGAGTGGCTGGGGAAACCCAGCCAGATGGGTGGAGTATAAATAATAACAATAATAATAATTTCTCTCCTTCCCCCTCCTCCAGCGCCGATGACCAGTTCACGGGCTCGATGGAGACCAACGTGGTGATCCACTCGGACGGCCAGATCATGTGGGACTCTCCGGCCATCACCAAGAGCTCCTGCAAGGTGGACGTCTCCTACTTCCCCTTTGACGGCCAGCAGTGCCGACTGACCTTTGGCTCCTGGACGTACAACGGGAACCAGATCGACATCCTGAACAAACAGGAGACGGGGGACCTGACGGACTTTGTGGAGAACGTGGAGTGGGAGGTCCTGGGGATGCCGGCCAAGCGCAGCGTGGTCACCTACGGGTGCTGCTCGGAGCCCTACCCGGACGTCACCTACACGCTCCTCCTCAAGAGGAGGGCTTCCTTCTACATCTTCAACCTACTTCTCCCCTGCATCATGATCTCTTTCCTGGCCCCGCTGGGCTTCTACCTCCCGGCCGACTCCGGGGAGAAGGTGTCCCTGGGGGTGACCGTCCTCCTGGCACTGACCGTCTTTCAGCTGCTGGTGGCCGAGAGCATGCCTCCCTCGGAGAACGTGCCCCTCATCGGTGAGTAGTCTCTGGGGGGAGAAGGTGAGGATTGCGGCGTCTCTGGGCCCAGCCCAGAAACAAGGAAACTGAAAAAAGGGATATTGCGTGTTTGGGGTTGACATCTGCAGGATCTGATCTCTTTCCGCAGGGCCTGTAAGACAGAGTTGTTCCGCCTGGCCTTTGGATTGGAATCCACTTGATTCCCTCCCCCTCTTTCCCTTTCTCCTTCTCTGATCGAACTCCTAGTTGGGGACTTCCCTGGCTTTTTTCTGGCCCACGTAGGACCGGTCTGGATAGTTGGCCTTGGTGAAGATTTGACGTTTTCATCCCCAAAAAAGTTTTTGATTTGAGCTTCTACTGAAATGAGGCTGCATTTTAATGTTGTATTTTAATTTTGTTTTTAAGTTGTATTTTAATGAATTGTTTTTATACCTGGTGTTAGCCGCCCTGAGCCCGGTCTTGGCTGGGGAGGGCAGGGTTTTTTTTTAATTTTAATAATTTTTAAAAATTTAATAAATTTACAGTGGTACCTTGGGTTATATACGCTTCAGGTTACAGACGCTTCAGGTTACAGATGCTTCAGGTTACAGACTCCGCTTAACCCAGAAATAGTACCTCGGGTTAAGAACTTTGCTTCAGGATGAGAACAGCAGCAGGAGGCCATGTTAGCTAAAGTGGTGCTTCAGCTTAAGAACAGTTTCAGGTTAAGAACGGACCTCCGGAACGAATTAAGTACTTAACCCGAGGTACCACTGTAATACTTTATAAAATTTTAATATTTTTTAAAATTATTATTATTATTATTATTATTATATTTGATGTTTTATTGTGTTTTTAATATTCAGTTGGGAGGTGCCCAGAGTGGCTGGGGAAACCCAGCTGGATGGGTGGGGTATAAATAACAAAATATAACAACAACAACAACAACAACAACAACAACAATAATAATATATTAATAATACTTGCGAAGGTCTCATGTTGCCTTCCCCAGCCTGGTGCTCCCTCTATTTCAGGCTCCTGGCGGGGGCTGATGGGAGTTGTAGTCCAGGCCCCCGGATTGGTGTGATGGCCGCTCTCAGGTGCTAAAGGAGCGTCTCCTCTTGTTCGTCCGCCCCCCGCTCCCCGACCCCTCCACCTGCAGGCAAATACTACATCGCCACCATGACCATGATCACGGCCTCGACCGCCTTGACCATCTTCATCATGAACATCCACCACTGCGGCCCTGGCGCCAAACCCGTCCCCAGGTGGGCCAAGAAGCTCATCTTGCAGTACATGGCCCGCATCTTCTTCGTCTACGAAGTGGGGGAGAGCTGCAAGAGCCCCCGGCCGGAGCCAGAGCCCGCCCCCAAAGCCCGCGTGGCCAACGGCGGGGGCCCCACGCGGGGGGTGGGCAGGGGGAGATCCCCCGGCGAGGAAGTGCCGCCCCGCCGGTCTCCTTCGCAGGGGCCCAGCAGCCCCTCGGAGCAGCCCGGCTGGGGCGAGGGCAGCCAGTACGTGGACCTGGAGGGCGGGGAGGGCGAGTCTGCGGATCAGGCCCCCTGCGCCAAGAGCCGCTGCCTCTGCCACCACCACAGCATCCTCAGGAACGTGGAGTACATTGCCAACTGCTTCCGGGACCAGAAGGCGGCTTCCAGGCGGACCGGGGAGTGGAAGAAGATCGCCAAGGTGATGGACCGCTTCTTCATGTGGGTCTTCTTCGCCATGGTATTCATCATGAGCGTCCTCATCATGGGCAAAGCCATCTGAGATGCCCCAGAGGAGCGGGAAGCATGCCAGCAGAGCCTCCTTCCTGCTCCTCAGCCGGATCCTGCGATATCATCATCATCATCATTTTTTGGAAGGAGAACTTGCCCTGCAAAAAGTGAGTCACGCAGGGCTGGCGGACGGTGCTAGCAGAAGGTCCAATCCGCTGGCAGGACTGGGACATTTCTGATGGGCACCCAGGGAAGTGTGAGCTGGACAGGTGAGCCCCAAGACCCCTTGGGATGCCGTAGGTGGTGCTGGGGTGCAGCTCTTGGACCATGGGGGGTGGGCAACAGCATGTCCAGGGGTGGGGCTAATGACCTTCCCACTCTACAATTCTGTGTCGAGCCAGAAATTGGATACTACGGACATAGCGGCTGCTTCTGCATCCACCACCACACCCTTCTAGCAGATGAGCAATTTAGTCTTTGGCTGCTGCATACACACAGCTGCCCCACAACCCTAGGAGCAGAGGAACAGCTGCCAAGTCGGGACATGGGTTCATTCATCTCAGTATTGTCTACACTGACGGACAGCAGCTCACCAGGGTTTCAGGCAAGGGATTCTTTTCCAGCCCTCTCTGGAAGACGCCTTTGGGGAATGAATGTGGGACCTTCTACATGCAGGACCTCCTGGTCTACGGCTCTGTCCACACTGCAGCTTAATGTGGATTGTGAACCCCTCGTGCTTCCTTTAATTCCTCCTTGGACACAAGCAGCATTCTCTTCCGTCTACTGCCATTACACACTTTCTCCTCTCAGAATCCCGAGGTTCCCTATTGCTTTGAAAATCCAAACAGGAGAGTGCCATCAATGGCATTGGTGCATTTGTGATTATGCAAACACTTGCACCGTAGGGGGTTGGTCTAGATGACCCTTTGCCCCTTCCAGCCCTATAATTCTGTTGTTGTTGTTGTTTAGTCGTTTAGTCGTGCCCCACTCTTCGTGACCCCCTGGACCAGAGCACGCCAGGCCTTTCTGTCTTCCACTGCCTCCCGCAGTTTGGTCAAACTCATGCTGGTAGCTTCGAGAACACTGTCCAACCATCTGGTCCTCTGTCTCCCCTTCTCCTTGTGCCCTCCATCTTTCCCAACATCAGGGTCTTTTCCAAGGAGTCTTCTCTTCTCATGAGGTGGCCCAAGTATTGGAGCCTCAGCTTCAGGATCTGTCCTTCCAGTGAGCACTCAGGGCTGATTTCCTTCAGAATGGATCAGTTTGTTCTTCTTGCAGTCCATGGGACTCTCAAGAGTCTCCTCCAGCACCATAATTCAAAAGCACCTATAATTCTAGGCTGATGCAAATGCTGAGTTTTAGTGCCTAGGGCAGCACTGAGTTCGGCCTTCTGCAAATTCCATTTAACAGCCCTGCTCCCACTCCAAAACCAACCAGCCAACCAACCCAACAAGCCCTAACGTGTTTCTAGCCCTCCTGGAGACCAGCTTGATGAAGCCGGGCTGACGCAGGACACAAAGGCTTCTGTGTTTGTGGAACAGAAGCAGAATGCCCTGAGGTCGAGGGTCAGCTGTCCTGCCTCCTGCATGGCTTTGGGCCCTTCCTCCATGGCCAGCAGAACAGAACATGTACAGCTATATCCAAAACCATATTGGTTGTAACAACAACAACAACAACAACTTATTATTTATACCCTGCCCATCTGGCTGGGTTTCCCCAGAGAGAGCCAGTGTGGTGTAGTGGTTAAGAGCGGTGGACTCGTAATCTGGTGAACCGGGTTCGATTCCCCGCTCCTCCACATGCAGCTGCTGGGTGACCTTGGGCTAGTCACACTTCTCTGGAGTCTCTCAGCCCCGCTCACCTCACAGAGTGTTTGTTGTGGGGGAGGAAGGGAAATGAGATTGTGAGCCACTTTGAGACTCCTTCGGGTAGTGATAAAGCGGGATATCAAATCCAAACTCCTCCTCCTCCTCCTTCTCCTTCTCCTCCTCCTCTTCTTCTCCAGCCACTCTGAGCGGCTCCCAACATAATATTAAATACACAATAAAACATCAAACATTGAAAACTTCCCTAAGCAGGGCTTCACTCAGATGTCTTCTAAAAGCCAGATAGTTGTTTATTTCCTTGACATCTGATGGGAGGGTGTTCCACCGGGTGGGCGCCACCACCAAGAAGGCCCTCTGTCTGTTGTCAAGTGATTTACCTAAGTCATGCTGATCAGAGATTTCGGCTTCAGAATCTGGCTTCCCACCCCCCACACCTTAGTGCAGAATCTACAAGGAGTTCATTCCCTCCTTTAGCAATACTGAGGTGAGCATGGATCTTTGCTTAAGCACAATAGGGAGAAACTGGCAGGTGTAAAGAAGCCCCAAAGCTTTCAGAAGTTCAAAATGATTTAGTCCCAAGGGACAAAAAACCTTGGCATTGAAAGTAGCATAGTTGTTGTTTAGTCGTTTAGTCGTGTCCTACTCTTCGTGACCCCCCTGGACCAGAGCACGCCAGGCCCTCCTGTCTTCCACTGCCTCCCTCAATTTGGTCAAACTCATGCTGGTAGCTTTGAGAACACTGTCCCACCATCTTGTCCTCTGTCGTCCCCTTCTCCTTGTGCCCTCCATCTTTCCCAACATCAGGGTCTTTTCCAGGGAGTCTTCTCTTCTCATGAGGTGGCCAAAGTCTTGGAGCCTCAGCTTCAGGATCTGTCCTTCCAGTGAGTACTCAGGGCTGATTTCCTTCAGAATGGAGAGGTTTGATCTTCTTGCAGTCCATGGGACTCTCAAGAGTCTCCTCCAGCACCAGAATTCAAAAGCATCTATTCTTCGGCGATCAGCCTTCTTTATGGTCCAGCTCTCACTTCCATACATCACTACTGGGAAAACTAGAGCTTTAACTATACAGACCTTTGTGAGCAAAGTGATGTCTCTGTTTTTTAAGAGTGCTTTAAATGTGTGCATGTTTCCCAGGGGGACTTTCTCCTCTGTCCTTCTCTGTCACATTTCATCGCTTGCCCGAATCCTTAAATGCCAATTATCACTCCCGCTTTGGTTATGCTTGCTTCGATCTTGTGCAACCTGCCGATGAGATCTTAATTTTGGGATAGACTTGCTCGTTTGCAGGCTTGAGAGCACCCCACCTTCAAGCCAAATGTTCAGGTGTGTTTCCATTTTTCTTGTGCTACGTTTTCAACCGTCCTCTTCATTCCTCCCCAAACTTCCAAGGCAATCTCAGTCTAGACGAGGTCGGGCGCCAGAATCCCTGAGCTTGAACAAGTCTCTGGCGGGCCAAGGAAGCTCACAGCTGACCCCACTGGCCCCTGGGAGGAGAAGCCGATCCCATGCACGTTCCTCCAATGGTGCAAAAAATGGACAATGCGCCTTTGCAGTGGGAAAGGACACTACCGTGTGGATTCTGAGCTTTGGTTCAAATGAGCTGGGCAAGGGGTAAAATGAATTAGTTCGGAAGCCCGTGGATTTTAATAAAGGTCAAAGCCATCAGGTGAGTCAGCCGGGGGGGGGGAGCTGTGGGAGGGGGGCCACAGACCCTTTTGCTTCGTTGATCCACTGATCCTGAAACGGGACGAGGGTGTTCTCAGCTTCCTTCCACCTGAGACACCTTCGTGCTCCACCTGCAATTCTCAACAGGGAACTCGAAACAGATGTGGAAATGATAATAAAGTCCTCAAAAAGCCAACCGTTTCTCTGCGTCTGCAAGGTTCTCTGTGGGGTTGTCTTGTCTTTTTGCCCATCTTCTGCCCCAGTGGCTTCCTTTTTCTTTTATTATATTTTATTTAACATAATTATTACAAGATACAAGCAAAAGACATACAAATACATACGTACATATATTTTTCAGATAGGCACACATATATTTTTTTAAAAAAGGAAAGAAAAAAGAAAAAGAAAAAATAAGAAGAAAAATTGGAAGAATTTCTTCCAAATTTATTCTACAAATATCTCAATGATAAGATTTCATTGATTGACTTCCATCGCTTACACTGGACTTCCCATATACTTTTTAAGCGAATTTGTATCTGTTATTCCGTATTTTCCCTATACAATCTCATACAAATATTCTAATCAATAAGTTTTCTAAATATTTCATAAATCTGTTCTAAACACAACTAATACCTTACACTTAATCCTTGTCTACAGAAATATAAATATAAATGCCCCAGTGGCTTTCCCTTCCAAGTCTGTAGTTCTGTGATTTAGCTCTGCTGCACTGGGACCTGGCTAGCTACAAACGAACGGAGCAGAACCGCGGGGCTGGATCTGCAATCCACACCGAGAGGCAGTGTGGTGCAGCGGTTAGAGATCAGGGTTCGAATCCCCAACTCAGCCACGAAGCTCATTGGCTGAGCCTGGGGGCCAGTCACTGGCTCTCAGCCAGACCTACCTCACAGGGGTGTTGTGGCGATTAGATGGGGGTGGGTGGGTTCGAATGCTTTTCGGAAGTCAAACGTGCCACACAGCTTCTGTATTGAGTTTTCTGGAAGTAAATGCTTCCAGAAGTAATTGCTTCGGTTTTCAGAAGTCCAACGTCTTCCGGAATGGATTACGTTCGAAAACCGAGGTACCACTGTAAATGAAATGAAATGGATGTTCTCCTGAAAACAGAGAGCTGCTTTCCTGACTTGGCACTGATGCTTCATCGGAAACTGCAATTATTTCAGAATGCGGCAGCTAGACTGGTGACTGGGAGTGGCCACCGAGACCCCATAACACCGGTCCTGAAAGACCTTTATTGGCTGCCAGTACGTTTCCGAGCACAATTCAAAGTGTTGGTGCTGACCTTTAAAGCCCTAAACGGCCTCGGTCCTGTATGCCTGAAGAAGCGTCTCCATCCTATCCTCTAGCCCAGACACTGAGGTCCGGCTCCGAGGGCCTTCTGGCGGTTCCCTCCTGCAAGAAGTGAGGTTACAGGGAGCCAGGCAGAGGGCCTTCCCGGTGGTGGCGCCTGCCCTATGGAACACCCTCCCATCAGATGTCAAGAAAATAAACAACTATCTGACTTTAAAAAGACATCTGAAGGCAGCCCTGTTTAGGGAAGTTTTTA